ATTAAAGTCTTTGGTAGGTTTGGTTTGTATTATAACTTTAACAAGTATATTCCATGCTACCAATTTATAGCGTGTTAGCAAAAGGCTACTTTAATAGCAATCTAGTGATATTGTATAAAGTAAAAGTGGTGATTATATTTGGTAGTTTCTACATAAAAGGCGCGTAGGCTTTGACTAACCTACGCTAGCGTATAGGCTAAGTCACAAGCTACTAGAGCCACTTTAAGCCTTACCCTCACTATCTATTTACAGCTAGTAAAAACCATCCTTTCTACCCTACCAAGCCTTACGCATCAATAGTAGTAGCTATATAACAAATGTAACTATTATCTTACTTATGTCTTATAGCAGCTATTGCATTACTTTATAGCTATGCCTTTGCTTGTTATAGTCTATAATTAGCACTACTTGCTTGTCAAATATAAACATATTGCATAGTAGCTTTTCTATATTGCAATGCTTTAGCATTGCTATCTCTAGCTTATACCTTAGCTGCTTACTTTAGATATATAAACTTACAAATAGCATGCTTTGGAAATGCTTAAGCTATAGCAGAAACTCTTTTATAGCTTGCTGCTAACACTTGTATAATACTTGCCTGCCTTTTACCTTAACTAGCTGCTAAAGCTGCAACTTAACTAGCTATATTATCTTGCCTGCCTTTAGCTACAGCTATATATTCTTCCTATTTATTGCAAATGACTAGCTTAGCCTTTTGTAGATTAAGCTGTTAGCAATATTGCATAGCCTAATTGTTTCTTACATCTAAGCTTATTACTTGCCTAGCAGCTTGTTAAGCAACTGCTTTGCCTTGTCTATAGCTTGCTATGCTATCTTTTAAAAATTAGCTATCTAAATATATAAGCTTTTAAAGTTGACTATCTTTTTATTATCCTTTTATGCTAGCTATAGCAGTTTATACTCTTGCATTTTATGCCTATGCTTATACAATATCTACTTGATAATTATGCTAATAACTGCATATAACTTATTAACAAGCTACTGCTAGTAACTTTTGTAAAAGTTGTTAATTGCTTTAGCAGCTATATTATCTTTTATATTGCTATACTATACTTAAACTTTAACCTTAAGCTGTTGCTAAAGCCTAGATTATCTATATATCTATGCAAACCTTTTTAGTTATATGCTGCAAATAAGTATTCTAGCATTAACATCTAACTATACTATAAGAAACTAGCTAAGTTATATATAAACAAGTATGCTAGCTTTTACTTTTGCACTATTATGTCAATTGCTAGTACTAATGTAAAGTAAAGTAGCAGACTTATATATACCTATTTGCTTAACTTTTGCTTGATTAAGCAGATGCAAAAGTTAAACATAGCTTTGTTAAGCATTGCTAGCATCTTTTTGTTACTATTTTGCGCTTTGTTAAGCCTTTACACTATTGCATGTAGCATTTGCTATTGCTTGTTATTAAATAACACCTTATGCTTCTACTATGCTTGCAAGTAGTTTAATGCAAACACTTGCATATAATAGCATAAGTACTGCTAATATTACTTATAGTAAAACTTTTAAGTCTTGTCTTTGTCTTTTATTTAAAACAAGTCGCTTACTAGCTTTGTCAAATCTATACTTGCTAGCTATTTTAGCAATTGTAATAGCATGTAGTTAATTTTTTTAGCATATTGTTTTAGTTTTTATTCAAAGCTATCAACTAGTATACTAAGTTGCTAATTCTCTTCTACCTTTTTGCAATTGCATTCTTTTCTCTTAAATGCTACTATTATTAAAGCTAACCTAGCTGCCTAGATTGCTATCTAGTTGCGCTGCCTTAAATGCTTTGTCTACTTTATATATGCAACTTATAGCAACATTATGTTTAGTTTGCTAGGCTTTTCCACCTTCCTATGCCACTTATCTGCCTCTTTTTGCAAATACTTTTTGCATACCTATACTATAGCTAGCAGCATCTTATATCCTTTATTGTTAATGCTATCTTTATTATTACTGCTATGCCTAGCTATAACCTAGTATTATATATGCCTTTATTAGCTAGATAACTATAGCAAGATAACTATTTAGCTTAGCTATTTTGCTAGCATGTAACTTTTAACTATCTAATGCATTATTGCATTCTTTTTATTAACTGTTAAGTGCTAGCAGCTTGTGCAACTATAGCTTTTTAGACATAGCAAGTCTTTAATTAGCATATTACTATTATGCAGTAGCTTTATAATTGCTAGATTGCTTAGATGCATTGTCAACAATGCAAAAAACAATACTACTTGTAGCTTTTTGCTTTTTAGCTTATGCTAGTTGCAGAAGTGCAACTTTATACTATTGCCTAGCTTAATATTTACATTGTAGATTAAGCAAAGTAGCATATTGCATAGTTTATACAGTTAGATAGTCTTTTTAAGCTAAAAAGTCTTGCAAGTCAATGCTATTTTGACTTCCTATCTACTATCTTTTGCTTGTATAGCAATAGTTGCCTCTTTTTGTTTTAATTGTCAACCTCTGCTACCTTAATCTAACTCTATGTCTTCCAAACCCTTATTAAGAAAAATTTTGCCTAATCCTAGCAGTTATTTGACGTGAAAGTTGTTTAGCATGAATAGCTTATGCATAGCTCTCCTTTCTATAGGAACCTGCGGTTGTTTAAGCTAAACAACCTGTTTAATAATGTTTAGGTAGGAAAATGCTAGTAGCGTAATTAATTAAATTAAAGGCGTAAGGAAGGAATAAAATGCGGTAAATCAAGTATTATTATGTAGAAAGCTTTGAAATAACTAAGGTGTAAAGAGTGCTGCTTGTAAATCTGTGTAAGTTTGCGTAAATTAATAATAATCTTACAATTTAAGGCTTTAATCACGCTTTTATATAGAAGCGTAGAAAATCTAGTCTAAAGCTAACTTATCCTAGCTTAAAGCAGCCTATGCCTTTTTTATTCACTACGTTACTGCCTTGGCTAACCTTAAACTAACTGCTTTTAAAGCCTAACTAGAAAATTCACTAACAATATATGCTTGTTATTTATAGCATAACCTACTCTTGCTTTATTTTTTTTACTATATTACTGCCTTTACTCTAATCATTTACCTATCTATAATCTTTCTAGCAATATTGCTATATTCTTTTTACCTTTATGCTAACAAAGTTACATTAGTTGCATTTTAAACTAACAACTAATAGCTTAATAAACAAGATAGGTAAGATAGTAGATAGCAGAAACTTAAACTTTTTTAACTTATCTTAGGTTTTTGTAATGTCTAGGATTTGGCTTATCAGTTTTGCAATTCTTAACTATTTGCTAGGCTTGATAGACTTATGCTTTGCTTGCAAATAACTAACAATCTTACCTGCTATGCATTTAATTCTACACTTGCATATTAAAAACAAGTATTTAGGCAAACAAATAAATAGCTTTATAGTGATTTAAATGCATGTTTTAGCTAACTACTAAATGGTTACAACTATAGCTTTACACTACTGTTTGCCTTTATTTACCTTAGACAATAGGCTAATGCATTGTCAGCCTTTATAACGCTATACTAGCTTAGGTAATGCTAACAAACAAAACCTATAGCTTTTCCCACCTACAAGCATTTTACTAACTTGAAAATGGCACTAAAGATTTTGCCTGCATTTGAGCTTTATGCGCATACCGATTTTGTCAATTTTACCGCTGAAAATGTCTACAAGCTCTGCCTTCTGTTTCTCTACAAGCTCTGCCCCCTGTCTTCACTAGCGCCATTTCAAATTACATGACGTTTTCTACAAGCATAGCCTGTGCTTGTCGCTGTATTTGGGGGTAGGGAAGGAGGGGGTATGAAATGACTTTCTACACATGTTGCATTTAACTGGAGTCTGCATTATATATAAGCCTAAGACAAAAGGATCTTACAAGAAGAGAAGATGCGCTGGGCCGTGCCGTGCATACTCCACCAGTCACCAGGATCATCAGGGAAGGGATCTCGCGCTCTAGCTTGAAGGACACCGACTTTTTTCCGATATTAATGGTTGACTTGAGTAGTGTGGATTCTAATGGAATACGGAATCATGGTCTACCTGATAGCAAGAGAATGATGTCAAGACACTTCTCAGCCGACGAATGAACCAGGGGCAGGGCAGTTCGTGGTAATTATGGGAGGGGTTGAGCAGGTTTATGTGCGAAGACGGTTATAGTGACAGGTCTAGAGCCTCAGAGATAGATGGGGGCTCGGCATAACCGGAGTCCGCCTAAGGGAGAATGAATGCGGTGATAGTTGGCTAACAAAAAAAGAGGTGCCCTGTGCGATGTAAGAGACATGTGTCAGCTCTATGACGCAAACCTGCAGTCGACTTGTATTGGGACTCGGGCAAGAGATGTAGAGATGTATTGCCGGAAACTACTAATAATACTACACCAATCCTGTGAAAGTTAATCAACAGTGCATCCCGAACAATGCTACCCCGAGAGTGGCGGAGCGACTTACGCAAGCTGTAAGGAAGCAGTATTGGGGGGGGGCCAAGTCAGTAGCCGTGCACAAGACCCTAAAGTGGTGAGATGCGTTATCTCCTCGACACGGACATCTTGTGAGACTTGTGGAAATCACCAAGCTGCGTATGGACCAAGGTTGACTCGGGCGTTTGACCTCATGACTAAATTAAGCAGCGGGAAGGAACAGTGACGGCCACCTCCAATTATTCGGAGCTTTTCACCCTCCTAGGAGGTAGCCTATTACCTCCCTTTACTTCCAACAACCCGTGACGGTTAACTAGCCGTCCCAGCTGGTTAACTTATCTCTGCGCTGCCTTCTAGATTGGTGTGTGTTGATTCCTTGTACAGGACTCTCCCCTGTTTCAACATACAAACCTATTTTCTCATCTTGATATGTATGGCACGGAATCTTATACAGGTGGCATAGAAAACGACTTGTTTGTCAGCTCGGAGAACCTCCGCAGAAACTGCTGTGTCACGTGGGCGCGGGTGAGCGCAAATTGTGTGACTCATCTTGTGATTCGTGACAGATGTTCTTCGAACCTGATCACCCAATTGCTTCTCTTACTCTACTGTTAGCCTGCAAGAACATCGACAGCAAGGTTCTACAATGACCATCACAGCAAAGCCGTGGACGTCCTTGGCTTCTGAGGCGACTGGATGCCAACTAGTCCAACTCCCGCTCCCCGTCTTGGACGCTCTCAGCAATGGGGACCTAAAATCTGCCCGCCAGCTATCCACCCAAGCAATAACGCCTTATCTCGTTGGCGACGAGTGCCGCAGTGTATGGAAAATGCGGAGCGACCAGATCAGGTTCGACCCCCGAGATGCGTTATGGGTGACCCGTCTCGTTGTGAACTCGGAAACGGGGGTTGTCGTTGGGCGAGCCGGGTATCACGGCCAGCCCGACCAAGATGGCCGGTTGAGATAGGTTATGCAATAGATCCTTTGTACCGTCGTCAAGGTTATGCTAAGGCCGCACTTCGGATTCTCCTTGATATGGCTACAAATGACCCGCTTGTTAAGGTGGTCCGAGCCACAGTTCGGCCAGACAACCTCTCCTCCAGAAACTTGATTGCTAAGCATGGCTTCCACGAGATCGGTGAGCAATGGGATGAGGAAGATGGCTTAGAGGTAATTCTCGAAGTCTCTGTTTCGTGAACCATGCCTGCCGCAAGAAATGTGGCTGGGTAGAAGGGATGGGTCATATGTTAGGTAGCAGGATGGGGGAAGGAGATGACAAACCCAGAAGAACATGTGGCGACTGACGTGCAGAATGTTGTTGAGACGCGAAATGAGAAGTAGCCTTTTCTAAAGAGACAATAATTGAACCCCTTGATAGCCGAAACCCTGCCCCTCTTCACTCTCTCAAATCCCAACCAATCATCAAGTCGCCGTTCTCTGCATCACAACACCCACTGTGCATATTCAAGCAGAAGATGGGTTTTCTTTTTGGGTTTTATTGTACAGGCAGCTAAATGGGGGTTTGACAGAAGGGATGAAATGGTTGAGGGATGATGGTCGGTGGATGAGAGTTGACTAGAGGAGGGAGAGAAGAAAGTTGGTTGATGGATGAAAATTGATTGGCAGAGGGATGGGCGGGAGATCTGGGTATATAGTTTAGCAATTGGACCAGGATTCAATTCTATGTCCAAGTGCCAATCTACTCCTCGACTGGCAGGCAGCAGTCGTAAAGGTGAATAAGCGGCATAACATACGTATATGAATCACTCAACACCTAGGTACTTACACTAACCTCCACCTTCCCTGCCCCGCATCTTCCCCTTCTCGCTTCCTCTGCCTCGTTCTCACCTTCCTTCATCCACCTCCCACCTTCTTCTAGTCAACTCTCGCCTGCACTTTCCCTCCGAGTCTACCATGGTAAGAGTTTAGTGGTACCACAGTCAGGCTCAGCACCTCACTCTTCGTTGACACAAGAGCCCCAGTCCGAGTCCGAATCCCTTCATCATCGTTATTACGGACGGCCCGAGTAAAAGGATGCCTGGCACAAATCCCGACATCCAAAACGGGATACCGCAACGGGCTTCGGATAGGTCAGCACGAATGCTCCAAATCGAGCTCGTTCGGCGAGACATCCTGGATGAAGTTGTCAATCTCATCAAGTCCGCCAGTGGCGAGAAAGTGACGTCCGCGACATAATTGAGAAAGCAATAACAGACCAGGGTACCCTTAAGCGAGTCGATGGGCTAGACGGATTACAGGGAATTCGACCACGAAAGCTGAGCAGACCGGAACAATTACAGGTTTAAAAAATGATGTCTCGGTATTGGTAAAACTGCCCGCCATTTTGGTTATATGGCAGTGTTCCTTCACGTAGAAAATGTACAAGACATGCATGCTAACTCTCTCACCCAGTGTCTGATTACTTAAATTAAGCGGCGAGCGAGGTCCTACCCCACAAATCAGCACAACCAGATTCAAGAGCATAGAATACGGCGACTATTATCTAGTAAGCTCGTGCCCGTAGAGGGAGCAGAACAACTGAACAAAAATGGCGTTTACAATATCCGACAACCGGCTAAGAGTGAGGTGGCGGTCCCTATCCCATCCGCAGGGAAATAACCAGTGGAGGTAAATCAGTGGCGCTTGCATCGATTGAACAGTGGATTGGTAGAGAGTTCCCAATGATAAGATTTGTTCTGGTGAATCACGGCGGGTTGTTTGAAACTAGCCTACAATTCCAAACCAAAGAAAAAGGACTGCGTTAATAAAGCAACACTCCCTGCCCATGCTCCCTGCCCTTGCTCCTTCACAAAATCCTCTATGCCTCGTCGAACACCTTCTTGACCGACTGCCGAGACTTCAGCTTGCCGAGCCACTCCTTCAGATGCGGGAAGCTGTCTTCGTCGTATTGATCCTTCGCGAGTATAGTGCCAATGGCTCGCTGCCATGGGACGAATGCCAGATCGGCGTAAGACAATTTGTTGCCCACGAGCCACGGCCCTTCACCGCCAGCGCCGAACTCCTCTTTCTGTTGGGCCAGGTATCCATCCAAAACGCCCGAGACGCGGTTGACTTCCTTTGCATAACGCTCTACGGCGCTGGGTAGTTGCTCCGGGTGGTACCTGATGAACCAGGCGGCCTGGCCGAAGTAAGGGCCCTGCCCCGTGGACTGGAAGTAGAGCCATTGTTTGGCATGGTAGTACTCGGGCGTTCCCTGCGCGAAGCTGAGCTGGCGCTTGGTGTCATATTTCTCGATCAGATACTCCACGATGGCACCTGATTCCCAGAGGGTAATGTCGGTGTTGGGGTCGTAGATGGCTGGGACCCGACCATTAGGGTTGATAGAGGTGAACTCGGGTTTCTTGACGTCGGCTAGCTGGATCGGTACAGTTTCGTACGGAACGCCTAGCTCTTCTAGCACGATGGAAACCTTTGGTGGGTTGGGGCCTGTTTTCCCCCAGACCTTGATCGGCTTGATTGGAGATCCCATGTCGCTTTGTTTCGGTGTGGTTGGCTTTTCGTCGAGAAAATGGTGATGGGAATATTAAACCTTAGTTTAGTCGGCACATTGTACAATGTAGAGTGTAGTCTCGATCAACTCCAGGAATTTCTAAATGATTCCGATGATTACCAATCTATCTGTCACAGATTGCTGATAAATCAACTCAGTACAAACATATGCTGATAAATCCGTTCACAATAATTATGGGCCTCACACCACTTACTGCGGCCATCTTCTGGAGGAACCCACATGGTTCTACGCATAATGCATGAATCTGAAACTTTGAAGAAACAACATGGATCGCTGTGTACCTATCTAGCGTTTCTTCCTACCCCTTCTGCCTGCGTCAAGCTAGCACTTTGCTCGCAGGAAATTGACTCAGAATCTCCTCCTCCTGATCAAGGTACCATCTAATTAAAACGCCATTAGAACATCAAGATCCCAAACCGAGGCGGGGGCTGTTTGATATCAACTTACGTCGGGTCAGCTTCGACGCCCTCCTTGAGCTCATGCTCCAAGAAGCCGTCGTTAAACCACGCAAAGTCGTATTCCGGTCCGTAGCAGCCGCTCGTCCAGTCAAAGTCTTCGTAGCGCTTCCTCCTCAGGAGTTCAAAGTAGTGCAGTCTGCTCCCCGGATGGAAGGCATGTAGAGGAGCGTCGACGGTGCCGTTCTTGAAGGAGCTTTGGCACTTGTCACCCCACACGGTCTTGTCCAGCCACGCGAGCATCTGCGATTGGTAGGCCTTGGCCTTGCCTTTCTTCAGCTGGAACGAGGTGTAGTTCTCCGTCTGCATCTTGTTAATGATGTCGGTGATATACAGCGTGATGCGCTCGATGGACGTGATCAGGCTGCCATGGCCGACCGGGCTGCCTGGCCCCAGGTACACGAAGTAGTTGGGCATATCTTCGGCAATGGTCGACATGTAGCACGCTGGATCTTTGGCCCATTCCTGCTGTAGATCGATGCCATTGTTGCCAATGACAGGCCATCGAGGGACAAAGGACATGTCGAAGCCCGTGGCAGCAATGATAACATCCCAGTCCCGCTCCTTGCCGTCGGCAGAGCGGATGCCAGTCTTGGTAAAGCTGTCGAGACTGCGTAAATGTTAGCTGTAACTCAGCTTATACGGAAGGGAGAGAGATGTGTTCATATGTTAGACTTACGCTCCCCAGACGACTTCGGTATTGTCCGCACAAAGCGCCTCGAGATAACCACTTCCTGGCGTTGCTCGACGGCAGCCAACGGAGAAAGAGGGCAGCAGCTTGCCTTGAAGCTCTGGTTTAGACGCGAGCTTACGCTTCATGTCCTTGGTAGTGAGCTCCCTAGCCATGGCCTGCTGGGGGGTGTCGCGGATGAATAGGGGGAACCTGATATTCAGCTCCTTCTCCACGGCTTTTCGATACTGGAGGTATGCCTTCGGGTCCTCAGCCCATTTGTTCTTCTGTTCAGCATCGAAGAATAGGTTGGTCTGTCCCTGCGGAATGAATCGCGAGCCCATGTTGGCGGTGATCCAGGTCGGGTTGCGGATGTAGGCCCCCATCTCAGCAGCCACCTTCTGCACGGCGGCTGTAACCTGGATGCCGCTGCTCCCGTTGCCGATGACGGCTACCCTCTTGCCACGGAGGTTGAGGGACGCCGGGTAGTCAGCACTGTGGACGAGAATCCCTTCATACTTCTCCCGCCCAGGCGTGTTTGGCCAGCGCCAGTTATTGAAGAAACCTGAGGCATTAATGAACACGTCGCACTCCTCGACAATCACGCGTCCTGTCTCGCCTTCGGTGACGCCTTTCGTCGAAATGACATTTCGTCGCCCATCGGTTCGTCTGCTTGTGACTTCCCACTTCTGCTTGGCTCCATTCCAAACGGCCTTGATCACCTTCTGCCGGGTGGTAATGTATTTATTGAGGTGGAACTTCTCTGCCACATCTTCGAGATACTCAAGGATCTCGGGCGCGGTCACGTAGAACGAGGACCATGCCGGATTGGGAGCCCATGTGAACTGAGGTCCATGGTGTCAGCAGCAGGCCTCAACATGGAGAGGGAGGAGACTTGTGTGAACTATTGCCTTAGGTGAAAGAGGGGGGAGTAAAAATAGAGGCACAAACCAAATAGTTATGGCTGGGGATGTCACATGCGCATCCCGGGTATCGGTTCTCCCACCAGGTGCCTCCGAGACCGGCGTTCTTTTCATAGATGCGTAGATCGATATTCCCCAGTCGCCCGGACTCAACGGCATGGGCAAAGTCGAGTCCCGAACAGCCCGCACCAGACACTATCACCTTCAGCCGCCGCGGGGTGTCGAAGGGAAGCTTTGACAGCTCATAGGCGACCTTGTCCTTGCCCTTATAAGCTGCCGTGTATTGGATCGGCTTGAGCTCGGGCTCTCTAATGTATCCATTGGTGGCAGTCCAGGCAGACTCGACCGGGACAGTAGTAGCGCCTCCCTGCGGCTGGACCAAGTCGTTCATTACCATGGTGGATGCAAATGTCTGCTCTGCTGTCTTTGTGTGAAGTATGAAGTCTTGCGGCACCACTGATGGACGGCAGGAGGGAAAATATAGAGACAATAGATATAATATCCGGCTTGGCGTTTTGCCACAGGATAGATTTGTGACGTTGGAATCTCGAATCCCCCCTAATACTCGCATGACAATCATGTCCTCACAGAGTGGATAGTCAATGGCGCTAGTTGCGGTTGAGATGTATGGCTCCGAGAACTCGGAATGCCTTGAGGATGTGGAGAAGAAATTCTCGGGATCGTATCTGTTCGGTTCCTACGGCCAATCCCCGCCCGCAGACCTATGCCGTGGGCCCTGTGATTCAATTCCGAGAAGTGGGTAACCTTAGGCCGGCCCCTAATTACCGCTTTCCGAGTACTGTGGGGCCGAGATTCGGGACCACGGATCCCATTGTTTCGGGATTGCTTTTAGCTGCAAGATGGGAAGATGGAGAGGGACTCCACTCTGTCATTCTCTCCAATGCCGCTAGTCTGCCTGCAAGCGCAGCCCCTAACAACATCGCCGCAGTGCCGGAGCAAACTACTGTGACTGCCTCGGGCGTGTGCACCCTTCCATAAGCCATAAGCTGAGATTTCGTGCGAGTGAATGGAATGGAAGCACCGAGGTTCTGCGAGGACCGGCGGGACCTGCCCATATCATTGGGTGAACCCCAGGTTTGTCGACTCGCCGTTTCTCGAGGCCTCAGGAGTCACTCCCGTCACCATAAGTAGCATTGGTATCTCGTCATCTCGTTGCATCTTAATTCATTACACATCGCCCAGCGGCACAGCGAATCCAGAACAAGCACGATAGTCAAGCTCTCACGTCCCGTAAACTCTCCAATCAACCTTGACAATGTCGTACCAGGATCTCAGAGGGAAGACATTCGTCATCACTGGCGCCGCCTCCGGTCAGGGCCGAACGACAGCGATTCTCCTTGGAAGACAAGGTGCAAACTTGGGTAAGTGCCCCTATGATGCCAAACCCATACCCACCCTCATATTCTCTCAGAGATTCCCGACTGCTCACATGCTTGCTTCTCTTCTAGGCCTTCTAGACCTTAACAAGCCAGATGACGTGGCTGCCGAAATCGCCCGCCTGGGTGGCAAAGCCCTCTCTTTTGCCGTCGACGTCGCCAACTACGAGCAAGTCCACACGGCCATCAAGGAGACCTCGGACCACTTCGGCGGCATCGACGGCGCAGCGAACATGGCAGGGACCATTGGCACACAGGGATTCAGAGGCAAGGGATACGCACTAAACGTCATCGAGGACAAGGACTGGGACTGGATGATGGCTGTGAATCTCACGGGGGTCAAGAACTGCATCAAAGCCGAGCTCAACTACGTCAAGGACCACTCCAGCATTGTCAATATCTCCAGCATCGCCGGCCAGAGGGGCACGCCGTGGAACGCGCCGTACGGTACCGCCAAGTGGGGGGTCATCAGCTTGACCAAGTGCGCGGCTCAGGAGGCGGGAGACCGAGGCATACGGGTCAACGCCATTGCTCCGTGAGTCCATTATTCATGTGCTCGTGCTCGTGCTCGTGCTTCTGCGGCCGCCACGTGTAAGCGTCTGCTGACTTTGGGCTCGTGTAGTGGTGTTATCGACACTCCGTTGGCGCAGTCCCTGGGAACTCAGGAGCAGGTCCATGAACGCCTGATTTCCAAGACGGCCCTTAAGCGCATAGCTCAGCCCGAGGAGGTCTCCAAGGTCGTCCTCTTCCTCCTGAGTGATGTTTCAGGATACATCACAGGCACCGTATGTTACTCGCAACGATGTATCTGTCTTTCGATCAAGCCACTGACCAAGCATACCTACAGACTATCAATGTTGATGGAGGTTTCCAATAGTGGTATTGTGCCTAACTATGCCCTAAGATCCGAAGGATTTGGCACGATTAATAGTACTTAGTACTCCTGAAGCAAATCATGAATGAGAGACAGCTGGTAGATTATAATTAGATACTACTGGCAACGTATGCGTCTATTTTAGTTATCCAGACAGCTTGAGGTACATGTACATACATCCAGCGAATCCCGGACACGTTCAACGCTTGTCTGTCTTGTTTGACAATCGCAGAATACCGTCCAGCAGTGGTTTTCATATCCGCAGCCTTGGCTCGGTCAGGCCCGGGAGGGCGTGTGATATATCCAGAAACAGCAGACAACGGGTGACTGCAAAGTAACTAAGTCGATATGTGTAAGCTATGGCGTTGGAAGAAGTCAGAAGTCTCACGCTACGCAGATATTGACTACAATGCTCAGATGGAACGTCAGGACGATCAGTCTTACCTTACTGTGTCCAACTTTGTGAGGCAAAAATCCTTGGAATTAAATGGTTCACATGTAGCTACTGAGTAAGACGCGAGGGTGTGGAAACGAGGAAACCTACAATTACACATAGACGATAGCACACCGTCCATAGCCTCAACCTTCCTTAATTTCCGCGGGAATGAGGTTTTAAGGCGTTCCGAGATGGTATGGTCGGCGATGGAACCAGGCGCCTTCGTAAGGACTCCCCCCGTCATGTCCCTGATGCAAATGCCTTCTTACAAAGAGGAATGTCGCTAGGAGGAATTTTTGATCGACGCGGTTAAGTTGAAGAGCAACGCCTATGTCGTCTCTAACACTTATGAATACACGCCTGGGTGATGTCTTCGAGACCATCACAGCTTCACGAGCTTCTTCCCCGTCTTGACTATCATGTCCATCAAAATCTCCTCGCTCCCGCCGCTGACGACGAGGACTCTGACATCCCGACTGATCTGCTCGACCCGGCCGCCCCTTCCGCCCCGGCTGTAACCTAGACCGCCAAATACCTGCTGGGCCTCCCTGCTTATCTTCTCGAGATTGTTCGCGGCTTGGACCTTCAGCAACGCCGCAAGCGGACTGAATGCGAGTTGAGGGGTGCGGACGGATCGGTGAACCAGGTCTTCCATCAGGAACTGGGTGGACTCGAGAAGCCCGGCCATCTTTGCAAACTTGGCTCGGATCACTTGGTTTGAGAAGAGCGGCTGACCGAACACCTCTCTCGATAGGGCGTGTTGGTAGCTGTCCTCGAGGGCGATGCGGCCTAGGCGTATGGCCGTTATGCCAACCCAGAGACGTTCGTGGGTGAATGCTGCAGAATTCATGTTCAGCACTCAAACTGCAGGGGAGCGTCAGAGTGGGATAATTACTCACTAGACATAATGATCTCAAATCCGGCATTCTCCTTCCAAAGCAGATTCTCTGCTGGCACGACCACCTCGTCGAGAGTAATGAATGCGGAACCTGAAACGCGTCAGCGCGGGATCTTTGCTATAATGGAGAGAGGAGGGTATTGCCAACCACTTGAGTTCACTCCCGAGTTTTCCATTTTCTTTCTTGACACGCCTTCAGAGCTCAAATCGACGATGAAGACAGACAGACCCTTGGGTCCGGCCGGGCCTGTTCTGCATCCAATTAGAGCATGTGTTGCCCATTGCCCTTGAGTGACCCATTTCTTCTCCCCGTTAAGGGTATAGAATCTTCCATCTGCCGACTTCTCGGCGGTAGTCGTCAAACCGCCAACGTCTGAACCGGCTGTAAGAAATCCAGGAGTTGTCAGCCCTCAGTCCGCAGAAGAAGGGGAGGCCAAGGCCAGGCCAAGCACAGCAGCAGCGGCGGGGGGGCTCTTACCATCTGGCTCCGTGACCATCAAGCAATGGCGTTGATCTCCTCTCAGCAATGGAGCAAGGTATTTCCTCTTCTGACACTCGTTGCCAAATGTCGAGAGCGGTGCTCCACCGACTGTGGCCCCGCCATTGATGCCCCAGACGGTTCCCAAGCACCCGCAACGCGCCATTTCGTCAATCAACTACCCGCTGGGGATTAGCACAAGGGCCGAAGACAATGGGATATACATTCCAAGACAGATTCTACAGGGGACTATACAATTGAGTCGTGGAATTCGTCCCATTCTGCACATGGCCCATATCATTAGCACAATATCCCTCTTTGGCGGCTTGAACGTGTTCGCTATCTTACCTGACGGATCAATTCCATCTGGCAGGGTGATGCCCTCCAGATACTGGATGGGAAGTGGAAATACTGCGGCGGCGAGGAATCCAAGCGAGGCATGGCGCTTGAAGTTCTGGCCGCGGATTCGATCCATCATCAGCAATCCATTTATGATGCGCAATCAGCTTGTTGTCAAACTCACTTCCTCCGGCACAAATCCTTGCCGCTCCCACTTCTCGACGTTCGGCGCTATCTCCTCGTCCACGTAGCCTCTGATGAACCTCTGGAGCTTTCGGTGGCTGTCCTTGTAATACGGATGCGACGTGTCCGTGTGCCAGGAGGGATCCGCGAAGGGGACGGTCGAAGTCGTCGTGCCTGCCATTGAGACTGATATGGAAGTCTTTTCTTCTTCTTCCAGTGTGTGTAGTTAGTTACACCTTAAAGTCTAGGTTAGATGCAGAACAAAAGGGTTACGATTTCTCTGGGATTAATAGACGCCGCAACATAATAGAAGCTATTTGACAATGTCCTCTTGGGACGAGTACTGGCCTCCACCAAGGTCCCTTGCGTCTTCACAAAATGACTCCACTGATAATACATGCCGTTCCTGCAACCGAGCCCAAGCCCCTGTCAAATCACCAAACAGGGACTGTTCATTCCGTACGGCCGTCACGTGGCTAGTCTGTCATATTCCGAGAATTACAAAGGAAGGGTGCGTGTTCCGTTGAGTTCGGAAAGACTCCATAAATTCCGAGATCCGCAATCGGAGAAGCAAGCAGCATCATTTGGGGTGGGGGGGCAGCCCCACTTCCCTCCGGGCTTGGAAGAACATGGGGTAACTAATTAGTACGTATTAGTACGTACATACATAGTTAACTGACGCAGGCTACGGCTTAGATGACGGCGTTTAATAATAACTGCTGTTTGAAGAAACAACAGAGAATATGAATCCTGCAGGGCGTCTCGATCAAGTGCAGAAACATCTTGCACCCGAGGTCGATCCATGCCGACTCGACGGGCAAGTCGTGCTGATTACCGGCGGTGCGCAAGGTAAGATGCCCAAGAAGATGAGATCGGTTGGCCATTTAATTGGTTCAGTTGCGTGACTTACGAGAAAATAGGCATCGGCAGGGCCGCTGCTCAGCTTCTGGCCAGCAAAGGTGCCAAGATCGCCATCAATGACCTCGACGAAACAAAGGCAAACGCGGCGGTTCGAGAACTTACCTCGGCTGGGCATGAAGCTCTCGCGATAGCAGGAGACCTCCTAGAGGTAGATCATCCCCAGAAACTAGTCGATGCCGTGATACAACGATTTGGAAAGGTCAACGTCCTCGTCAATGGCGCAGGTAGGCAATAAGAAATTCCCGAGTGTCCCAACCTCCCGCTGACCTAGCGGGTTGCCCGCAGGATTCCTCGTCGACAATGCGATCCACAGGATGACGGAGGAGCAGTTCGACGTCGTCATGAAAATCCACAACTACGTGCCGTATAGAATGATCAAGGCACTGTCAAAGCACTGGATGGACAGCGCAAATGCAGACATGCCCAAGGCCATTATCAACATTGCATCCGTGTCGGGGCTGCACGGGACGCCAGGGCAGGTCAACTACTGTACAGCCAAGGCCGGAGTGCTGGGCCTGACCATGGCTATTGCTAAGGAGTGGAGCAGGTAAGCTAAACATCCCCCTTGCTGTTTTTTATTTTTATTTTTGTCGTGAGTCTCCTAACCGTAGTCTGCTAGATTCAACGTGCGGTGCAACTCGGTGGCCTACGGCTGGATAGACACGCGCATGACGCGGCCGCCCGAGGAGACGGCCAAGTTCGTATCTGGAGGGCAGGAGATCGTTGCTGGGATACCGCAGAACTACAAGAAATGGAGAGACACGTCGGACATCCTGGTCGGTGCACGTCCGGGCACGGCGAGTGAGGCGGCGGGGGTGATTTTGTTTCTGGCCAGTCCGCTCTCGGCCTACATGACGGGAGCATGTGTCGAATGTACGGGTGGCCGATATTTATGAAACTGCTACTATTCGTAGTGGTACACTACTTATACACACTGATATACACTTGAATATAAAGCGGGAATCCTGTTTCAACCCCAAACCACCTTTTTGTCCGGGAGCCTGAGGATTCTAGCCCTGTTGCCCGGCCTCGAATATTGACAATCCCCACTTCGCCTGACTCGCTAACTCCCGGACGGGCTCTCAGATCTGGGGTCTAGGCGAGGCACATTGGCTCCTTCTAAGTGCTACGTTTTAGTTAACGCCGTTAATGTACAGTACATACCTAGCTTGTAACCACTTTCTGGCATCATCATCATCATCATCATCGATTCATGTAGCTGCCGCCCGATACTGAGGCTCCATAGCCTGTGCGGTCATTCTTCATAGGAAACAAGTCTACCTACATCACTACTACGTGGACTTCGTCCACTAGTAATAGGCAGTGAATGATAAGGTGGCGGATATTGGGTCCCGGTAGTGGGGAAGTGGAGACCGGGAGGGGTGGAGACGCGGGGAAATGGGGAAGCCAAGGAAGCGGGGAAGCTATCGTTACCTAGCTGCTTCTAAAACAACTACCGATACTCTGTACCGTATAATTAGAGCTACCCCTTCATCCAAACCACTCCATCGCTCGAAGCATCTACGATACTTTTCATTATCATTAGTTTATTTGCTAGCGTTACAACTATGGCGCATGCCTATCCTTCCTTTCTTCACGAACTGACCCAGAGCTCCATGTTCAGTGGAGACCTACCAGAGCAATTCCAGCAGCCCCAGAAGCAGCTGCCTGCGCGACGAACCTCGGTTCCATTGCCTCCGCCAACCTATGTGGAAGATCAAGCCAGTACGAGCGGCTCGGTCTCTCGGGCCAAACGCAAAGACGCATCACAGAACCAACGACGCAATAAGTACATCCCGCGCGCCTGGTGAGATTACCTCCGCTGATGCCATCCGTCCATCCCTCGTCTTCGTCCCTCGCTTTATGCTAAAAGAAAATTCTTTAACTAGCCAGGACTGTCAACGGCGGAAAGTCAAAGTATGCTCCACGATACACCCCATGTAACGATCCCATCTCACGCGCGTCTTACAGTGTTCGGGAGAAAACGTCTGCTACCATTGCCGTGCGCGTGGGGCCCTATGTGTGTATCTCCCCAAGTCGGAGGTCGATGGGAGGAAGAGGCGGACAAGGGCCACAAGCCCATCGGGGTAAGCCTTGCCGGAATCGTCTAGGCAGCATCCCATTCCGCCACGAGCTAATAACAATCATCCTGGCCAAAGCAACGAGCAGAACAATACTGGCACGAACGGGTCCGACGCTCGCAAAAGTCCCAGCTGCGAGGCAAATAACTTGTCCATCGAATCGAAACTCGCGGTGCTACAAGAACAAGTGCGCACGTTTTCCGAAAACCTGCGCTCAAAGTATGCCCTGACAGAAGCAAATCCCCGACATCCGCGGTGTCGCGGCGTGGTCGTCTTGGCTGACATGGTAATTACAGCGACGGGTCTGACAGGCGAAGGGTGACTTTTGCCTCATCATCGACATTGTACACAGTCGACCTCGCAGCCGAAAACGGAGATGAAACTGATACCTTTAACAACGGAACTGGGTCTAATAATCTCTCACTCTCAGCACAGCTCGTCGACCTCCGAAAACTAGTCCGCCTGAGCTCGGGCCTGTCAAGGCGGCCGCTGCAAAGCGCCGGGTGGAACCGCATCTTCCCCCTCGAGCTTCCTCACCCTACGAGGCTCCGCTACCTCACCGGGGTCTACTTCCGGGAGATGGACTCGTTCTTCCCCTTCCTGGACCAGCATGACACCGACACGAGGGTGTCCAACGCCTTGGAGAAACTGGGCTATTCGGATTGCAATCCCATTGTCGACGTCGACACTGCCCATTACCCGATCATAGCGCTGCTTTGCAACATGCTAGTCCTGGGCGAGTGTCAGGATCCCGAGATCAAGGGCTGTGACGATCCGAGGCCAGGATGGGCCATGTATCACCGAGGCCGGAAGATGATCCAACATTGCGGATCGTTCAAGACGGTGGACATGGACCTCATCCGATACCACACGCTGAGTGCCTTGTACATGATGGACTCAGAGCTGCTCCTGTCAGCGTCACACGCAATCTCGACCGCCGTGCAGCTGGCCATGGTTGCAAGGCTGAACGACCAGGCATTCTGGGGCGACTGCACACCCGAGGAGCGACAGGCGCGCCAGAGACTCTGGTGGACCATTTATTTCCTGGATCGTAGAATTGCCCAACGCAACGGGACGCCGTATATCGTCCGCGACACCGAGATTGCCGTGGACGAGTTTGAAGTGCGCGACGTCGCAGAGGAGCGCTGCCAACCTTCGATACCAACAACATCCCAGAGCGCCGGACAGGCGGCAAAAGATGCCTCGTCGACGACCCGTGTCGAGAACTACTTCCAGTCTTTGATCGGCTTCAGCAGGCTTTGGGGCCAGATCTGGGACACCTATTATGCCGCCTCCGCAAGTAAGGGCGGAGATTGGAGGGAGGTTGCGTAAGTGAACGATCCATGCCAGAGACACCAGATAACTATTGATAGTAGGCAAGGCTAATTGCGTATTCGAATTGGGGTGGGGTGATTATAGCCTGACAGACACTAGAATTCATATCTTTCGGCGCCAGCTACCGCCCGAATTGTCGTGGGATACGAACAAGTCCGCTGGCTATGTGGCAGAGGGCGAGACAGAGCCAATGGTGCGCAGGAGGCTAGCCATATTCATTGTAAGTTATCCCTGGCCGAGACAGAGATAAATCAAAACAAAAAGAGGCCGAAAGTCTTGCTCGATGTGGCAATTGGCGGCACGCCTTACTTACAGTTATCCCAAGAGAATCAACCTTTTGCGGATGATTATCCGGCAAAATCCCATCCTGTCCTGTGACGGGGATGAGGAAGCCAGACACTTCTGCGCGCGTCTCGCCAGAAACAGCATCGACGCGGTCGCAGCCTTTGCCAACTCCTGTCCCAGAAGCCGCACCTCGGGATACTTCATCAGCACGGCCCTGGTCGAGTGTATCTACCACCTGGTGTACATTCTCCAGGACCGGACCTTGCACATAGACCGTCTCGCCGTTATCGACGCCTTTCGCAAAGCCTACCAGCTGCTCTCTGACTTTGCGAGCAGCTGGATAACGGCCAAGCGGGCGCTACAGGCGCTGTCCTCGGCCATCTTCTCGGGCGGCGACGCGAACGCGCTTTTCGAGGCCATATCAAAACCTCGCAGCGAACAGAGTGAGGGACTGCAAGACACGCCCCGCGACCAAAATGCCGACTTAGCCAACGACAATTCTCCCGACAGGGCGTATGCCGCCGAGCTGTTGTTGGATTCCACGGCAGAGTTCGGGGGGGAACTGACATCATCTCTGAATAATATCCCTTCCATGAATCAGCTTTCGGACCAGATCATGCAGCAGGAACCACGGCGGCAGACTCAGCCGAGCTACGCCGGCGGGTTTGAATACGCGCCGACTATCTATGGTGATATGGACCTAGATTGTGCACATGTATTCTCTACCTTATAGTAATTATGTGGTTTAATTCTTATCATGAGATGGCCTACCTGTCACTACTGTTTAATAACCATCTACTGCTGGTACTGTAGCTCCGTCTTGAACAGTGTCTACTAGGCAAGTGGACGGGCTGCTCATTGTCAAAGGCATGGATTATACCACAAAGAGTGTGTAGTTTATTTGTTTGTTTGTTTGTTTGTTTGTTTGTTTGCTTGCCTCCGCCTCTTCCATTTGTTTCGCAATCTTTAATCCTTTTGGATTTACTACAAGTTCAAGAATCAAACTTCAAGCCAGTCCAAGTTCTAAGTCGACCACCAATCATCCTGCTTCCTCTTCACCCTAACGTCGAGCCCGGTCTGCGGGACTAACCAGCCCGGACACGGTGTATACTTCTTCGGGTCGACAAGCTCGACGTCGAACCTCCTAAACAGCTCCGGCACCATCTTCGAGATCTCCAGCAGAGCAATGTTCTTGCCTAGGCAGACCCTTGGCCCACCGCCGAACGCAAAACCCAGGTTCTCCATGCTGCGCAGCCGCGCCGGGTCCGCGTCCATCCACCGCTCGGGGCGGAACTCGTCGGCGTCGTCTCCGTACACCTTCTTGTCGCGGTGCACCACCCACGCGTTGCACCCCACCACCGTGCCCTCCGGTATGAACCGGTCGCATAGCTGCGTGCCCCCCGGCGGCACCAGACGCGGGATCAGCTGCCCCAACGGCGGGTGTACGCGGAGACACTCCTTGATCAGGGCCTGGTAGTAGCGCATGCCCTGGCCCTCGGCCCACGTGACGAGCCTGTCGGGGCCGGCGCCGTCGCGCGCCCGGAGCACCGCGGCGAGTTCCGCGCGGAACTTGTCCAGGGCCCCCCGGTGGGTGAGCAGGCGGTAGACGATCTCGCGCAGCGCGATGGCCGTCGTGTCCGACCCGGCGCTGACGTTGGTGTTGGTGTAGGCCGCCAACCGCTGGTCGGTCATCAACTCCGGGTACTTGTCACGGACCTGGATAAAGCGCGTCAGGAAGTCCGGCCGCGAATCTGTCTCCGACGCTTTGTGGTCGCGGATCCGACCGGCCGTGAACTTCATGACGGGTCCCGTGCGCCGGAACTTTCGCAGGATGTGACCGAAGCCCTTGAGGCGGAAATATTCATCGAAAGTAGGGATCTGGCCGACCTGTTTTGCTGCTCTGTCAGTGGTCTAATTATTTTGTGTGTGCTTTCCACACGAGAGAAAAGAAACGTGTTGGGACTGACTATGCCTATCCAGTCCATCGCTCGAGCCGTGTGGCGCATCATGTTGCCAACGTCCTTGCCGGCTTCCAGAAAGCCAAACCGCTTGCTAAAGGTGATTTCGCCTCTGTTGTCTTCAGCATAACTTCATCCTGCCATGGATGGTTGGTCGGTCAAGGACAGGGCAGGGTGGGGGTTGCTCACATCACATCGAAGGCATACATCTGCAGCCAGCTGCCGAAGGGACAAACCTCTCCGGTCTCGGAAAACCGGTCCATCTGCTTCATGAAGACTTGCGACGTGGAGTCAACTAGGGGCTCGTACTCCACCAGCGTGCTCAGGGAGTAAGTATGCGCAACAAGCCGTCGGAGATCCCGATGGATACCCTCGCTCCTCGTGGAAGACACGTTCTCCAAGACTGTACCATCTTCCGTGGTGACGTCCTGGGAGATGTATAACCGGCTCTGCACATGACCGTTCAGCTCTTGCCTGTTGCATCCGGGACACAGTCGTCGAGCACTGGTGCTTACCTTTGAGAACACGGGTTTCCAGCCGTATATTATCCGAACGGCTTCAGCATCCGACACACTGACCGTGTTTGGTCCAAACCGGACCACTGACGACTTGAACTTCTGGTGCAGGTCATATTCTTCGGACCCCTTTCGGCACAGATAGTGGAGGAAGAGCCAGCCGTCTGACAACGAGGCCAGAAATGGCCCTGGGATATCCGATAAGCCCTTGCCATATCTGTTATACACAAGACGGCCGAGAATGGCGACCACGCACAGGGGCAACCAGTAGGCGCTGATAACCTTGGTAATGTATGAGAGAAACGCCATTTGGGAGTGGAAGAGTTGATGAGATGAAAGGAAGTATCTGCAACAACTTGTGATCAGGGATGGGTAGTTTTCCACGCTCTTAGCAAAATGGCCATCGTGGGTTTAAGAGACGTCCTCTCTACGGAAACTTCCAATCATCTCTCCGGCATTACGCAGTGAGACGAATACAGTCAGTGCAACCTCCTGCCCACTGAGCTTCAAGTTTCTGGTTAATCTTGGGCTGCGTCACATGCATGGATTTTCGGAATCTATGATGGGTTTGTTATGCTCGCTCGGGACCTAATAATTGCATTTCGGAATATGTTCGGAAGTCCCGTTTCCGACATCTAACCACCCCCCCATTCCCCCGGCCTCCACCGACAAACTTCCCCAAACAAGCCCTTAACTATTCTAGACTAGCGCAAGCGCTGAGAGTCGACTTGGCAACAAGGTGCACTTTGTATTATCTGGCTGCCGGTTAGATCAGGGGTAAGTCCGTACCTAGCCGTTGCTGGGACTTGTATCGTACAATACTTAGTGCAGAAGGCATTCTGATACCTGGACGGCTGTTACGACTGCCCGGCATAGACTCCTGATCTAGATTCATAATTAATGTTGCACTCTATAAGGGAAATCGCCGTCAGTTTATAAACCCAATGGCCGTTCTTCGCTCTAAGACATGGGTGGACATTCCCAATGACGTCTCTATCCCGGAGTTGATGGGTAAGAACGTTTTCCACACCGAGCCCGACAAGATCATATACGAAGAGGCCTTCACGGGGAAGACCAGGACCTACGGCCAGTTCCACACCGAGGTCAGGCGCGGAGCATACTGGCTGCGGCACTCCCTGGGGTTGAAAGTCGGGCAGATAGTCTCCATCGTGGCTCCCAGCTGTATCGACTACGTCCTCGCCGTGCATGCCGTGTGGTGGGCTGGCGGCGTCGTTAGCTTGATCAACAACTCCCTCCACGAAACCGAGATCACCGCCGCCATCGACCTTGTCCAGCCAGATTATCTCATGATCCACGACTCGCTATGGGAGAAGATACCCCGGAGCCTGGAGCTGTGCGAGAAACAGCACGCCCCGGGAATACTCACTCTGGGAGACAAGCACCACGACACGTGGATATCCTTCCCGGAACACGTGTCGACGGAGACGGGCGAGCTGGAGCCCTTCTCGCTCAAGGGCCAAGACGCCGGGCGCGTCCCCTGCGGCATCCTCCTCTCCAGCGGCACGACGGGGCGCTTCAAGGCGGTGATGCTGTCGCACCATAACATGGTGGCGGCCATCCACCAGCTGCGCGCCGACAACCCGCAGAACTGGCGGCCCGGGCAGCGCGAGGTCTTCTTCCCGCCCCTGTCGCATGTCTACGCTCTGTACGCCTGCATCACGGGCGTCTTCTGGCTCGGCGCTTACGCCTGTCTCATGCCGCGCTTCCAGCTAGAGTCCTACTGCCGCCTGATGCAGGACCGCCGCGCCACGCTGGCCCGCCTGGTCCCGCCCATTGCGAAGCGGCTGGCCGAGAGCCCCGTCGTGAGGCGTTATAGGTATCCCCAGCTCGAGTACTTCTCGTGCTCGGCTGCACCGTTGAATGCGAGTGACACAGCGATTTTCAGTACCTAATTATGTGTAATTAGTCTGAGGCTGACATTTTTGAGTAAACAGCTTGAGACAGCCGAAAAGCTACGAGCGGCGTTTCCCGGAGTTGCACTATGCCAGAGTAATTATGGGTTCCCGACTCTCGCCCTGCATTTCCATCCATTCCGGTGCTGACGTGTTTCTGTTTGCAGCTTACGGATGCACCGAGCTTTCAGGCCCTTGTGTCCAGAGCGGCGTCCGAGACACAAACCTACCCATCACAGCCGCGGGGACTCTCATTGCTAACATGGAGATGAAATTCCTGGAGGTCGACGGGCCGGGCGAGAGCGCTAGGGGCCCTGGGGAGATCACGGTCCGCGGTCCCAACGTGATGATGTAAGGGGTTCTCCACTACGGCAGCAAAGCCGGGACGTAATCACCCTGCCCGCTAACCTTGTACGCAAGGGGATACAAGGACGACCCGGTGACCACGGCAAGCTCAATGGTCGAAGGGGGCTGGTACCGCACCGGCGATCTGGGCTATATCGACGACAACGGATTCCTCATCGTGTACGACCGACTAAAGGACATCATCAAATATAACGGGTTCGTCCGCTTACCTAACACTGAACCAACACAGTTACTGACTTTCATACCTTCTGTCTCGGCCGGAAGATTCCAAGTGTCTCCGCTGGAACTAGAAGAAATACTAGTGCAGAATCCCCTCGTCGACGAGGCAGCCGTCTGTGGGGTGTGGAGCGAGGCGGATGCCACGGAGCTCGTCTGCGCGTACGTCGTCCTGGGAGATACACCCGAAGCTAGAGCAGATCGCGAGGTAGTAGCGGAGGCATTGTCAAAGTTCGTTGCAGATCGTGTGGCACACTATAAGCAGCTGAAGGGGGGGGTTGTCTTTGTTGACGAACTGCCCAAGAACCCGACGGGTAAGGTCCTCAGACGCGTGCTGAGGTCTGAGGCGGAGAAGGAGAGCAAGGCTAGGGTGTTGGCAAAACTGTAGAGTATATTAGAGTATATATGGGCTAGGTGGCTGGACAAGTGTTGCTCATATCAACAGGGTAGATGTGTCAAAGGCTTCCCGTCATGTAAACCCAACTCCGCCTGTTCCATGACGTATATTTGACGAGGCCTAGGTGTCAACGGATTTATCTGAGACCGTGAGCGGTTGAACCGCCTTTCAGGAAAGGACGTTGGACTCGTCACGTTTGACGATTAAGACATGGATAGTCTCTTGCCATGATGTGGTTGGTATAGATGGTCATTTATCACAAACCCAATATCCTCATAAGGCTCCGGATTCACGCTCGCTTATTGTCATGTAGCTGGGATTAGTTACTGTAACGATTGGTTGGCGAACCGATGACCTGACTACTTCCATCCAATGTCTTCTCAATGCCCCCTTGTCCAGATACCTCCTGCGTTCTGATCAACCAAATTCATAGGGGCTCCGTAGCTCCAACAGCAAATATTAAGAATGCGCGCGTCAATCTCTCAGCCATCCGCCAAAAAGCACCACCGCCACCACAACCACCAGCACCACCCCCTCTCATGCCCAGTAAGACGACCACGAAAGGAAATCCTCTCACATTCAAGCAGCGTTCTCAACAACCTCGGTACTCGCCACACGATCCGACGAGCCGCTATGCCCCTTCTGGTCATCACCAGTAGCCTCTAGTGCGTCAACCGGGATACCGCCCAGGTCGAGCTCATGCTGGTACACGGCGACCATTTCGGCGTCGCCAAAGATGCCCGCGATCTCCTCTAGCGGCTTGTGCAGCGTATCCTTAAAGAACAGGAGGACGATCACCGAGGCGAGGGCCGGGAGGCAGATGAAGAAGAGGTAGTAGCGCCAGCCGATAGTCTCGAACGCCGTCGGCGCAGCCTCCAGCCACGTCAGGTTGGTCAACGACATGGTGGCCATGGCGATGGCAAAGCCCTGCGAGCGCACGTGCGATGGCCAGATCTCGGCCACGTAGAAGAAGCTGGACCCGTCGAGGAATAGCGAGTATGTCGTCTGGAAGAGGAAGATCATGGCCGTACAAGCGATCAGCCCCGCGCGCTCGCTGCTGTTTAGGTAGAACTTCTGTAGTGCCGTCTCCGCCGACATGACGCATGCCGTAACAAAGAAGCCGCCGGCGATGAGGTGCGGCCGCTTGACACGGTCGACGAAGGCCATGGCGAGAATGTTGAATACGAGGCCGGTCAGCTGGAAGCCGCATTGGAAGTGGAGAATTTGCACCGTGTTGAAACCCAGCGAGCGCCAGATTATGGAGCCGTAGTCTAGGGACAGGGGGGTTAGTTCAGGGGGCCTCTCATCAACAAGTGGTGGCCATAGCTGCGCCTGTCTGCGAGGAGGGGGGTCCGGGGGGAGGACTTACTGAGGATAACTAAGACGCCGGAGCTCATCAGGCTGAATTCGAGGAACATGGTTATGAGAGCCCGTTTCCGCATGGACGGCCGGGTAAAGATTTCCCAGTAGGATGTTGCAAAAGTCCTGTCAAGCTCAATCTGCTTCTGCATCTGGTAGAACTCCCTCTTGACAAATTCGCCTGTTGGGTCACTCGGATCGTAGTGCATGCGGTAGATGATGGCGCGGCCCTCCTCGACGCGGCCCTTGGAAAGCAGATATCGTGGAGACTCTGGCATCCAGTAGAGACCACAGAGTATGACGGTCGGCAGGACCATCTGAAGCGCTATCGGGCCCCTCCACTGGTTGCTGCCCTTCACAAAGTAGAATCCCAGGCCGACGTAGCAGGCTATGGCATATCCGAGCATCATGAACACGGCGTGGATGTCGGTCAATATGCCTCGCACCTTGGGCTGGGCCAGCTCGGCGATCCATAGAGGAACACTGGCCATGATGACGAAGCAGCTAGGCAGGGCGGCTCAGCTATGGGCACATGGAAAGACGCGGCTGCGTGGAGCTACAAGGGATGGAATGGCTTGACTTACCCGAAGCCGCTGAAGAAACGGAAGACGATGAACATTGCAGGGTTGACGGAGGCCGTGAGCAGGGCCCCGGAGAACAGGAGTAACATATTCGCAAGAGCAACCGAGGCCTTTCTGCCGTACTTGTTGCTAACCCATCCCGCACACATGCTGCCACAGGCGCCGCCGGCATAGAAAAGTCCGTTCATGGCGCCAATCAGCCCGCTGGCGTTAGGCGCGGTGTCCAGCTTCATGTGCTTGACGAAGGAGGGCTGGGTCAGCGTCGTGGCGATGATGGACGCGGCATACCCGTAGGCTGCCGAGCTCAGCGTGATGAAGCAGATTATGACGATACTGCGCGTGTTGACATGCTGCTTCTTCTCAAAGCCCGGCGGCAACGCTGTGCCACTGCCATTCGTGCCCCCGACTGTGGTCTTCTCTGGCTGTGCCATGCTGACGAACGACCGATAACACAGCTTTGTTGATAAAGGAAAAATGGTGGCTTCGAAATTGATGGCCCAATGTCCTGGATCGTTACTTGAAGGATAGCACGTAGATAGCTATATGTGTTTTTATTATCATCGCTCTTGAGTGTCTCTCTGAAGCCATGTTGCTTACCCCGGACTCTCAGGGTTCCCCGCATATTCCACACTACCGCGCCTGTTGCCCGTCACAGCTTGGCTGCCGGACTAGTGTATGGCGGGCGGGGAGGGGATTTCTTAAAAGAGACACCTCGCGTCGTTGCAGCGGGGGAACCAGGTCAAGTGGTGGGCAAGTAGATTCCGAGGACTTGGCAAGAACTTGGAGCCGTGGCCAATGCCGACCATGAACCACGGGGATCCCTGTAATTACAGATCCTCTATCTCCTCCGCACATGATGTCGCGATCAACCACACATGGTTTCGGCTCCCCGAGGGTTCTTCCCGAGCTAGTCTCCCTGGATTCCGGGTTCGAGTGCTCGTTCAGCTGTCCGGCAGAAGGTCCCGGTAATTAACTGGATCTAAAATCACGGAAACAACCCAATTCCAGCTAATATTATACCTCCCCCCATATATTAGAACCCATGAAAGCTTCCAAGCTCGGGAGATATTGGAATAATAAGCCACTGTGGCCCCAAGTATTAGTCGATTCTGGGTTTTGAATGAGATAATCATGAACACGCTGACGATCAGAACCACCCCCGCATCTTCGGAGACCCTGGCCAAGAGGGCTGAGGCGATGCTGCAGGTGGAGGAGTTGTGCAAGGCCCAGGTCCAGTGGTACCAGACAGCCACCGTCGCGGAATACCGGAGAATGCGCGCCGAGGGCATTGGGTTCCCAAAGCCTTCACTATACGAAGGGGCTAGAACCGTGACCCTAGCCGGGAGACATGGACATGACATCCAGCTCCGAGTCATCCAGGCCCAGACCACATCAAAGGGAGTGCTTCTCCACTTCCACGCAGGTGCGTTCCCAGCTCGGGTGTTTTTCTGACTTGTCCCTCCCTACGCAATGCTAAGATGTATTGTATACGCGGTCAACAGGGGGTTTCGTCATTGGCTCGTCCAAGTCGTATGACAATTACCTTGTTCACCTCTCCAAGGTTCTAGAGTTGTCGGTCGTATCAGTCGAGTATAGACTGGCACCAGAGCACCCTTACCCAGCGGCACACAACGACGCTGTGGACGCGGCGATGTTTGCCCTGACTCCCGAGGGGGAGGCCCGACTCGGTGGGCCACTCAGAATCCTGGCTGGTGAGTCTGCCGGCGGTTACCTCGCGACGTGGGCTGCAATGGAACTTCGCCGCAGGGGCCCCGGCAGTGGTTCGTCACAGGTCGCAGCCGTGATTGCCAGCTATCCGATCTATGACCTGACGTACACTCCGTCCTGCCTCAACCACGCGAGGGAGGCAGTTCTCTCCAGCGAGGGAATGAAGAATTTCGTCGATGCAGCATTCCCAAACGTGCCTCCGGAGCAGCGGAGACATCCAGATCTCTCACTCCTATACGCGGATCTGAAGGGGTTGCCGCCGGCGCTTTTTTTGTGCGGTACCGAGGACCCATTGGTGGACGACAGCGCATTCATGGCCGCGAGATGGAGCCTTGCGGGCAATGAGGCCGAGTTGTCTCTCGTTCCGGGTGCTTGGCATGCTTTTACCTTGATCCCTTCCGGCGAGGTTACGGACGAAGGGCTAGCAGAGATAGTGTCATTCGCCAGGAAGCACCTGTGAGCTGTTAGCCTGTAAATAATTACTTGGTTAGAGTGACCAAATACGATGATGTAAACATTTGAGACACAATAAGGCTCCTTGAGCTGCCGGGTTTCTTACCGACACCATAGTTCAACTGACCAGTGACCGTGACCCTAACTAGGTAATTACTTGTAATAGGATGGGTGTGCAGGTCGTTTAGTGAATGGTCGGTATACCAGGGTCGTCCTCGAATGAATGATGAGTTTACTGACAAGTCGAGTGTACATACATCGGGCGCCGAATTCCGGTTTCCGGTTCGCGGTCCTTTGAGTGCCTTCGGTGTAATGTCCGAGTGGACATCCATTATGAATCCCCAAAGGCAGTTGTCAATCAACTTGAGGAATCGGCCCTCGTAGTCTGACATGTATTCGTGGTTCACCGAGTTTGTGTTTTCAAAAATCGGAGGTCGGAACTGGCAATGGAATTCGGAATGGAATTTCGGAATGGACCTCGGAATGGAACCTCGGAAAGGAACGGATGGGGTAAGGCGACAACACACCTCGGCCGAATGACCGGGAACCAAACCAAAACCCTAAGACACAAAGAACGGAACAGCCTAACGGTAATTAGTGGATGCCTGTGGTTGATGCACTACTGGTTTGTGGTATATACAATATTATCGCGACATATGTGCGGTGAGTAAACGGATAATTTTCCTCAAAGCTTTAGAGTGTGAGACGATTCTTCGGTGTTTTTTTTTTTTTTTTTTTTTTTTTTTGAAGAAGAAGAAGAAATGATGTCGCCAGCTGCTATTGAGGCCATCCAGCAGCTCCAGCCACTGCTGGCTGGAGATCCTGAAGAAGGAGAAGCCACGGATGCATACAAGCTCAGGGATGATCTCGCCTACTCCCTCTCCAGGCTGCCCCTAGGAACAAGGCGGCCGATCAAGATCGTGTGTGCTGGCGCAGGTTTCAGCGGTCTCGCTCTCGCGAAGGAGGTAGAAAGCGGACAGCTCCAAAATGTAACTCTAGTTGTGTACGAGAAGAACGCTTCTGTCGGCGGCACCTGGTACGAGAACCGTTATCCAGGCTGTGCATGTGGTGAGTTCCAGTTCCAAGGCATCCAACCCCCCAGAACTGCTCTTCGGCACGTTGCTAGATCCCGCCTTGACTCACAACAGCATACATACAGACATTCCGATACACAACTATCAGTTCTCCTGGGCTCCGTATCCCCACTTTCCCTCATACTACGCGGCCCGGGATGACATTCAGGGCTACATCGAAAACGTGGCGGATCAGCATCACCTAAGAGGCTATGTCAAGACTTCCTATAAGGTCTTGGGGGCCAAGTGGATCGAAGACCGGCAAAAGTGGCAGGTACGAATCGTGCAAACGGACGGCAGGGAGTTGGTCGCAAGTAACCGTCATACCCGGGAGGGTGAGAAAGGGGAACCCTTTATTGAAGAATGCGACGTCTTCATCAATGCAACAGGCTGCTTCAATGATTGGAAGTGGCCCAGCATTCCAGGCCGCGAAGCCTTTCAGGGCCAACTGCTCCATTCGGCCGTCTGGCCCAGGGACGCTCAACTCGCAGGCAAAACCGTTGCTATTATAGGCAACGGGAGCACAGGGGTCCAGATCTTGCCGGCGATCCTGGACGAGGTGAATAAAGTCTATGTCTTCATCCGGAGCAAGACGTGGGTTACGGCCGGGTTCGCCCAGAAGTTCGCCGGACCAGGCGGGTCGAACTTGGTCTTCTCGGAAGAGCAAAAGCGGAGGTGGGCTGAACATCCAGAAGAGTACCTCGCATACCGGAAGGCAGTCGAGTCCGAGTTGAATTCCCGCTTCAGGCTGTATTTGAAACACTCACAGGAACAGACGGCGGCTAGGAAGTTCTCGGTGCAGCAGATGTCGGAGAAACTCAGCGCGAAGCCGGAGATTTTGGATTATCTGCTGCCGGACTTTTCTGTTGGGTAAGCACTTACACCGGCCCATATTAGCACAAGGTGACTTTGAACGTCAGAGTACTGAATTAACCTATAATAGGTGCCGCCGTGCCACGCCTGGAAATGGGTACTTGGAGGCTCTGTGTTCCGACAAGGTCGAGATAGTTTGGGGAGAAATCAACCGATTCACGCGAGGCGGCCTCGAGTCTGCAGCCGGGGCCCATTACGAGGTCGATAGCATTATCTGTGCAACAGGCTTCAACATGAGCTTCTCTCCGAGGTTTCCCATCATTGGCCGAAATGGGGTTGACCTTCAGAAGAAATGGGACGCCAGCCCCGAATGCTACCTCTCGGTCACGGCGGCAGACATGCCCAACTACTTCATGTATCTTGGCCCCGGGAGCCCGCTGGGCCACGGCAGCGTCGTCAGTTCTCTGGAGAGGGTGACTCACTACATTTCCAAGTTTATAACCAAGATGCAGACCCAGAACTACGGCTCCGTGGTGCCAAAGCCGCACATCCCACGGGCTTACCAGAAGCATGCACTGGCCTGGCTGCAGAAGACGGCGTGGAGCAGCCACTGCGTGAGCACGTACAAGAACGGGACCGTCGACGGACCCATCATCTCTCTCCACCCGGGCTCGCGATTGCATTTCTTCGAGCTGCTTCAGAACCCGCGGTGGGAGGACTTTGAGTGGCAGAGTCTGTGTGAGGATCCTGACCTGACTTTTGCTTGGATGGCCAACGGATTTATCCTCGACGAGTGTGTCGAGAACTCCGACAAAGACTTGACGTGAGCTGCCTTCCTTTTCATAAAGACTAATTACACTTCAGCTAACGCGGGTTATATAGGTGGTTCTTGCTGCCGGTGCCGAAGGAGGGTTTTATCAAGCGATCAGCGATAAATGGGGTAAATGGAGGGAGTTCATCGGTGGTTTCAGAAGCTTGAAAAAGGCCTCAGCGTAACAAGTGGGTAGTAGTAACGGGAGTGACGCGGCTATTTGTGGCACATGCTGCTACTTAAAACAGGTAGACGCGAGTAGCAAACTTAGATTCCATTAGGCAACAGCAAGTCACATGGTTTAAAAGCTTATCCCCTCGAGTTGATACTAGCTACTTGGCCCCTTGACCTCTCCATTCCCTGCCCTGATTCACTCTCTTGGACGGTATCGACATCTCTAGACTGTCTGCCAGTACCTATCCAAGATTTTCCTTACTCAGGCGGGGCACTCGTTTATCCCAAAATTCCTCCTCCTCTTTTCATACCAGCTCGGCATTCAAATTCACCTGTCTCTGAATCATGCAAAACTCTATCGCTTCCCAGCCATCTGCCACCGCCTTGCGCGCAAGTTTGCTTACCCACTCGACTGCCCCATGGTCTTTGTCAAATTCGGCCACTCCCACGAACAGGCTGAGGGAGACATGCAGAGGCTTGCGTTTGACTGGCTGAACTTGGAACGACGGAGGACCCAGTGCAATATTTATGTCCCAGAGGTCTACAAGATATTCACCAGAGACGGTGTGACTTTCATTGTCATGGAGTTCATTGAAGGAAGCAGAGTCTGGGATTTTGCAAAATGGTTTGAAGCTCAGTATTGGGAAGACCACAAGTCCAAATACTACGACTTGATTGTCGAGGGAATTCAATTGCTCCGCCGTATGCCTGTTCCCGAGACGCAACCCCGGGACCACGCACGAGCTCTAAACGGATCATCCATCATACACTTTTCAAGGACGACGAAGCCCCGATCGAGTACCGTACCGTTGGAGAATTGCAGGACCACTTGAATAAGGTATGGATAGTTACAATGACGATTGTCGGTTGTGCCTGTACTAATAGCGCCTCCCTAGGTTGCAAAATTCGCCTACCACAACAACCCGCACCCGCCAACAGTCAATCTCGAGAAAGAACTGGTCTTTTGCTATACAGACTTTGACGACGAGAACTTCATGTTCACTACTTCTGCCCACGGCCGTCTCCGTCTTTACATTGTCGATTTCGAACTCGCCTCATTCCTGCCCATAGATTTCTTCGCTTACACCGTATTGGTTCCTACCTCCCCTGCTGGTTCATAGCCTCTTGGATAAGGGACAGGATTGGGAGCTTTCTACTGCAAGATAATATCGAGGTCATGCAGAGGATATGTTCTATTTTCCAGATTAGTTGGTGGGGGCTGGACTTAGCCAGGCAGAGAGATAAGACATGTCAGGGGGCACTAATTAGTAGTTGCGGGGTCGGTATGGCGGAGGAATCAAAGTTGTCTTGGCTGTACCGGGCATGGTCAAGGGGTGTAAGCAGTTCTACAAGGTTGCGGATGGCGATACGTGCTTCAAGCTTGCCACACGATTCGACATTACGCTTGACCAGGTCAGTGAATAGTTATGCCTTGCTCAAAGTTCTAAAGTTTATTATAGCTACGCGGCGATTCGCAATGATGACAAAACTTCGGCGTACAATCGCTGGCCGATTCCTCCATCAACCTTGTACTTTTCGCTAACCTCACCGTCGACCCAGCAGTCCTGGTCGCGGATGGCCCCTCTCCAGACCTGGATTCTGAGGGGACCGATATCCTCGGCGGGAATCCGCGACTGTCTTACAATGTCGTGCGGCACGACGCGGGAAGGGCGTCGTGCTCGAAGGCCAGCCGGCGAAGGAGGGCGCGCCTCTGGGAGGCGGGCGGGGTTGGGGACTCGTCCGACCAGTTTTGCTAGGTAGGGGGTTGGCAGTCCGTGGGGGGGGAAAGGGGTCGGGGGGGGATGCTCTGCGACTTACGATTAGGTACTGCTCAACGGGCAACGCGCCCCATACTGGGTTGGCGAGTGGGAGGTCGCTGGAAGCGAGGTTTGCAGCCATGACTGAGAGGACGAATGGATTTCGGTGCGCCGTGATGAGTGCAGACTGGGGTTTTGTGCCTTGTGGTGAGCCTGGGCTCGGTTCTTTTGCGACGCGACTAATAGATATTTGGGGTTAACTGTGAGCAGCCTGCCAAATTGATTTTGATTCTTTAGCACTATACATGGCCACGCGCAAAGCGTTAGGTAGGAGGAATCAGAATGGGTTGGTTCCATGTATGTAGCTCGGGCCGTTTGTTGCAGCGGCGTAGCACAAGTGATACCGGTGGGGTCCTAGGATGGATTCCAGGGATGGATTCTATTGGCTGTAAATAGACAGTAGGGCCCAAAGTGTGGTCCGAAGAGCTGCGAGGCAAGGTAGGTGCAGAGCCTATAGAGCTTTAGCCCATAGAGTTAAAATACCATTCCATTATTCCACAGTTATTAACAAACAAGGCAGGCATTCTTCAACTCCCTTCAGTGCCTTGTCTTTCTCAAGTTGTAGGCGTTGGCGTCCCAAGCGCACCAAGCGTGATAGTTGAGCACGGCGAATCATATTCCGATGGCTTCACAAACTCCGCCGACGGTTTGTTGTCCTTCCCAAGAAGGATCAACGTCTTTTTCTCTTGGTTAAACTCTGGCCATCCAAGCCCATGCAATCCAGACCATGGATCGTTGCTGAATGAGAACCATGCATGCTGCATCAGCTTTGTAAGCTTTTGCTGGTCCTCCGACGTAGGCAACCCGCTGACATCTGCAGAACCACCAAAAATCATATGCAAGTCAACCCCATGGTACGCGCCGCTGGTGGGATACAAGCGAGTATTATCCCAGTCTCCGAGGTAGCGGTACGCCCAAGCCGCGATGTCATGGGCACGGCGGGCACCGGCCTGGAATGAGACGGGGCATGTGAAGGACTCGAGGTGGAATGTCGCGACCTGCTCGTCGGTCGGCACAACGCCGTTGCCATAGGCAGGGATGCGGTAGTAGCCTGCCTCATTGTTGTTGTTTCCGAAGAGGATGGGCAGTTTCGCGAAGCTCCCGGCTTTAGTGAGGCTCAGATAATCGGAGAAGACAATCTCGCCGTCGGGGGTGGGATAGAATGGCGGAATAGACCGGAGAACGCTAGTGCTGGCGATAGGCTTGACGGCAGCTGCAGCCGCGCGGATGTCCTCCCAGTCTGCCTTTCGCATGCAGTCCATGACATCCTCAGCATCGGCGCAGCCAACAGACTCCGCAACCGTGTTCCAGTTCTTCTCTGGGATCTCCGGGCTGTTGACAGGGAAGCTAAAAGCATTACCGGACGGGGCGATAAGCCCGTTCACGATGGGATCTTTTGTGTATGCATATGACCAGTAGTCGACAGCCACGCCGCCTGAAGATTGGCCAGAAATGGTGATCTTGTCGGGATTGCCGCCGAAGTTGGCAACGTTGTCTCGGATCCACTCAATTGCAGCACGCTGGTCGCGCAACCCGAGATTCTGTGTCTCGCCGGGGGCACCGGGGAAACCGAAGATGTTGATACGATAGTTGACGCTGATGACAACGATGTCTTCGGCCTGGGCGAAATGTTCCCCGTTGTAGAATGGACTGTTTGTGTTGCCGATGGTGAAACCTGCTCTCGGGTCAGAACCACCCGTCATCCCACAGGTATTATTAGGCACTCTAAACTACTTACGTCCGCCATAGAAGAAGACCAACACAGGCTTGTTGGATTTGTCTGACCTCCTGGTCGCCCTAGACCAGATGTTCAGGGTTAGACAGTCCTCGCTCTGCGGAGTGCCGGCGGCGGATGCGAAATAGGATATAATCCGCTGTGCCTGGGGCGTCATGTCGGGATAATCCACCGGCTTCGACGCCGTGAGGGGGCAGTCATATCCGAAATTGGCGGCGTCGAAGGAATTTGTGTCGGTGAGCGTCTCGGGCGGGGCGAAACGCAAGTCGCCGACCGGAGGCTTTGCGTACGGAATTCCCAGGTATTCAACAACACACTCGCTATTCGGTGCCATGTGCCCAGTGATAGGACCGTTGGACGTGTCGACGGTCATGTATTTCGATGCCCGACAGGGCGTGCAGGGCGAGCCGGCAACAAGACTCGCCCAGGACGCGGCCCAGAGTCCAACCGTCACACATAGCATTGGCAAAAACATGCTGACGCCGAGGGGAGCAAGCTAAGGTCTACGCGCTGTGTGATGTTCAAAGTGTCAGGCCTTGTAATTATTTATCTCCGGAGGAGGGTAGAGTTACTCCTAGTCAACCCCCAGAAGACTTCTCCGCATTAGCCATCGGGAACTGCGGTTGCGTGCAATTTCCCCATGTAAGGTACCTGAAAAAGACGTGGGTCAGTACGGATTACATGGCTCATGACCGTTGGTGCTTCCGCATCTGCGAGTCACCGCCGGGTGTGATTGCCAATTGGACCAGGGCAAACCCACCCCAACCAACTTCTCTGACCACTCGGATCACCCGCTCTTCGTTCCAAATTACTAGGGTTCGCTTCCTCCAGACAATCCCGCATGCAAGTTAATTAATGTTCCAACAGTTTGATCCTTTAACATTGAGCCTCTTGCCTGCATATTTCTTTCCCCTTTCCCCATGGATGCTACTGTAATAGGTTTTTCTATGACCAAGTTACCCCCTCAGCAAACACAGAGATCCGCGAGATACTAAGGCCCAGCCCCGGTACCTCCAGGATCGATTAGGATAGGGCAGGCTTTCATGACATCATTGACAAGTTCCTCGCCTAGCTGCAGCCGCTGGCGTCGTCTAGCCCGGGTGTCGTCGTTGTCGCCTATCACGAGTTGCCGTTGGAATGCGGTACCTTCCTTTCGACCGGGGTTGTGCGTTTCTACCAGGCAACAACAACAGAGACGGCAATAGCGACAGCAACGGCTAGCCAAATGCCCCTGCCCTAGCAGTTAAATTCCCCTGCCCGAATCCCTAACTGCCCCTGCCCGCGGAGACAACCTCTAGAATTAACCTGCTAGTTGATAAGAACAAGGTAGATAAAGGCAATGCTGGTTCTTTCCTGCGTTAATTAATCTGCGTTCTCCTACCTGGAATACTACTTAGAAAGCTGTTACATAACAATACAAATAAGGCGGAGCATTATAGCTCCTGTCTGCGTTCATTTCCTCCTCTTCCAAAATATAACCGCCTGATTCCCGCTTCCACCGTTCCCTGTTAGCTGACCACCATCTCACAGGCTCGAAGATCTAGACGGGCCTGGATCCCCAGCAGATCCCGATGGGGCTGGCTCCTCTAAGGTGTGGGGAGTTATCCTTCAGCCAGCTCTTGGGCCGGGCTCTCAACAGCTTCAACGGCCACCCCGTAGCCGGCGGCAGCTCCGGTGGCGAAGGTGCCATCGTCGGCCTGCACGGCTCGCCCATGGGCATCGCGACCGACATCGCCGGCTCCATCCGAATACCCTGAGCTTTTAACGGGATCTATGCCATCCGGCTGTCCACCCATGCGGCTAAGCTACGAGGGCGTCACGTCCAACGTCCGCGGCGGCCGAGCCATCTAGGCAGCCATCGGGCCCATCCAGGAACCGACAAGTTGTCTCCATCAAAGGTCAAGAATTGAGAACAAGTGACGAGCCTGCCCTGATTCCTGTGACTGATAGATGTTCAAGCATTCTACCCGTTCCCATTTTCTCGCCCCGTCTCAACAGGTATAAGTATATGCCCTGTACGATTTGAAACGCATCTGGTATTGCTAGGATTGTCTCATCACCGCTCTTTTGCAATATTTACTAATATTAATCAATCGCTATGCCCCTCTTTCAGCCTCTCTTCCCTCCGCCTTACGCGGTACTTCACCCAAAGCTTGGTACCTCTTGGCTTTGCAAGTGCGCCCCTCTCAATCATCTCCATATCGTTATCTGTCATGCCCCTCGTCATCTCAAAGCCCTCAAATTCGTCAAGCAGTCGCGCCAGTGTCTTTTGCATGTGTATCCACGCCAGTCCCCTGCCGAGACATCCGCGCTGGCCGGCCGAGAAGGGGATGAAGGCCTTAGTCATTAGGTCCTTCAATTCCTTGGAGTCAGTTAACCAGCGGTCTGGGTCGAAAGTAGCTGGGCGGTCAAAGACTTTGGGGTCGCGGTGGATTGAGTAGGGCTGCGAGGAGACGATGGTCTGTATTCCCGTACAATCAGCGCCCTTGTCATATAGTTTGGAGGGAAGCTGTTCGCACTGGTCAGGTGCAGTCAAGGGAGGCTTCGACAACTTACGTGCGGCGGATATGTGACACCTTCTATGGTGAAGCCCTCGGCCGGCACGACACGAGGCATAGGCGACGGTGCTGGCGGGAAGATGCGGAGCGTCTCGCGGAGAAAGGCGTCAAAATAGCGCAGCCCAGCGAGGTCGGTGGAGGAGTAGTTTGGCGGCAAGGTGGCGAGCTCGGCGCGAAGACGCTTCTCGACCTCGGGGTGCTTGATTAGGAGGTAGAGCATGTAGGCGATTGTGATGGAAGAGGATTCCGAACCGGCGACGCTAGGGAAGGAGTCAGGGGATTCAGGGGTCAGGAGATTCAGTAGCCAGATATTTAGCATTTTAAGGGGAGTTGGGGAGAGGGAGAGGGGATTGAGGGTTAGTGTGGGTAGGGAAATACTTACACGAAACCGTGGCCGGCGATGGCGACGGTCCAGGGGGTATAGGGTTCCTTTGGCTGGCCTGTCTTGGTATCCAAGTACCCACTAAGGAGCGTACCGCTCTTATCGTCGTCGCTCGCGAGGTATGCATCCACACGTTCCTGTGCGTACTTGAAGACGCGCTGCAGACCAAAGTAGGCGTCTTTGACAGGCTTGAGTGGCAGGTAGGGGATGAACGGAATGAGCCACGAGAAGGTTACTTGCTGGTGAAGCGGAAAGCTTGTCAGTTAAATGGACCGCCGAGACGTCCAGGAATACATAACTCAACTTACCAAGCCAATGAGCATAAACGCCCTGTTGAAATCCGTCACGTACTGATGCTCCTCGCCTGTCTGTAGTTGTCCGAACGACTCGCCAAAAGCAAGATCGCCGATCGCGTCGAGGAGAAGGTATTTCCTGTAGGAACAGACAGTCAGATCACATCCGCTTTGCCAAGCTCCTTGAGTTCGCATACAGGAGATTGAACATATCCATCTCATCCCGCTTCTTCATCTCCAGTACCATCTGATCTAGCAACGGCTCGAACCTCCCCTCCATCTTCCTGAGGCTGGCCGGTGAAAACATGGGCTGCAGGTCGCGGCGCTCCTGTACTGAGCGCGCGTGGTCGGTGAAGTTGAACAGGCCTGAGTACTTGTCGCCGACTCCGGGTTGGATTGTGGCGTAAAAATCGGACTTCACAAACGAGGAGCACTTTGTGACGAAGACATGCTGGAATGTTTTGGAAGAAGCGATGGAAAGATGGTTAGGACCAATGCGGACAACCGGGCCCAGCTGCTCGTGGAGCTTCTGGATAACTATGAAGCGGTCACCTGGAGGGCGGTCAGTGGGTCAGCTGGGTCGAGACAGGAAAATAGATACAGAGAAGGGTAAGGCCATGAGAACATACACCTGGCGGTGTGAAGCACTTCCCACCATTCGGTCAGTGCAGCCCACTTGGGGCCGGGAAATGCGCGTAGTGGGGAGAGAAATAGTCTAGCAACGACGAGGTAGACAAGCTGACTGGTGAACAAAGTGACAAGCAGTACGAGCAGCTGCATTGCCAAAGCCATGACGATGAGCGTGGTGCGTGGGATGCAAGTGTTGATCGTGTCTTTTTTGGTCTACGTGCTGATGAGTGAATGAATAAGAGATGGGGTTGGGCGAGCAATTATGCAGTGCGAGCTTCGAAACTAATCCCCAGATCTCCTGTGCGCATGACAGAGAACAGACAGACACAGACAGCGTGGGGACGGGGGAGAGTTGGATGAATTCCATCCAGTGCATGAGTTATGGCCATGAAGGTTACCCGGCGCAAAACTAGGTGGAGCCGAGCCCGAAGCTGAGCCCGAAGCTGGGCGGGATGTGGAGGGCAGACACGCCGAACGCTAACAAGGACGGGTGGGGTGGGACAAGAGACCCGAGGCTACACTAGTAGTAATGCTACTGCTGCCGCGCTCTGAGCTGCCTGCCTGCCTGCCTGCTTGTCTATCTGTCCGGGTCTCCGGGTCCTTCTTCCCTTGACATCCATCCTCCCCCCTGAACTCTTTTCCCCTCCCCTCTTCCCCTCGCTATCTTTACCTTCCGTAGTCCTTCCTACCCACACTTCCTCTGCCTCACTCACAACTCTGCTACGAAGCTATGTCAAGTTGCGACACCTCGCAACCGTCGAGCAGACGGCTCAACATCATTATCTGCGGCGGGGGAATCGGCGGCTTTGCTACCGCGTCGCTGCTGCGTGAAGAGCACAATGTCACCGTGCTCGAGCAGTCGCACCTCAACCGCGAGCTCGGCGCCGCAATCACCTTCTCTATGAACGCGAGCAGGCTGATGCGCAGTAGCTTGCAGCGGGCGGGCTTCGACAAGGAGCTGGCAAAGTACGTTGAGGCCGAGAAGGTAGGAGAAATCACTTCCCGTGCATAGTGAACGACAGTAGTGGCTGATCTTTCTTCCGCAAACCCAGTTCCAAGAGCTACACTATCGTGACCTCTCGGTGCTGCTCGAATGGCCCATGGAAGTGGTCACCAAGAAGTACGGCGACCCTTGGTGGTACTTTTCGCGCGCCGACATACACCAGGAGCTTAAGCGCACCGCCCTCTCCCCTACCGGCCTCGGCACCCCCGCACACCTCGAAACAGGCGCCAAAGTGTGCACCGTCGACGCTGCCAGCGGCAAAGTCACTCTCGAGGACGGTCGCGTCTTTACAGGCGACGTCATCATCGGCGCCGACGGCATCCGTTCCACCACCGGCAAGGCAGTCTTCCCCTCCGATATCCAGACCGTTGACAGCGGCATGTCCGCCTACCGGTGCATGATCTCCTCGGCCCGGTTGCGCGCGGACCCGCTCACCGCCCCCCTGGTTGACTGCGCAAAGGTGCTCATGTTGATTGCTCCGGATAGGCGCATTGTCGTCTATCCTTGTAGCAGCTGGGAGTTTATGAATTTTGTGTGCATCTTCCCGGACGACCGGCCGCGTACCACCCAGTGGAACTCGCAGGTCGACGTCGACGAGATGGTCGCTACCTTTGCCGACTTCCACCCGGCCATTCCCAAGATGCTGGGCATGGCCACCGAAACGGGTGTGTGGAAACTGCTCGACCGCGAGCCGCTCGAGAACCTCGTGCGGGACAAGTTTGCCCTGATCGGCGACGCCGCCCACGCCATGGGGCCTCGTATGTCCTCTCCTAGTCCGCCACACACAACATCCTCCCTCTCACGTAACTCGGCACACCTGCCCACACCCGCCTGCTGACACAGCTCTTCCAAACAGACCAAGGCCAAGGCGGCTGCCAGGCCATCGAAGACGCCGAAGCGCTGCGGATTACCCTCGCCGGCTGCACAAACCCTTCGGAGGTCCCGCACCGCCTGTCCGTCTTCAACAAGCTGCGCGTCGAGCGCGTCGCCCAGGTGGTGCGGTACACGCGGGCCATGGCCCCGCGGCGAGTCGACGACGCGCGCGGCGAGAAGGTCGACCACAAGACGACACAGACGTACAGTGACTATTACTGGCGGTACCGCATGACAGACGAGGCGGTGAGCATTATGAAAGAGAACGGGTACAAGGTGGACTTGAAGAACCAGGAGACGGGAGAGCTCGTTTTCGCGGCGTCATGAAAGTAGGAGTGGTGTCTTCGCTCAGAGGTATGGACGAAGAGTACGGCACTGCTGCTGACTACATCGGCTCGTAGGGCCCGATCTTGGAGGGGACTAGTGAGGATAAGTATGCAGATGGCTTTCTAGTTGTGGTCTCGTAAGCTCAGCCTCGCATCGCAGACGCTTGGGCTCCTGGAATGAACATAAAGTGACAGCTTGAGAGCAAACGCGCAATGCCTACCCACTTCACAAGCCATAGCCCAACCATCTACCAGAGACAACCAAGGGCTCCGCCGATGAGAGTGAGAGAAAGGACTCGTTTACGACCCATTACACTATGGCTTTAGCTACTGTCTTGACTTTTTCATGACTCAACCGACAGTCAAACAACAATATTGGCCAACTCGTCTTGGAGTTATTTAGCACCTAGCATATAATTGGTCGTGGCTTTAGAGGACAGCTCGCCAGCATACAAGGCCAAGTTGGAGAAGGTGGCGTGTTGAGGAGGCTAAGGTAGGGGATGCCCGCGAAGTCGGCGGTGAACAGTCTCTTCACTGGTCGAGGGGAATAACTGTTCAACTTCGGCTTACCTTGACTACAATTCGGCAGTGACTGCCGGGTATCATCAAGGCCTATAATTAATAGTAAGTTATATAAGTATCAACATTTGCGCAAAAAAGAGCTTCCAATTTCCAGGCCAATTAAATCATCTTACGATGGTGTGGAATGCTGACGGGAACAATAACTCAGCCGGTTCGGCAATGATAGGCAGTGAGCCACTTTATCAACTGGAGCTCCCCAGCGTCATCGAGGCGGGTGAGTAATCTTCCACATCTCGTATGTAACCACATCCGACGTCGGGGCGACTTATTTATGCTTGCAGCTACTGTGTTGCATACATATTGCATCACTCCCCTGCACCACGGGTCGAAGTGACACGAATTACCCCCGCCTCGAGCTTTCAACCCAAGGCCTAATTACTTGTAAGGTTCCTGCCTTCGCTCTAGGATAGACGGCTTGCAGCCAGAGGTCGCATCTTACACAACCCCCGCAGACATCTTCGTCAAGATGAAAAACACATTGTGGGCGTGCCGTGCAGTGCTGGCATTGTTCATACAAGGAGCAGTCGCACGCAATGTCCTGGACCTCTCCGAGCAGGTGTGGGAGTTACAAAACCCGACGCTGAATATTTCGGTGCGGGGAAAGGTGCCGTCGCATGTCCACCTAGATCTATACGCGAGCGAAGTCATTGGCGACCCGTGCGTACATTCTTGACCCTGAATTTGAATTCACCCTTCGACAGATGCCGCTGAAAATTCGATCTGATATTGGGAACGTCACAGTTACTATGGGCTGAACGATTTCGATCTCCGTTGGGTGGCGTGGGCCAACTGGACCTATACGAGCAACATCCGCGGACTGTGAGTGTGGAATTAACAGCGATAAGCCTTCCCATCAATTCTGTCACTTACACATGTTGCAGAAAATCGCTAGTAAACTCCAGCACCACGGACACATTCCTGCTCTTCGACGGACTGGACACCTTCGCAGATATATCCTTCTGCGGGCAACATGTCGCCACGACTGACAACCAGTTCCGCCAGTATTACTTCAACGTCTCGTCCATCTTGTCCGCATGCAACTCGACGGGGTTGCCGGAGCTGCGCGTCGATTTTGCTAGCGCCCCCGGCACGGCCCTCGCCATCGCCGCGCAGCCGGGACAGGAGACGTGGCCGCCACGGGTCGAGGGCACATTCGAATTTGCGCAGAGGCAGTTCGTCCGCAAGGAGCAGTCCGACTTCGGCTGGGACTGGGGTCCGGCCTTCGCGCCTGCGGGTATCTGGCAGAAGGCATGGGTCATCCAGCTCCAACCCGGCGAGATCGCGGTTCGCAACTCGGCATTCGACATATACAGGAAGGGCCAGTTGAATAATCTTCCTCCAGATCAGGGAGCGGATTGGATCTTCAACGCGAGTATAGATGCTATCAATGGCATTCCCGAAGACGCGACGATGAGATATCGGATATCAGGACCCGGGGGCCACGTCGTGGACAGTGGGGACATGACCCAGGTGAACAACACGGGTGACGTGATCGCCGGCGTGGTTTACTTGAAATCGTCCGACTACGAGCTCTGGTGGCCTACCGGGATGGGTCCACAGACGCTCTACAATATCACTATAGATGTCGTCAGCGGCCCCAGCAACAAAGCTGTCGCCTCAGTTACAAAGAGAACCGGGTTTCGCACTATCGTGCTGAACATGGGCGAGGTCACGGACGAAGAGATTGCACAGGGGATTGCTCCGGGAAATCACTGTAGGTTCTTCTCCCACCCGCCAGACGACTTGTTACGATTGCAAGAGGGTAAAGAAATACTGATGGCACGCAAAGGGCATTTCGAAATCAATGGTCACCCATTCTATGCCAAGGGTAGCAATTTCATCCCCCCTGACGCATTCTGGCCGCGGGTGACACCGCAACGCATCCGGCAACTCTTCAGCGCGGTAGTGGCGGGCAACCAGAACATGCTCCGCGTCTGGTCGAGTGGAGCATACGGCCCGGATTTCATGTACGAGCTCGCCGACGAGATGGGCATCTTGCTCTGGACGGAATTCGAGTTCGGCGATGCGTTGTATCCCGTAGACGCTGCTTTTCTCGACAATTGTCTTCAAGAAGCCGTCTATCAGGTCCGCCGGATCAACCACCACCCATCGCTGGCTGTCTGGGCTGGGGGTAACGAGCTCGAGAACTTGGAGCTCTCCATGGTCAGGCTGAGCGCACCGGATGAACTCGGAAGATACCAGGCCGAGTACGAAACCCTATTTCTCAAGACGCTGTTGCCCGCGGTATACGAGAACAGTAAGGGTATCACGTACATGCCTAGCAGTACCAACAACGGGTACCTGAGCCTCAATTTCTCCAACGCGATACCCTGGATTCCGAGATACAACAACCGCACTCGGGGATCGATGTACGGGGTCACGGAGTACTACAACTATCGTTACGAACAAGCTTTCAACATCAATTCGTACCCGGTTGGGCGGTTCGTGAACGAATTCGGGTTCCATTCCATGCCGAGCCTGGAGAGCTGGCGAGAGGTCCTCCCGGAGGAAGACCTCCACTTCAACTCCAGCACCATCGTGCTCCGCAACCACCACTACCCCGCCGGCGACCTGAACACGACCAACTACCACAACTCGAGTCTCGGCATGGGCGAGATGACGGCCGCCGTCACGCATTACTACCCGTTCATCAACAAAACAGACCCGGTCGCCAACTTCTCGGCCTGGTGCCACGCGACCCAGGTCTTCCAGGCCGACTTCTACAAGAGCCAGATCCAGTTCTACCGCGCCGGGTCGGGTTTCCCGAACCGCGGACTGGGCTCCCTGTACTGGCAGCTCGAGGACATCTGGCAGGCCCCGACGTGGGCGGGCATCGAGTACGACGGGCGGTGGAAGGTGCTTCACAACGTGGCCCGGGACATCTACGAGCCCGTCATCCTGGCCCCTCTGTACAACGTCACCAGCGGTCTCCTCGAGGTCTACGCCGTCAGCGACCTCTGGTCGCAAGTCAACGGGACCGCCACGCTCGGCTGGATCGGGTGGTCGGGCGACGCGCTCGACGTGTCGTCGACGGGGAATTCGTCCTCGCCATTATCCTCGCAATCCTCTAACAGCTCGGCTTCTCCTTCCTCTCCTTCTTCTTCTCCCCCTTCCTCCTCAGGGGCCACCATCACAAACGTAGAGTTCACCATCGGGCCCCTGAACAGCACTCTTCTCGCTACCATCGACGTCTCCAACCTCATCGCCACGGGGGCGCTGGACCCGGCGGCCGGCCTGTTCGTCGCGAACCTGACAGCGACAGGCACGCCAATCAACGGGGCGGGGGGCAACGCGACGAGGACGACGTACGTGCACACCAACTACCACACACCTACACCGCTGTCGCGGGCGGCGCTGGTGGATCCAGGGCTGGCGGTGCGGCACGACGGCGATCGGGGAGAGTTTGTCGTTGGAGCGCGGGCGGGGACGAGCATCTGGACGTGGCTGAGTCTGCAGGAGAGGGATTCGGGCATTGTTGTGACCTTTGACACAAACGGGTTCTTGTTGCGCAAGGGGGAGGAGATGAGGGTTGGGTATACCGTTCTCGGGGGGGAAAGCGAGGGGTGGGAGGAGAGGGTCGTTGTAGAGAGTATTTGGAATAATACTCTAAGCGACTGATGATTGAGTGCAAATGCGCTCCCATCGCTCGAGGAAAGGAATATAAAAGAAGGATTGATGCTAGGAAAGGGGAGGATGGAGTTCAGTAGTTATTCGACGCCCAGACTCGCCCCTGGTTCTTTCGTCTGAAGTTTATTGGGCCAAGAGATGTTGTTTGGAGTATCACGCGGTTTATGTGGTCTGTTTTTCTGCATCGTATTTTTATTATGTCTGCCGTTTCTAGGCTGAGGAAGCACTATGTGAGTAAGCTTTTGAGTGGTAGGTGGCGGAGATCGAGGCGGAGACGAGAGGGCTCGACTAGGACTCGTACTTGAGGAGTAGGCAGTTCCGCGTAATTAACCCTAGCCTGATAGTTGGCATTAGATCAACTCGAACTTGCTTCCTGTTTCCGGTTATTTTCTTATTCTCTTGCGGTTGTCGGAAAGCCATAATGAACAGAGAGGGTGCAGCCATATACCGCAGATTCGATATCTGTATGTGCATAGGAGAGGCCGCGCAGCGCGAGACGGCACCGACCAACGCAACAACAGTAATGCCGACGATAGCCACGACGACTTAAACGGGGTCGGGAAATTCGGGCAAGGCATCCGACGACCATCCTGTCCGGCTCGCGACCCCGGCGCTTGACACCGGGTCCGAGACTTCGCCACCCAGTCGGCGGCCGCGGTGTCGGAGAGCGGCGCCAGCTGGACCATGTCCGACGCCGTCTGGTTCCTCTTCGGGTGGTCGGTCTCGAAACTCGCGTCCCACCCCAATTGGACATCTTGGAGCATGGAGAGAGAGCGCCCTCTCTGGCTGGAAGCAAACAGGTGCTGCCCCGGCTAGGTTTGAGGGGTCGAGGTTGTTTCAACCCAGCCACTTGATAATCACGTCCCATTGTTGTAGCAAGACGGCTTAGTCCCAAGGAAAAAGGGTCGGCGGCATCGCAAACAATGTATCCATGGTATCGGTGCAGTCAAAAGGTTGTAGACCGATGTCGTCGAACAGCATCTGGCCGCACGTCGCATCCGAACTGAGCATGGACAATGGATCAACCAACCCCGTATGACTCGGCTCGGTATTTGTGCTGTCCGGGTTGAGATTCCTCGACATGGTCACGTCTGGGCGGTGAAACCACAGCCTATTGAGAAGCTCGGCGTACCTCGATGCAATGTGATTATCGTCAACAGCGGCAGTCCGCAGAACGGATATAAAGCGCTGCATCAGGGCAGATGTCTCAAAATGCTTCCCGGAAGATATAGCACCCGCGGCATGGGCTTTGAATAAGAAGACAGAAGAGTGTATCTCGTACCTGCTTTGGTAAGTCGACGCCGAACAGGAAATCAGAATCAGAATAATCAGAATCAGGTCGGGGGCAACGCACAAATAGAACCGTGCCGGCATGTACCTGAGGTGTCTTCTCGGGTCGATGTCTTCGGTGACGATCCTCAGGAGCTTTTCGGCCGCATCCACGGCTTCATAAATATGGCGTGCATCACCGGTAGCCATTGTTGAGTCGGGGAAGTATGGCTTCGGCTTGGCGGCGTCGCCAGACTCGGTGTTGGATTGTCTTGGTCCGGCCCGGTAGAGTACGGCCTGGAACGCAAAGGCGTTGACGTAGAGGCGGAGATACTCCTGCATCAGCGTCAAGCAGCTCCTTAGATATTGCGGCACGCCTATCGACCTCCACGCGCGTTGCCACGCCGCCATGGCTTTGCTTACATCGTCGATGTACTTGACATAGTCTCCCCTCAGCATGAGCTCGGCAGTGCGGGATCTAGAGGCGAAGAGAATGTCATGGGCGTTTCCGAATAAAGTTGTCAGCTCTACCTGAGCTTGTAAGAACGATGCAAAGTCCTCGTTGTGAGGGTGATGTGGTTGGAGCGATGGGAAATCTTGCGCAGTGAACCTCGCAGAAAGGGCCGGGCCCCGACACCAAAATGCCTGTCCCATGCGGATCGATATCTGTCGGTCGGAGAGATAGGTAACTTCTGGCCAGTCAGCTTGAGTCACTGGTGCCGAAAGGATGGTGTGACGTACATGTCCAGGCAAGACGCTCCCGCTGGACTGAAGCATCGACCTCGACATCGTTTCCCTTGAAAGAGCTATCCTCCAGACGCAACAAATACGCAAGTCTTACCGCTAGACCTAGAATCGACCACGCCGCACCTTCACCGCGGTCGTCGGTCTGTCCCGGATAGAGCGGCGTCCATTCGCCGAGCAGCAAGAGACCTTCCACGCATCCAACGTTCCGGATGGTGTCCATGCCGAGGACGACGTTTAGTATCAGCTGGCGCATATAATTCCATATGGACTTATTTAGATATGCGAGATCCGGCCGGTCCTTTGAGACAACCACGATGATAGCGGTTAGGAGGAAGGATTCGTGTTTGGTGGTATCGGGAAGATGCGTCGGCTGGAGAACACTTGAGGGGACAACCGGGAAGAAGGGGTGATAGTTGTCGGCATACCTTTCAAGGGCGAAGAGTTAGTTAACCGGGAGATACCAAGATACCAAGGATGCGAAGAACTTGCAGTTGTAACAGTTGCACTAGCAACTCGGAGCTAATCGTTCCATCTTGTACGGGGGGGTAGGTATAAACACTCGTCGCCTCTGGGTTCCGAGCTCCTTGATCGGCTGAGGAGGGAGCCAGATTGTGGGGGACCCCTCCGGGTGCAATTGACGACCGGAAACAAAGCCCAGGAGAGCCAGCAACGGCATCACCAGCACCAAAGATACCGGAAGCATCGGTGACGGGATCGGATGGCTCTCTGTCACCGGGCTGTTCCGCAGCGTGTGCAAGTATCAGCAAAGCATCGGACGGGTTCTGGAGGTTATCGTGGACGGGGTCTCCCGCAGTCCGGGGCTGTCGAGATGGCAGATTGTCCTTTGGTGAAAGCACAGAAGATACTGCCGTCGTCTCCTGGCCACTTGTCGCGGCCCGCCGTGCACGACGGAGATGCGAGAAGTCGCCGCCGCGCTTTGAGCCTGCCAGAAGACATTCGGCACCTTCACGGACGCATTTCACGCAGGGAGGTCTTCCTGGATCCCCAGTGCTCTGTCTGCAGATCGGGTTAAGAACTTTGTCAGTTAGGGAGATAACTGATAATTAGCTCCGGACTGGAGAGAGAGACATGGGGGCTGGGACTGGGACCCACAAGTCACAGCGCGTCTTGCGTGCGCGGCATCTAACGCACGCGCGGTATTGTCGAAGGCCGATGCCTTTGGTCATTGTTCGCAAGTGAAGGAGCGGTCAATGTGGGAATCCGTCCAGCCGCCTTGACAGAAATGATGTTGATGCATGGCCGAAAGCTATTGCCGGTGCAGTGGAGGGGGAGAATGACTGGGGTCCCACTGTAACCTCGGCTGCAGCGTCAGGCAATAGACGGCTATAGATGGCTGTCCCACTATTGAGCTTATAGACGGCTGTAGACGGCTCCACCGCCATGCCAAGAGCGATGCGGATACCTGGCGATAAGCGGGCCCATTTCCCTTCAGCGTATAGGGAAAGCTCACATGTCATTCTAGAGTAGGTAATTATGTCAGAAGAGTCCGCGAGGGACCGGAGAGAGGAATGGCCGGGATCCTCTCTTGTCTGGCCAATGTCTCCCGTAGAGAGCCAGCGGGGCATAACCCAAACCAAGCGAAGGGGGGATCTGCACAGTAGGAGATATATAACGGGGAATGCAGCCTCGATTCTTGGTCATCATATTTGTGTCCTGGATTAGACGAATTTGTGACCGCGAGCTAACACGCCAAACCCCCTTGTCAATCTAATTAGTCTGCAATCATCAGAATTCCACAATGGCACCCACTCGCTCCGAACCTTGGCCTCTCGAACCCTCACCAGCCGTTTCGTCGCAGAAGCAAAATGTCACCAACGCGATGACGGACGACATGTATGGCAAGTATTGCCCTGCAGAACCGGCTACACTGCAACTCGAGTCCAACTTCGGTCCCATGGATCCCGAGGCGATCGGCTACCTCCAGCCCACAACGATGGACACCCCCCTCGAAGAAATGCGTAGGCGTTTTGCCCACGACGGCTATCTCTTTGTAAGTGTCCCTGCACCCGTCCCTCACCCAAGTGGCCCGCCCGACCAACGAGAACTCGACGTCCAGGTCAAGAAGTGCATTCCCAAGGAAGCATCCCTCGAATGCCGCCGAGCCTACTTCGAGCACATGCGCCCAAGCGGCCTCCTAAAAGAGGGCAGCGACCCCGTAGACGGCATCTTCTCGCATGCCGACAGCCGGAAATACCTCCCTCCAGGCAATCTGCGACGCCTCTTCGGGCTCAAGGACGACCCCGAGAGCGACCGCTACGTGGAGCTGATGATATCGGCCCACGAAGCGCCATTCTACCTCGACCTATGCGCGAACCGGGAACTCCGCGACTTCGTCAGCCGCTTCACCGGCTGGGCCAAGCCGCACATGCTGCAGCGCACCATGCTGCGGGCGTTTGTCCCCGATAGCGAGCTCACGCCAGTCCACTACGACCAGATGTACCTGCGGGCGGGCCCCCCCACGAGCCTGACCGCCTGGGTCCCCATTGGCGACGTATCGCTGGAAGGGGGCGGCCTGATGTACCTCGAGCGGTCGACGGACATCGGCAGGAAGACTGAAGGGGACTTTGCCAAGCACGCCGGCAACCTGACTGATGAGGAGATGGTGAGTGCCTTCAACAAGAACATGAGCGACGGTGGCTTCTTGAGCCGAGATACGGTCGCCTACGGGAAGGGGGTGCGCCGGAAGTGGCTTGTAGCCGAGTACGAGGCCGGCGATGTCATCTTCCACAGCCCTTACATGGTGCATGCCAGCTGTAAGAACAAGGACCCAAACAGCAAGATCCGGCTGGCCACCGACCTGAGATTTGTTGATCCGGAGAAGCCGTACGATCATGTGAGTAGACCGGTCTTGACACAAGTCCTGTTGTTTATTCGGTGGATGCCATGTTAACAACATTTCAGCGATGGATGAAAGTATATAGACCGCTTGATGGACTGTAATTGGACTTCCAATTCCTCCGAGGGGAAAGACAGTCTTTGGAGTTTCGTTGGAATTGTTTCAAATGCTGTCACGATATTTACGCGCCGGAGAACGTGTTAAACTCCACAGCCCTTCCATAGCAAAAAGGAACTTAGTTTACCATCTATGACGTGCAAGCGCAATTTGTAGTTGTCCTGGTCTAGTTGTGTGTTGCTCTTGGGAGGAAGTCACTACAAGCGGTTGAGCGACTCGTGCACTTACAGGGGCTGCTGGTAGATAGTATCATGGCCGGGGCTATTTCCCAGAGCATTAGCATCCATATCTGTAAGTAGCTACGGTCTGCGTGGAAAGGAGCTCCAAGAGGACAATGGGCATTGGAGCTTCGTGGTTGGTGCGTGCGACATCCAATGCCGTATCACATTCTTTCACAATGGTGGGTCAAATAAAGAATCCCGGAATGCCATTCACGTCATAAACCGTCTACAGCCGGCGAGGGTTTGGGTTTGGGCCTTCCCCGGTTCAAGTTTACCGCACCCCCACCCCGCACCCCGCAAGAGGAAAATGCGGGGAAATGGGGTTAGGGGGCTAATACCAAGGCTCTCGTGCAGGTTTAGGGGTTAAGATCCCGGCATATGCTCTGCAATAGCCATGGCAAGGGCCTTGGCTCGCCTCTAGCCTCGTCCGTCTATTGCCGTCGAGCTAAGATGGGCTGTTTAGTGGTCAGAACGACGGGTGTGGGGTGTGGGCGGGTACAAGAAGAGCCAGAGTAAACATCACAGACTTCCACAAAGACGGTTCCGAGCATCTCTCCCGGAGCAAGCCGTCTGCGAACCCAACTTACAATGTTTCTGCAGAAATTCGTGCGCAATGAGGCAATCAAGACGGATCCTCCGGAGATCTACAATCTGAGGACCGTCCTGGTCAGCCTGGCAGTAAGTCTCTTTTTACCTCAAATGCAGCGAGAGTCTTCAGTTGCTAATCACAACACCCCCAAAGGCATGCAGCGGCGCCCTACTCTTCGGAATGGACATGGGCATCATTGGAGGAGTCCTGGCTATGGACACCTTCAAAGAGTAAGCAGTCGCCCATGTTCATCACCATCCCCACCCCACAACACATTGATCGAAGGCGAGTTACCTGGACGCATCTGACCTATCTGTTCAGGCAATACGGCCTCACTGATAAGCCCGATCCCGTCATCGCCAACCTCTCGTCCAACATCGTCTCCGTAATCCAGGCGGGCGCGTTCGCCGGTTGTATCATATCTATGTGGCTGGCGAACCGGATCGGAAGACGATTGTCGCTCATCTTTGCCTCCATATTAATCTTCATTGGCGTCGCGCTTCAGGCCGCTGCCAGTGGCCACATCGCCTTGATCTACGTAGGAAGGTACGTCCATGGCTCCTCCACGTTAGGCTCTCATTCACATTGACTGATCCGTCTCCTCCTAGATTCATTACGGGTATCGCCATTGGGATCGCCTCGACCGTGAATCCACTCTATGTTTCGGAAAACGCACCGCGAGGCATCCGGGGCCTTCTTACTGGCTGTTACCAGCTAAGTATCGTTACGGGCATGACTGTAGGCCAGATCCGTGCTGAGTATGAGTAACCTACCCTTTCGATACTGACAATTCGATATAGCTCGCCTTCTGGATCAACTACGGCTGCTTGATCCACGTCAGCGGCCACGCCCAATACATCATCCCCCTAGCGCTCCAGGCCCTCCCCGCCATCAGCTTGTTCTTCGGCATGCTTTTCGCCAACGAGTCTCCCCGTTTCCTTGCCCAAAAGACCCCAGACAAGGCCCTCGCCGTTCTGGCCACGCTCCGCGGCCTCCCGGCAGACCACCCCTACGTGCGGGGCGAGATGGAGAGTATCACTCTGCAGCTGGAGGAGGAGAGAGCCCTGGCGTTCAACGGCTCCGGCTGGACGTTGGTCAAAGAAGCCTTCACTGTCAAGTCCTACCGGCGTCGGACCTTCTTATGTATTACACTGATGATGTGGAGCAACCTGACCGGCACCAACGCCATGACCTACTACAGCCCTACCATTTTCAAGAGCGTCGGCCTATCTTCGTCCCAGGCTGGTCTGCTCGCGACGGGAGTCTATGGCATCGTAAAGATGATTTCTTGTTTGATTTTTATCCTTTTCGTCACAGACTCCCTCGGACGGAGAAAGAGTCTGCTATGGACCGGAATTGTCCAGGTGAGAATGCTCTCGGCTGCCCCAGCAACGTTTGCTTCTCTTATACTGACTATCCTATTCACTCGAAGGGATTGGCGCTCTTCTATGTAGGATTCTACATCAGATTTGACCCCCCGACGGTGGACTCGCCGCCCGGCGCGGCGGGCTATGTCGCCATTGTAGCCATCTACATCTTTGCTTCCATGTACCAGTTCGGCTGGGGCCCTGTTGTCTGGACGTACTGCGCCGTAAGGACTCCATCATCCGCCGAATGGTGTTGTTGCAGGATGCTGATAGGTTCTAGGAAATCCCGGCCGCCCGCATGCGTGCACTGCAGATGGGCATGGCCACGGCCAGCCAGTGGCTGTTCAACTTTGTTGTCGCCAAGGGAACGTTGAGCATGTTCGCGACCATGGGGAAGGGCGGATTCGGCACCTACTTTCTGTATGGGTCGTTCTGCTTCATCATGGTGGTGTTTGCTTGGTTCTTCGTGCCCGAGACAAAAGGTCAGTTTCTCTCTCGGCAAGTTCCACAATTGCACGCCTGAGCTGACCTTTGACGTGTTTGTAGGGTTGTCTCTGGAAGACATGGACGAGCTATTCGCTCAGGATTCTGTCAGGGGCAAGTTTGTGCCAACACGTAGCGTCCTTGTGAATGAGGAGTGCGACGTGAAGATAGTGGAGGACCAGAGGTTTGACCATGTTGACCGAGTTTAAGTACCGGATGTGGTGATGCCGTCCACTGGGACCGTCGCTAAAGAGCAATGGTCGAAAGGGGGAGAGTAGCTATAGTATCACTCGAATGATTTCAAATTTAGGCAGTTTGTCTCTCTACAACAGTAGGATTGCCCTTGTCATGCTCATCCCTGGAAACGCCATAGTGCCTTTGAAAGAAAAGCATGTTAGCTCCTGCTCTGGCTCCTCCTCCCTAAGTCGTCTAACAATAAAACAACGAAATGCCCAATTAATCTGCAGTTAAGCGAGTGTCGATTGACTCTCTTGCGACAACGGCTTCGGCGGATTCCGGATCTTCGATGGACTCTATCAACTCATGCTGCTCTTGGTCTAGAGGAACGCCTCTCTTAGGACATGCCGGGGGTTTGCCTAAGCCATTGTCAGCGTCCTGATTTCTCACTGGCAGTAATTCTAGCTCGTCATCACCAACCTAGGTCTGTGGCTTTCTTCCGTATCCTGTAGTCCACGTAGTCCTTCCCGCGTATCATGCTGTATACCACGTGGACGAACTGGCCCAGCGCCATGATGAGCGGGACCAGCTGGCCTACCGAGTCCAAAGACTGAACACCGCGTATCTCATTCCAGTGGATCTGCAGTTCAACCGAGGGTACCATCAACGAGAGAAAGAATGTGGCACGCATTGCTGATGCGGCTAAAACCGTGGATGAGACAGCGACTCTTTTGACCGGCGGTAAGTGTTGGATGACTGCGGGCAGGTTGGCCCGGGATTCGGGAAAGAAGGAGTTGTATAGTGCTACATCGTCGTTGTCCAAGCGGTCCGGCACAGGCGCGGCATTACACTGCGTCCGCCCTCTGAGCGCCGCGTAGGTTTTTTCTTTTCGAGGGGATCAGCATACACACATTGTGCTGCCGGAGAGCTAATACCGAGAATTGGGTCATGTACTCACGGAACATGTAAATACACCAAACGATGATGAGAAAACAGATGTACAGGCCGAATACGCCGCACACAATGCCCCAGACGACCTTGTTTAGGGTACGAAACCAACCCCGGACGTCGACCTTGGCGAAAAAGAAGCCGTACTCCACGCACGCAGTCCGCGGTAAGGTGTCGAGTCCCCGGAACCAGAACCAGGTAGCGTATCCAACAAAGGCAAAGACGAATGCATACTGAACCCGAAGTCTGACTAATGACTCCGTGGGCACCGGCTGCCCAGGAACGGGCAGGAATTTCTTGGTAGTCCTCGAGGAGGCGACCACCTGAATTGAAAATAGCCACATGATGACAGCCACCTCTGGCGCGCGGAGGGAGCCCATGATGGTTTCCCGAACCAAGGCTACCAGGATGGCCAGCAAGAGGCCCATGGCCGAACTATGCAGGAATGCCGCCTCGGCATCGAGGAATTCCCCAGCCACGGCAAATGTGATGGATTGGATGTAGAAAGCGGTGCGGAGCCCCAGACCGGTGAGGTCGGGATTTCCATCCAGGCCGCAGACGGGCGGCTGTCCGTCGTTCGCCATGGTTTGGTGGTATTTCTGTGGGATGTTATATTGGTTGAGCTTCGAATCTCTCTGCGGGACCGACGAATCTAACAATAAAATGGCAAACTTGGAGGATTAGAAAAGATTTTGGCTGCTTCATGGGCCAGGCCCTTGAAAAGGGGTCTAGACTGACCGAACTGGCTGCAGGGACAAGGGGTGGCAATTCAGCCGCAAGCAAGCTGATGTTTCATCGGACCAGTGACTGGGCGTCGCAACATCGCCAAGAACGCCGCATGGACGAGGTGCAGACATTAGCGTCGAGTGCTCGGTGCTCGGTACCCTTGCAGTAATTAATTATTACCGAACGCAGCGTTTCTGGCAGCGAGGCCGCCCGCAGGCACGTTTAAAACTCGCCACGTCCCCCGACCCCCTGATGAGAGACATCGACATGGCTTGCCTCTGGCTTCGCCAAATTCACCCCCACGCTGCGTCCTTCCAAGTTGGTTCGAAATGGCCCAGACCAACATCTGCGATGTGGACGGAAATGGGGACTTTTACGGACTCGGCATCCGCGTGGGATTCTACAGCCAATGGATATCCACTCTCCTAGTCAACATCTTTGTCCGTGAGGAAGCAGCAACCTCCCGTACCGTCAACCTCCTTCTTCAGCTTGCGGTCCTCATCTGCGTTGTGTTCCTCACTATCAGAAGGGCCATATATCCTCACGAAGTCATGATCGCCTTCTGGCTGCTGGTCGGCGGGCCTTGGAGCATGCAGTGGGGCGCTTTCAACCGGTCCGGGACCCTGGTCGCCCTGAGCCGGCTGGTCTTGTACGCGGCACTCTCGGCTTACAGTTGTTGGTTCTGGTTTGGCGGCTTGGACGAGCTGCCACAGACTCCTTGCGAGAGCTTTGTCTTTCTGGGGGGAGCAACAACGCACGGCTGGTTCCGATGGTTTGGAAAGGCGCTGTCAATATGCGGACTCGCCGCGTGTGTTGCGGTCTTGGGTTGGGGCACTGTACGCCACTGGAAGGGGAAGATGCACGGATCTTCTGCGTCTCGTGTTGGGCGTCGGTCCAAGTCGACAGTTCCAGAGGCGCCACAGACGGACATCGCCCTTCTCACCGTTTCGGTCTCTGCCATTGTCCTATCCATTATCTCGACCGAGTACCTCATTCGCGACAACCACCTTGTTGGCGTTGACGTCCTCCTTCAGCCAGGCCAGCTTATACCGTTGATCGTGGGCGCCTTTGGACTGATGGAAATGGGTATCTCTTTGCTCAGCGATGGCAAATTATTCAAGCGGCAGTGCTTGACATTCATTAACCATCACTTCACTTGATCATAGTTCCTGGAAACAGGGAGCAGTCTAGTTGTACGAGAAATAGGGTTATTGTTAAATATCAGTCTGAACCTTTTTCATACTGGGGCGCTTGGAAGCAATGGCGCAACTGTCGAGCAAACTGTTGGCAGCTGCCACCCCCAAAATGTCGTGTGCAGGCATCACAACCTCTCCCAACCATCGTTTGTGGCGAAACCTCCAAGACAGCTAGGGTGGGGGAGGTTCTCCAAGATTCTCGTCGACCAATGCAAAGATGGGCTCACACCAGAGTGGGATTCGGCCGGGTTGGTTTACCTGGGCCACGAAGCAAGGAGAAGCCAATCCAAAAACGATTACCAAAAAAAGGCATGGTCAACATGCACCCGGATGTCCCGACTTGCAGCCGGAACCTTCTACGGGCCAATTACTAGTCACTTTTCTATGGGGCGGGAGTGCGGGCGGTGCCGATCCTGGTAAGAGGATGCATGAGGTTGGAGGTTTGCAAGAATTTTTGTTGGTTTGGTCAGAACATTAGAGTCAGCAAACCACCAATGGCGATGTGGAGCACACGATGAGGATGCACCTGTTTTGCGGGGGTTGGTATGTAAATATTGTACGAAAACGGATACATAGTCCCTCCCCCTCCCCACAGTTTGCCAGACCAAAAAAAAAAAGGTCGCTTTCTTCCTTCTGCAAGCAATTTTCCTGTTCGGAAAAAAATGCCTGACGACAACGAGCCTGAGCACACCGCGTCTGCAGGTGGAGAGCAGGCGACAGGGGCAAACTCCAGTCAACGACCAGAAGAACCAGCAACTGCGGTACAAGCCACTGCGTCGGGCTCGGAGCCCCAGGCGGCCAGCATTGGCATTCTCCCTGCGGACCACTGGGCCCAGGTTTCCCAGGTAGTAGCGGCAAATGACTCGGTGGTGATAATTGGGACAGACTCACGCTGACTGATAAACCATCGTCCCTTTAGGCCCATCCCGCAGATGATAACGACGCTGAGTCGGCGTTGGGGAGCGATGCTGCTTCTACAACCGCATCCCTGACCTCGGACATTCTTCGTTACAGAACAATCTTAGGCCGCACGTACCACAGCGAGGTGGGGAACGCTCGGTACTGGTAAGAGTCTATCTACACTGGTCATCGTCACTTGGCAATGTCTCACCGCTAATTTCGCCTTGTTTGTATAGGGGTTCCAATGACGAACAACAGAACGAGTCAATGGATATCAAGTAAGTCACGACTAATTCGAGGGTCAATCTAATTGTATTCATTTCATGTATCACTTTTTGCCGCTGACACTCGAATTACCTAGCCACCATACCCTTACTCTTGGGTGCGGAGGGAAACTCTACCTGGCGCCGCTGGAAAAAGACAAGGTGCAGGTAAGGCACTCAATCCCCAATCCGGTTTGACCGGTTTGATCGACTGTCTTCTTCTGCAACTGACATTGGAGATAGAAAGCCGTGGATATTGGAACCGGAACCGGTATGAGAAAACACTTACCAGTAATTATCACCCAACATTGTGTCGCAGAAGATTAACTTTTGTCTGTGGCTTTGATCAGGCATTTGGGCCATGTATGTGTTGTTGTGCCCACCCAAAACCCTTCGACTAACCGTTGACCTAACTTGACACTCACATCTAGCGATTTCGCCGACGAGTTTCCTGGCGCAGAGGTGATCGGCACGGACATCTCGCCGATACAGCCTACATGGGTTCCACCAAATCTAAAATTGTATGTTGAATTCTCTCACCGAGGATGCAAACGCAGCTGGCTAATAATGCCCGTCCCCGTCCCCTTTCCAGTGAGATTGAGGATTGCACTGGCGAATGGACCTTTCAGCCTGAGTCTCTCGATTACATCCATCTGCGATGGCTGCTCGGTAGTATTTTCGACTGGACAGCGCTTTTCAAGCAAGCCTATAGATGCTGCCGGCCTGGCGGCTGGGTCGAGAGCTTTGAAGCTATGTCGCGGGTTGAAAGCGATGACGGCACGGTCAAGGAAGACTCAGCCATGGGTCAGTGGGGCAAGTTCTTTGATGAGGGGGGGAAGAAGATAGGGATGTCCTTCACGGTTGTTGAGGATGGTATTCAGCGGAAAGCTATGGAAGAGGCAGGATTCACTGACATAGCGGAACACACCTTCAAGGTAAGACATGGGAAGGAGGAGCAAGCAAGCAAGCTCCTCCATTCCATCCGGTCTGTGTCTGGTTAGTGTTTAATCACATGTGGCTCCTGCTAATATGTTGGCGATTAGGTTCCCCTCGGCAGCTGGCCCAAAGATCCACAGATGAGAAAGATTGGCCAATTTGCCCAGCTTGTGCTTGAAACGGACGTGGAGGGCTATATTTTATTCATGGCCAACACCATCGGCTGGAGTAGGACCGAGATCCAGGTTTATGTTGCGCAGCTGCGGCGCGAGATACGCCTAGGGAAAAACCATGGTTACTACCGACAAAGGATTGTCTGGGGTCGGAAACCAGTGAATTGAGACAGGAACGAAGGCACTCGTGCAACCATAGGTATTGACATTTACAAGAATTGGAGCTTGGCCCTCCTCGTATGGCCCAGCTAGCCTAGATCTCCACATCCGCTCCCTGGCGCACAGCCCTCTCGTGGGTTTCGAAATGGGTTTATTTTATTTTTATATGTATAGTGCCTCCTTCTGCATTCGTCAACCCGTCGGCCAGCTCGGCTTCCCATGCCTAGGCCTGTCACAATCAATTCGAAATGATAATTTTAGCCACTGATAGTGTACGTGGAGGAGCCACCAGCATTACCCCAGCCCTCAGTCGCAAGAGTCTGGTAGTCCATTGAGCCCAAGTTCATGTTAAGCTTGGCCCAGGCGTTGAAGTGGTTAGCGACGGTAACGGTGCCACCGCTGGGGCGCTTCTGCTGCCGGACCGAAATGTACTGCCAAAAGGTTGTCGTGCCCTGGATAGATGGCTGGTTGACTTGTTGGTGCTTCCAGATGTCGTAAGTGGACCCGTCGCTCTCCAGTGTCCCAACCTTGGAGCCCTGCGCCGCTCCGTTGCCGTTACTATACTCCTGGATGTAATATTCAACCAGGGGGCTTCTCGACCAGCCGTAGATAGAGACGAGAACGGTGCCAGCCGATGCGGTGGTAGTACCACTGAAGGTGATGTTCCTGAAGGGAATATCAGCAAGTGCGTCACGAGTTTGGAAATGGGAGAAAGAAAAAAGAAAAGAAAGATGATGTCACCTCGTCGTCCCCGTTTTCCAGCCCTTTCCGACGACAAAGTCCTGCGCACCAGAGAATGTGACCGAGTATCCATTCGAGCCGGGCTGGAAATTGACATTGCCACCAGTCTTGTAGTTCTGGGTGTAGTCCTGGCGGCGAGCGAGATGATTGCCTCCAAGCTCAAAGTCGGGGAGATCGGGACCGGGTGCACGGTCCACGAGATGACCGGCCTGCAGCGCAGGTCCGACGAACTCAGCGGCAGGAGCGGCGAATGTCCGGCCAATTGCTGAGACAGCGAGGGCGAAGTGAATGAAGCCAACCATGATGGCGGATATGTGCGTTACTGATGATGGATCTGCAAGCTCTGGTGTAGTGTAGTTTGGACCAAGCTTTGCCAAGACGGGACCTCCAACTTTATATTCTTGGAGTCCTTGGCCTTCCTGATCGCCCGTGTAATCTGCCTCGGGGACATATAACCCTTGATTCATATGGAATGCCGTCGTCCGCAGTGCTCATTGCGGTGACACGACCTAATTACCCCTGAGCAATAAATACAATTAGGCAAGGGAGGCCTTCGTGTTACTTGAGATATTGAAGGACCTAAAAAAGACAACGCGGGGGGAGGCACACAGTCGGCAGAGATTGATGAGCGCCTCCAGTCAAGGCACACCCTGCAGTCATCATGAGTGCCGGAGCCGGGAAAATGTGGGGGAGGTGACCCCATTTTGCTCGCCTTCCCCGCTCCCAATAACAATAGATTAACGAATTTAGGCGCCCCGGCTCTCTTGGAATTGAATTGATAAATTGCGCTACTTCAGAACCAGGTGACGTCGAAGTGTTCAGCATTCCAAGCGCTCCTATCGGAACCTTATTCAATACCTCAGTTCCGCCCATGGGAGCGGAGTCATCCTAACCGTTCACATGTGAGGACTGAAATTGCAGCTCTGCTCCTCAACGCCGTCACTTTGGTGTCTCGGCTACCACACTGGAGGTTGACAAGGCACACGCAGTAAATAAGTTTTCCACCACCTACAAGTATAATTATACGGCAGTCATAGATACCAAAGGCTACGCAGGCTCACCTCGATTTCTTCTCCCTTGTGCGATTGCCTGTTTATTTTGCCCAGAATGGACATTGGCACTAGAGGGACTGGTCCCAACGCCACTCGATCGGATGTAGGTAGACCTTCTGGACCTTCGGAAAGTAGCGGGATGCCGTGTCACGGAATGGCACAACCACATCTACGGAATACGAAGCCAATGTTGAGACCAGTTGAGAGACGATCCCCCGCCCGTCCCCTCTGTCTGCTTCCTCAGGTCTCCCTCCTTAGCCTTCAGCTCATCTGGCATCTGATCGCCGAAATCATCTTCCCCCGCAACTTGTCTAACCTCGATAGAGCATCTGTCGTCCTTAAACGGCACCTTCCTCGCCCACCCTGTAGCCTCGTCGAGATTCGCCGCCTTGATAACCCAGAACCCAGACACGAGTGTCTCGACCTCGAACGGACCCGGCGCGACGCTCGTATCACCGGAGGTCGTGAAGGATACACGAGTGCCCCGCGAGGACGGCAGTAGCCCCTCGCCCGCGACGAGGATGCCCGCCTTGACGAGCGACTCATTGAAGGTCAACATCTCTTGCATCGCGGCGGTTGTGGGGGGGACACCGGACTCTGCGTCGCGATTGGCGCGGACGAAGAGGGCGAATTTGGGCATGGTGGCGGATGTTGGTGATGGTGGGTAAAAGTGGTGGTTCGTAATGTCTTGTCACTCTCTATCGAAGGAAGCTGGGAATAGGATAGTGCTTGGAGACGAGAGCCGAGTTGGCGAGAGATGACGACGCCTGTCTTCCCTCCCCGCTTTTACAGACGCACAAAGGGCAAGCTCTTTACTAGAGGAGGCATCCTTGGCACCGCAGGCAGTCTTTGCTGGAACAGGCAGTCTTGGGCTCTTGGCAGCGCAGGCAGCCATAGGCACCAGCTGTGTGGCATCCAATCACACGCCAATGCGAACGAAGATTTCGGGAACATCCGAGCCCATGGCGACACCAGTTTCCTCTCAGATATCAAGCCATCTCATTGGGTTAGGTAATTACCTCCAAGCCCACTAATACCCAATCCACAACCACGTAATGCACGCGACGATACTACTCTGCCGCCATTTCTTCCGCTTCCCGTTCCAGTACAGACTTTGTAGAGAGGTATTGTCCATAAGCTGCAGAGACTATCGCAACCTACGAGGTATCGAACGGATACGTTGAGCACAAACTTGGATCGTTGCTCCACTCGCAATGCCACACCAGTGTCGCCAGCATCTCTCCGTCATCGGTAGCCTTGCAGGCCTGCGGGTTTCGCACTGGTGTGCAGTATCCATTGGGGCTACCGGTTGGATCCAAGTCATTTGTGCGGAACTCTTTTGAAACAAGGAGTAACAATGACACGTCAACAGAATGAATCATTTCGTTGTTTCTCGGGAATCTGAGGGGGGATACATACGATAATAGTCATGGTTATTGTCGGCCGGCCCAACTATAATCGGTATATTGTCTAGACCGCAAATCTGCGGTTGTTCCGGAATGTGCTCGTTGGTGAGCTTGAACGTGTATCCCGGATCGAGTGTGACGAAGTCGGGGTCCTTGTTGTCGACCGTCTGTATCGTCTCAAACCAGATGGGATTGACCTCGTTGAGTAGGTCGTCGCAGTTGGCCACGTTGCTGGGCACGACGGCGACGTGGGCCGTCGTGCTGCCCCCGCCGTTGGGATCCGGGTAGGTCACCCAGGTCAGGAAGAAGCCGCCCGTGGGAGAGGGAGGCGTCCATGGGGTGGTGCTTGTGCTGCTAGTTGTTGCTGTGGGCTCCCAGTCTGCGCATGTCGGTGTTGTTACGCAGGCTGTTCCCTTGCCTCCGGGGCCGAGCTGGCACTGAGTCACGGTAGCTCTGGAAATACACTCGCTGCCGCTAGGAGTGGACGATGTTAAAGTTGGAAAACCGGTCGTCGGTACAGTCTCCTGTGAAGTTGTGCTGACAGGGGGACTGTCCCAGTCTGTAACGACAATAGTCTCGCTGGGTATGGCGACGGGACCTGAATACGCAGGGACAATCACAGCTGGGTCGGAGCCGAACACTGCAAAGGTGGTCGTTACTAGATCAGACACACTGGGTATACTGATTGTCGAATCAGAGCCCACGACGATATTGCCGTCCAAAACATCGTAGATCGCTGTGCCACCGACGACAACACTCTCGGCTATGTCTGTTGTGGTGGATGCATCGCTTGTGGAAGAGCCCAGTACACCCTGGTCGTCGTCTGGCCCGATCACCACGCCCAACGGACACGACTCAATAGTGGTTGTAGTCGTTGTGGCTGTCACCGAGCAGCCGCTGACGATAGACGTTCTGGTGGTCCGACACGCCGAATGTGCCGAGCCTGAACACGAAACCCAGTAATCCGTCACGGTGTTTGTCGAGCAAGATGCCTTCGCCGTTGTTGTGGTCCCTGTGTCTGACACGTCACAGCCCAGAACGGTCGCGCATGTATGGACGTGTGATGTAGTTGTGATGGTTCTCTGGTTAGATACAGAAGTCCCCAAGGACGCTGTAGTCACGCAAAGTGATGCCGACTCGGTTTCGCATTGATCATTGTCCGGCTCCGCGGAATAAGTGGGAATCAAGTCCGAGCCAATACTAATTAGCACGAGCAAAAACTGCCGTCAGCCTCTCATTGCTGGATCTCGATACTAACCTGTATCTGCGACACAGGTTGAAGGAAGTCCTCAGAGAAAACACGAAAAAAGCTAAGTACTGACGTTATTTTAGGCCATGGTGGCAGATTTCCCTCAATGTGCATGGAAGGTGGGAGGTTGAGGATGGAACGTGGGGGTGGTCCCCTGTTTACACACATCACATCAGCATTGATGTTCCTTCTCACATAAACACAGGACAAGAGTAATGAGGAGACCAATCTACTCACGGTGGATAAATCCCAGGGGGGAGGTGCCATTCCCAGCCTAGAACATTGATGTCGTCCGACCGAATACAGATCTAGGCACGACAGTTAGCCAAACCCCCTCAGGAGTCACAATTAAGGCAGGTAGCGACTAACAAAGAAGAACCATAGGTGGCATGGAGTGACGCTGCCGTCTTCGGTTTGATGGGGTTCATCAACCGATGTTGTCACTGGAGTGATCTCCGCATTCGGCGGCCAAGTCGTGAAGGTTGTCAACGGTCCTGATTGTGTGTGCGTTGGCGATGAAGAGGGAGGAGTTTGAGTCGGCCCAGGTTGAAATGTGAGTGTCTCGCCGTCTGTAGTTAGCGTCAAAGGGGTCGTGAAGCCAGTGGGCAACGTGAATGAATCAGTTCCAACAATGATGATCCCCGAACTGGAGATGAGCGTCTGGCCATCGGGCAGAGTTGACGTTCTAGCGACAGGGGCCGATGTAGTGGGAGAGGAGCTCAGAGGCGATATCGTAAAAGTCTCGCCGTCAGTAGTGAGGGTCGTTGGTGAGGTCACACTAGGTAGTGTCACTGTGTCAGATCCAATGATCACCACCCCTGAACTGGAAATCATCGTTTTGCCGTCGGGGAGAGTGGTCGTTAGGGGCCCGGATGGTGCAGGATTCGTGGACCTCGAAGGGGGTTCGAGCGTAAACGTCTCCCCATCTGTCGTAAGAATACTCTCGGAGGTGACCGTAGGCAGTGTCACTGTATCACTTCCAACGATCACAATGCCGGAGCTCGACACGATGGTCTTGCCATCTGGCAGAGTAGTTGTGAGCGCTCCTGAGGAGTTTGATGTGGGGCTGGCCGATAAGGGAGGCTCGAGTGTAAATGTCTCTCCGTCGGTAGTGAGTAGGCTCCGAGAGGAAACGGTGGGAAGCGTGAAACTATCCGTCCCAATAATAATGACTCCTGATCTCGAGATGACCGTCTTTCCGTCAGGCTCTGTGAAAGTGGCAGCACCTCCACCTCCAGGTTGGGAAGTTCCAGTTCCAGTTACAGTTCCGCTTCCACCAGAAGGATTGGTTCCGGTAAATCCCCCAGTGCCGTTGTTTGGGATTGAAGCGGTGCCGGTGCCGGTGTCGCCAGTAGACATAGTGCCTGAAGGCAGCGTACCTGTACCCGGTGGAAGACCTGTTCCGCCTGGTACGCCGTCAGAAAGAAACCCCCGAGTCTCCAGTCGTGTGAAGTTTGACTTACCCGATCCTGAGAAGCCCGATGAGCCCGCGGAACCTGTGGGAATTCCTGGCGACGTCGAGAATGGAGACGTAAGACTGCACGTCTCGACGAATGTCACGGTGACAAAATGAGTTCGGATAGACTGCTCTGTGGTAGTCATCTGGACCGTAATGACAGATGGCTGACCACAGCTCCCTGGGGTGGGAATGGAAGCGCTGCTTGACGGCTGAGACATATTCGGGGCAGACGAGTCGCACCCCCCGATTGAGTTGCACGTTGTACCCGAAGGACAACAGCCGTACATGCAACATATCGTGCCTATTGATGTGATAAGTGAGACGGTAACTCTTTCTCGATGAAGGGAAGGGAACAAGTTTCCATCATACCAGCTCCACAGAGGTTATGTTTGCCATCGGGGGTTTGGCAACATGTATCACCATAGGCATCTGAGCCACAGCGATCTTGGCACCAGTATTCACCTGGACTGCATTTTGAGGCGGATGAGGCAAAAGTGGCGTCGGAAACAGATGCAAGAAAGAACCCAATTGCAATCAGCGTTCTCGTGCTTGATGAGAACGACATGTCTGCTCTGATGGGTACGATGGGTACGACTTTTAACTCGATTCCAGGTCGGAGTTATCAAGGGATAAGAAGCAACTCATCCGAGGAACGCAAACACGCAGCTCGGCGGGGCGCAACTTATCTTGGAACGGCAGCAAGGCGAAATGAATGCAGTCTATGGTGAGATCTTCTTCTGACGCATCTCGATTTATCCATGCAATAAGGCTGCCATGATCTGAAAATCAAATCCTCAGTCTCACGTACGACTTTCATAGCGTCCCTGACTTGGCATACCGCGTGGATGGAAGCAGGGTTGTATTCGCAAAGTTGAGTCAAGGAGTCGCACAGAAGATCATCCACACTACTGCCGTCACCTGATGGTGATAGGCAACAAGTAACCGCGTGGTGTGTAGCAGTCTAGCCACGCATGTAGAGGATTACACTCCGATCCTATAGGTTTCGATGCTATATTTTCCTTGCCAAGCTGAACGAGGCTGGGTTCACAAAAAAAGAGTAAGCTTGACGATCAAGCCTTAGTCGGGATTACCGGGAAGATTAGGTATGTATAGTACAATGCAAGTACAAACATCTACTTTTTAAGCAACTTACAGAATGTAAGGAAAGCAAAGCATGGAGTGCATGAAATCTATGTTTGTTGCCTATGTGTTGATCTTTGCTTAATCTTGCGTCAAGATCTTACACCACTCCACCACAAGACGGCCAAAGCGTTATGTACAGTTCGCCAGCTTGAAACAGGGCTTACGTGACCCTGAGCCGCATAAGCCGCAGATCAACTGACATGACATCGATTTCCATACCTAATTGGGTTAGCGCCTCTGATAGCGATTGGAGCATGAAACAGGAATTATGCCAATGAAGCAGAGAATATCTCTCTGTACAACAATTCAAGATCGGGATCAATCTTCTTACCCCTCCATTTTCGTCCCCATCGCGTTCGAAAACGGTGGTTTGGCTTCAGTGTATTGCTTCTCCAGCGTCGATATCAGCACAACGTCACATCAGCCGACGGATGGGAGCAACCCGTCGTCGCCTTGCTTCCAATCTGAGGATCCATGGACCCTTTCGCCACACTCCCCAACGAAATCCTGCTGTTTGTTGTACAGCAGGTCCCGGATCTGGGTTCCCTGCACAACTTGCGAAGTGCCTCCCCCGCCGTGGCATCCCTTATCCGGGAGGATGGGAATGCTGCACGGATTACTGAGGCCGTCCTATCAGCAACCCTACCAGATAAGACGCAGGAAGTTGTCCGTACCCTGGCCTTCGTCCTCTGGGGCCCGCACTCGGGAGGCCCACCTCTTGCCTCATGGTCAGCCTTTCGCCATCTCTACCACATCCTCCCGATCGGCCATGCCGCACCGCCAGTTTCGGAGCAACTACCCCGCGAGATGCCATCATCGGTGCTCTGCCGCGTTCTCGCCCTGTCAACGAATGTCCATCGAGTTGCCCACGGCTGCCTGCACACCCTAATGAACAGGTTCCTATCGCTGCGTCCGCGGAGGCCTGCCCACCCGAGGTTTAACTATCGCCGGTCCAATTTTTGGAAGTCCTTGGACAGAGAGACACGACAGCCAAAGCCGTACGAGCCTCCACCACAGCCGCCATCGGAGCCTGCTAAGCCAAGTGCCCGGCTCGCCGGCGAGGCGGCTGCTCCGCTGGCTTGGGTTGAGGAGCAGTCCGCGTTGAATGCCGCTTGGCGTTTGGCGCTCATCTCCGCGTTACACAAGTCCGTTGACTCTCGGCAATGTGCCTGGCCCTCGGAAGACGTGGAGAAACTAAAGAATCTGTCACCTGTCGAATTCTGGGACTTGTTGATTGGGAGTACGTCCGAGGCGGAGATGGAGTGGGTGAGGGCCATGTCTGACTACATCGGCTCCGAGGTCAGCTCATCGCATTTGCTCTCAAAGCAGATGGGGGCGGCCCGGAATTGCTGCATGGCGATTCAAGCCGCCCCGGATGGTGACTGGATACATGACAAAGACCAGTTTGGTCAGGTTTCGGCTGGTTATTCCTTTTTCAGAGAGGCTAGAACACTGCCATATTCACCGTTGCGAGGAGCAGACTTCGGAGTTTTCCGACAGTACGGGTTTGGCCTTTGGAGCACCAAGCGTATGATGGGGATGGCCTTGCTGCCTGATCCCCAGATGACGGAAGAGCGGTTCGGGGGCAATTGGCAGAATGAAGAACATAGCCTCTTCTATTCTTGGTACAGTATCCTAACCGCACAGGAGCTGGTTGATCTTGAGGACACGCAAAGAACCCATTGGCCCAATTAGTCCTGGATTACCTATTCTGGTAGCGACTTCCGTCACCCGAAATCGAGGGTAGATATCAATACAAGTTTGGTTGTCCTTGTGCAATGAAGAGGCTGACTTGCTCCTAAGCTACTCCACACACGCAGGTAGCAGTCCGAAGTGGTGGTCAGCAATACTGCAAGGAACTCTGTGCGTAAAGGTCATGTGTAATTGGTCATCCTAGAGGCCTGAATATTACTCGTCGATGGTGGTTACTACCACGACATACTCTTGCTTGTTTCATCATCTGACCCCCATAATACCAACATGCATATCTCGTCATGTCTATCAGTCAATCCCTGCCGAAGTGCGGTGGTAGATGCCAGTCTAGGATTGGGAAGCCAACTCTGATCATTCAGTCATGTGAATTCCTTCTTAATGTAGGGGATTGCACAGCGGCCACACATGCCCCCCGGCAATGGCCCGTTCGAGGTATCCTATCCCTATTTCTTCCCCATCAAGTTTCTATCCCTCCTACCGTAGTTCACAGCGCTGGCATTTCAAACTTGAAGTGAGCGTATCCACGATCCCCCGTTCAGTTCACCGCTGTCCAATTTCAAACAAAGCCTACCTCGCGACTCAACGTTTCAACCATGTCGTTTGCACAGTTGCAATTGCTACCTCCCAGGGGAGATGTCAGTCTCACGAGATCCATCGCCAAGAACTTCTCTGTCTACCGACGACCACGATGGTTCCGAGCAGCTCTTCTCTGCTTGCTGGGCTCGTTTGTGTACCACTTCGTCGCAGAGACATTCCACCAATCCGGATCCGTTGGCCGACTCAAGGCCGATATTCTAGAGGCTGAAGTAAACGCCATATCCCTGAATCATACGACAGTCCTGTTTCCACGCGCCCCCGCCGTGACATGGGACAAGGCAATCCAGACTGGCGACATGATCATCTGCCTGGTCGATGGCACAACGGAAGCTGCACAGGCCTACTTGGATCGTGTCAAGCCCGGCCAGCGGGCTACAAGCAGCTGGACCAATCCCGATTCCTTGGCCGCGAATGGCTGGCTGACTCGGGACAATGAGAAGCAACCCGGGTTTACTGACGCCTTCGATTCCATATTTACTTCCATCGGCCTGAATGTCGCCAACAACGTCTTCAAGAACTGGAGGCAACTTAATACCGTCATCTATGAAAAACGTGAATACCAGGTAAGCAAGTGGAAACCCTCCAGTCCAACGAAGTTCTGGGTTTAGTGAACTGATACGCAAATTGCAGGCAACTGGGGGCAGGTATGGCAATGTGTTCAACCCACAAGGAGGCATGATAGCAGCCGATGAGAATTACAGCCCCGCCACCGAGTCGGACCGGCCCAAGGACACGATTGTGCCACTCCAGCAATGGTCCGATGTGGTGTTCCTCGCCTGGAAGAGTCTGTGCCAGGCCGCCAACGTGGGCACGGGTGGGCTGAGGCACATATTTCGGATTGGCGTGTCCAGCTCCGGCACGGACGCTATCATCACACAGGCTGTGGGTTCAGCCAGAGAGCACAATACGTGGGCCAACAAAGTGACGTTCAACAAAGGCTCCGACGAGTTCAAGGCAATCTTGGGCACGGTAAACGGCTACGGCATTGGATGGCTTCTTCTACAGCACCGTGCAGACTTGGGGTTGCTGACTATCAACTCGATATCGTACTTTTACACTGTCGAAGAAGATCCGGATCTTGGTGAAATGGACTATCAGAATTTGTATTTCGAAATCGTTCCTCAGACATAGCGCACATACGGTCGGAGCTTTGGGATAACCAAGACTGGGGTGTATCTTCTTCCTTTTCTGTGTTCTTTTCTTCTGGTAGGGCTAAGGCACGGAATTCAGATGAGCATGGTGCTGCTTGTGACAGATTTGTGGCAAACTCGTGGCAGATTTCCAACTCGAAAATTACTTGCTATGGAGTGAGAGCCACTTATCCAGTCAGACCACCACAACCCCGAGAATTAACACCTGGAGGCATGCTCAACGAACCGATAATCAGGAACCATGCAAACATTTCGCCACCACTTCCCTACCACTTCCCCGCTTCTCTTTTCTCACGTCAGCCTAGAGGTCGCAATTGAAGCAAGCATTAGACGAAAATTCTGTCAACCTGGATTCTGCATAACAACGTGTATTCTCCAATGATAGGGCTGAGTATCACGTGGAATCATGTCAGCTGCAACTTCAATCCCACCCTGGACTGGGTCTTGGATCGGCAGTCTGACATTGCCTGCCGCATGCATAATACTTCCAGTGTATGTTATCGATGGATCGACGCGTCTAAGAAGCCGTCCCGTAGCCCGTTGATGGTGTCGTTAAACAACCTGGTCTTGGAAACGATAGACGCTAAAGGCCCGACTGCGTACATCATCCATGGTTGATAGGCATATCTGAGCGATGATATCCGTTACTTAGCGAAGGATTAGACATACCTGCATCTCACATCCAGTCACGGTGTTGTGACATCTTTGCAGAGATCGGCTCGTCACCGGGGAATGGAGTCCAAGTCATAATTAGTCACTGGTCCCGCAACCAAAACTGCTAGCAGTGTTCTAGGGTCTTGTCAGAGTTACAGCGTTCCTGCGTCTGAGTCAGATACAGACACGTTTATGCCCCTATACCCACATCTACAAAGCCTCCGAGACGTGAATCTGGATATTGGGAAAAGCGTTGCCATCTATCTGCAGTTGCCCAATTCTACAAAACTTGCCAAGTCACTCGGTTTAGCTTCTACCCTTTCGCCATTGTCCGCTCTGCTTCATATCACAAATCATCGTCAACATGGGCCGGGACGACGTTCTCTTCGACATATTCAACACGCTCCACAGGCTGGAGACGCTCCTCGAGGGTCAGGAATCTCGCCTCAAGAGCGTTGAGCTCTCTGTTCGCCCCAGCAACAGCTCCGCAGCTAGCGAATGCTCATGTTCATTCGATTCTGATATGGCAGCTAGCTGTGCTGAAGACAAGCATGGGCCAAGACTGCCTCCAAATTCACCTCTCCCTCCGCCACCGTCATCCAAGTCCGACTTCCCAACACCTGAGATGTACCAGATGTCCGTCATGAACCTAAGAAACCGCTTTGAGTTCATTGATGACAGCCAACCCGATGTTCGAGAAATCCATCAGAACTTGCCTCAGGCGCTACTGGAGCCAGAAGAGCACGCCGGTAACCCCTCGACCTCATGGAAGGAGAATATTGATGGCGATGCTGCCTCATATGTCGGCGGCCACGACGATGCATACACTCAGTCCGTCTACTCCTCACGCCCGCTTTCCAGGTACGATCTTTACACGTCAGCAGTGCAGGCAGTGCCTGCATCAACCCGTGATGAAGCGGCGGAATCCAGCGAGGACCAGGGACCCCGTAAAGGCCAGTCACACGGCGCACCCTTTCCTCGAGATCGTGCTCAAGACGAAAACGAACCATCCCCTGCTGCTGAATCTCCCACAAAAAGCAGGCGATCCAGGTCTTGGCGCAGTGGAACGAGTCGCTCTTCTCGGTCTTCTGAATCGTCATCTAGCCGGCCGTCTCACCAGCGAGTTGGAATGACCTATTATGCTTGCGACAACTTTGTACAGTCGCTCTGCGCATCGAAATCGTTCCGCTCCGAAGAGAAACGCGCTATCCGCTCCGAAGTTAGACGCCTAGGGTATCTATCTTCGCCTAGCATCTGGCACGACGGTTCTCCCCATCAGGCTCAAGGGAAGGGGAGCTGGACCTTGGAACTACGCAGGGTCTTTCTAGAGTTATTGGGGAGGATCGGGCTACGGCAGCTTGGTGCGGTGAATTATATAGCTTGATCGTGTACGATACCACAACCCACTGTCCCTTGATCCTTTTCATATGTACAACATTTAAGATGTCTGGGCATCAGGGGAATCAGAAGACTGCGGCATGAAATTTACGTATACTGGCAAATATTCCATGAAAGAACTAACTAGAGCACAAAGCAGAGCACATTCTGTATTTTCAATTGAATAGGAAAATATCACATTGTACTTTTCCCCAGTCAGTTCTTTTTGGAGCCCCCATAAAGGGGAATGCTCAGTTTGCAAGCATTAAACCTCCATCGATGCCCAAGCGAATTGGTCACCAAGCAACCCCCAGTGAGACCACAGATAGCTGTTGGCAGCAACCCCGCACACGCTTTGATTTGAAGCTCGCAATAATCAGGGCAGGGCTCAAGGATCGACGTCAGCTTATTCAAGCGCTAGAGCTAAGCTGCAAGTAAGATTTGACAGATGCTCCACGAAACCACACTATCAAGTTACGGCATATATCTGAATTTCCCCGCATATATCTGAACCCTTCCCCTCCTCGGCAAGTAGTATTGGGGATAAACCGTCCGATGATCTTGCTTCCGATCTCTTTCTCGCTGACTTTGAGTGACTTGCGAGGTACTCACTTTTCTTCGACAAGATTCTGGGAAGATTCAGTGTTCTCACTCGGGGTGGCAATACACCAGCAGTCACTTGCCAACCCAACCTGACGATCTGCAACCGCATTTTATACCCCCCTTTGTTGGTTGATGTAAGCAAGGCAGCTATCTCTGCTGTTAACCCAGTAAAGAACGCAAGGTTGCTCGATGACATACACTAGTCCACTGACATAATCCTTCGTCTTGAATACCAATCTGGGATTCAACTCCGAGACTTTCACCCTCCAGTAGGCATCAAGCGGCAACATGATAACAGAAGTTGGCGTATGGCATCGTAATGGGAAAGGATAGCTGTCTGACTCAGTCTTACCCAGAAGCTGACGTTTTGACCCGTTATTGCAGGTCTCGCAGTTCCCTGTTTCTGAACTCTACATTGAGATCGACGTCGAGATAGTCACGCGCTGTTCGTGTTGGCTGGGAGATCGGGACTTCAGGTGCGGATACAGGCAACAGAGCTACTCAAAGTTGGTAGACTTGGGCTCTAACCCATGGTAAAAGCTGATTATAATTAACGTGGAGATGCCCGTGTACCTGTCATTGCCCCAAACACGCTACACATGAGCTAGCTGCGTACGCACACAATCCCCAAGCAACACACAGAATCACCAGGCTTTCAACCCTTACTGAAGTTGTCTACCTATCCATCATCATGAAAATTTCTATCACTGGCTTGGTCTCCGCCCTGTCTCTACTCCCGGAGGCCTCCTCGGCAACTTGGTTTGGTCAAGCCGGATCTGACAATAGCCATTTGCAGCGCCGGGATAAGGGGTGCAGCTTCACCCTCTTGTCGTCCGGCTCGTTCGCCTGTCCCGCTGGCCAGCTGCCAGACGGACAGATCCGCCTGAATGGGACAGAAGAGACTGCGACCTTCTACATAACAGACGGTGGAATCACCGATTCACAGGGCTTCGGCTGCATCGTCACAGGTATGTACGACAGACACTGACACTCAAAACATCTGAATATATCATTGCCTCGTTTGGTTCCAAGACCCAGCAGCCTAAACTAATTCCTTGTCAGCTCCTCCCACCACCCAGATTCAATGCGATCAAGGCACAGCTCCAGACGCCCACTTCTCCATAGGCGCAACCGGGAATCTCCTGTACAACAGCTCACCCAATTTCTTCGCCTGTCCAGCTACCGACACCGAGTACAACGTCTACGTCGACCCGAACTTTGGGCAGGGCAAATGCTTCCCCATCACGTTGCAGGCTAGTGGTTGTGGTGCTCCGGCGACGTCACCATGTCCGGCGGCAGAGACGTCGACGGTGTGGCAGACGCTGACGGTCACGTCGGTAGTGGACACCACTGTCACTGTTGCCGCGACTAATGCTTGCTCGTCTGCTACTGGCATTTCTGTGCCGCCGCGAGAGAACTCGACTTCTTTGACTTGTCATCATTGTACTAAGAGCCACACTTCGACTGGGATTAACTCGAGAGTTTAGACGCAGGGGGCAGGTGTGGGGGTGTTGTTTCTTGAGGCTGCAAGGGTTGCTATTAGACAAATACTAGAGTCGCAATGATGGGGAAGCTTTTTTTTACGAGATGTAGCGAATCTTGGTGTTGCTATGCTTCGTGTGAGGAGAGAGGCTTTGTCAATCCATGCCATTGTAGGTCGGTGTGTAGTCTCTGGGGGAGGGCTTCAAGGATGGCTGCATTTACGTCTGGCCAGAGTCCAAGGCTTATGATGGACCCCTCAAGGCATGTTGCATTGAGGAGGTATGCTCAACAAACTCGTGTGACTTGTGCACCCTTGAACTGAAAATCAGGGACAATGCAAAAACTTCGCCCCCGCTTCCCCCAATTACCACTTCCCCTACCACTTCCCCCCTTTTTCTTGTATTCACTTGAACCGACGGCGACACAGCTGCTAACACACAATCTCAAGCATGAAGGCCCAACACACCATACCTGCGTCTCAGTCTCCCCACTATTACACTCGGTTCGGCACGATGTTCTGCACCATGGGCTCGAAGCCAGGCTTCCTCGGCAGTGCGGGCAGGATCTGGCTGACCCAGCCGACGACCTGGGGCGCGCCAAAGGTCAGGCGGCAGCCGGTGGCCGTGGTCTGCATCTGGTGCGACTGAGACGACGACGCCTGGTGGAAGCTGCTGCTGACGGAGAAGGGTCCCCAGCCAACCGACATGGAGCCCGAGTTGGACTCGGAGCTGAAGGTGTCCTCGATGTGCTGCGTGTCGCCGTGGAACTGCAGTGAGGGGTGGTTAGCTAAACGCCATTCATTCGCGGCATCTAATACTACTCCGCGAAGGGAAAATGGGGGGTGGGGGGGTTCCTCGGCTGACCTCAATGATGGTGTTGGCCGCCACGATGAAACTCGTGGGGAAGGCAGGGAACGAGTTGTACTGGGCCAGCTCGTTGACGACGGCGCTGTTGGCCTTGGCCACCTCCTTAGGATCCGTCGATTCGAGGCTCTGCTGGGCCATGAGGCGGTGCAGGTCCTGGGCGCCGGGGCTGAGGTAGATGTTGTCGGCGACGTCGAGCTCGAAGTCGTTGAAGAGCTCGGCGTAGAGCCAGGGCCGGTTGACGTTGACGACGAGGGCGTCGAAGGTGACGCTGACGTCGCAGCTGGCCATGTCGCTCGTGCTGCTGCTCTTGGACTCGTCGTGCGCGTAGCTGCCGCCGACCGACCAGAGGCCCCAGCCGGCGCCGCCGCCCACCGACATGCCCCAGCTGCTGCTATCGGCCGTTGACTTCTGGTCCGTGGCCGAGAACGAGGCAGAGATGGTGACCCACGGGTCGCTCTCGGAGCCGGCAGCAGGTGTCGTCCCGCCGCCACCGGAGCCGCCAGTCCCGGCCGCCGACGAGGGCAGTGGCACATCAAATAGCGGGTCCGCTAACTCGGAGCCATCGGCCGCCACGATAGTACCCGTGGCGCCCTTTTCGGCGACGCCCGACGCGATCGCGCTCACCTTGATGGGCTGGGTTGTCAGCTTGTCGGCCCGCTTTGCCTGGAGGGCACTGATCTGGTCCCCAATCGTTGCAATGGTGCCGTCCAGCCACTTGCTCATGGACTCCTTGGCATCACCTGCATCGCCTACGTCAGCGTCCTATTCGAAATCACTGCAGAACCCAAGAAAAGCCATCAACAAACCTTGCAAGGAGGCAATGTTGTACTTGGTCCAGGCGGCGTGCGAGGCCGTGTCCGCCTTGAGAGCGTCCGCCAAGTCCCCTCTTGCCTTTGGAAGGCCGGCCACGGCGTCCTTGTACGCCTGGCTGTCGGTGACGGCCTTCCTATCGTCGTCGGTCTTCTTGGACCGCAGGATGGCTGCCTGGTCGCCCATGGCAGCCTCGGCAGCGTACAGTGCCTTATAGGCGGTTGAGAGGTTCGTCTTCGCCGTTGCCTGGTCCACAGCTGGCTTGACGTCGTCGGGCTTGGAGATGGGGAAGGTGGGCGGCGTCACGTCCGTGGTGACGCTCTTTAGTACCTCATACGACGTCTGGAGCCGCTCGAGGCGGCGGATCTCGGCATCGAGCTGCTCGACCGTGTACTCGCCGTTGCGCTTGAACCAGCCCTCCTGCTTCTGCTTGCAAAGCGAGGCCCAGTTCTTGGGCGTCAGGACGACGCCGAGGATCTCGTTGGCGCCGTCGGCGTCCACCATGGTCGAGTTTCGCATCGACTCCTTGCTGCTCTCGACGCGGGCCATGATGGACTCGGTGTCGACCATGCCGAAGTTGAACTCAACGTCGTACTTGTGCCCGTTGGTCACCCAGTCCATCCACTTGCCTTGCACGGCAAACTTGTACTGCGGCGATCGTCAACGTCTTGATCCTCCTTGATAGGAACAGGCATATTGCCACAGTCCGCAATCAACGGGAAAGTTGACTCACCTTGCGATAGTTTGCTTGGTTCCATTCGTCATAGTCTTGACGCTGCAGAACGACGTCGCTGGGATACTTGGTCTTTGCATCCTTCTGCGCCTTGATCTTCGCCTTGTCCCAGGCATCCTGAGCCTGGGCCCAAGCCTCCTGCTTTTCGACATAGCTGTCCACGGGCGTCAATCCCGTCTCCTCGTCGACGGTGGTCAAGTACTTCATGGCAGCATCGTATCCAAGCTCTCCTGGGCTACGGATTGGGTTGACGCCGCCCGACTTGACGGTGGCCTTCTTGGGCACAAGACCGTCCAGAGCGCGACTGTAGCTCCTGGAAACGCTCTTGCCGGTATTTCCGATCTACCAACGGTCGGGTCAGTTCGGCAGTCTCTAACTCGTAGAGGTGATGGCACATCGAGTCAACTCCCGGCAGACAGGAGAGGGGATACTTTCTTACCATGATGTTTGCCAACGGAATCATGTTGTCGACAAGCCGAGCTTCGGCCTGGCTGACAGCCATGGGTGGGAAGGCGGAATACTCGGCACCATAGATGAAAGTGCCGCCATCCTTGATGTCCCGCACATCGATGGTCGTGCCGGGAATCGCGATAGTCAAGTACTGCTCCGGGGCAACTGCGCGTATGTCAGGATAGTCAGGATATAATTACCGAGCCAACGTATGGCAAGCATTGCAGTCACGTCACGGACCTGGAATGGCGGCCGCAATGGCCTTTCGGAGCAAAGTGCTGACATTGGCGATCTGCGTGATCGAGTCAGCCTGGAGCTGGGCCTCCACCGCCTTAGCGTCCGACATATTTGATAAGACGCGACTGGGGCCAAGCCGTAACAGCAGCACGTAGGAATAAACAAGTAATTAGACGAGATGGGTAAGTAGTGTGAGTTTGGGACGCTGCGCGAGGGTCTGGGGAGAAGCAATGAACATGGATCAAACACCAAGATTGGGAGACCAGACACACCCAAATATTCGGACGGCGAAGAAGGAGGTGCGTATAAGACGACGGCCAATGGAGCAGGGCGTTGCAATTCCCCGGCTGAACCCGTGATGGAACCCCATTTTGTTTGTCTTTGCCGCCGAGACCGAACTGTGGCTGGCTGGATGGATGCAGACCAGCTGCAAGTAGATGCTGGACTGAAGAACTCCTCGTGACGCTGTCAATTGCATGCTGACCGATGGCGTGCAGCCAAGCCAGCCAAGCCAGCCAAGCCGTTTGCGGCTAACCTCGCGCAGGCCTACGTTGACTGGCTCGCTTTGTTGGCTCGGGCTCAGCCGCAAGCCTCAACCGACGGCGCGATTGCAAACCGACAGGACACTTCGGTGGTGAAAACGGGCGTTCCCGGGCCCACCTGCAGCGAGCTAGCGCGCGTAAGCTAGCTGATGTCCTATTCCGGTTGACTATAGTCGATAGTCGAGCTTCCGCTGACGCATGGCGCTGTGTTCTAGACAATAGTATTGTACAAGTACAACCATTCCGTCCTTCGGACAGTGGCATAAACTCGAGTGGGGGCCAATGGTCAGCTGCACTACCCACTCGTCCGACAGCGGCATAAGCTGCTGCTTGTGCTGCTGCTGGTTAGTGGTCGCAACTGCGCATCGCGCTGTCGGAACTGGTCTAGCTGCTCTTGCTCGTATTAGCACGAACGACCGCAACCATTCCGCTGGGTGATTTGCATAAACACCTCATAGCTTCTCTCATGCGGTCTAACCTAAGGTACGAGATATAGCCTCGCGCAAGTAGCCGCAATCTCTGGTCGTGGCATCACCGTCCCAATTCTCTCCGCGGCTCTCCGTACATCGCTTCCACCCCCAATCAAACATGGACTCGAAGCTGCCGTTCCGCCCCAAGCCGGCTCCGAGCGGGGGAGCCACCAATTCCCCAATGATCTCTGACGACCCCGAGGCATATACCCTGCCCAAGCCGGACTACGGCGACATACAGCTCAGCCTGAAGAACATCCGCGTAGACAAGTCCGTCTATATCCCGCTGTACGGGCTCTTCACCGGCGACATCTGGCACGTGGCCGCGGCGCAGATCCTGAGCGAGTACGAAAAGGATGGTTCGGACATGCCATATGGAAGGTTCCAGATCATCACCTGCATCTCGGTCAACAACTACGACCGGAGGTTGGCAGCGGACGAAGAGGTGGCCAAGGACAGCGAGCGCCCGGCCACCGCACTGCAGCCCGCCAAACAGCCGATTTCGAAGAGCGGGCTGAAACGCAAGGAAAAGGCACGGCTGGCCAGGGAGGAGAAGGCCCGGAAGAACGCGGAAGAAGCGGAACGGAAGGAGGAGGAGAAGGAGGCAAAGAAGAAGAAGCCGAGAAGGAAATCTGCGCCGAAGAAGAAGGAGAAGAAGAAGAAGCAGGAGAACGAGGAGGAGGAGGAAGAGCAGGGAGTGGAAGCGGATGACGACAGCAGTGGGAACGAACGGCGGCCAAGGGCCAAGAAGCCTCCTCCCGCAAAGGAGACCAAGAAGCGAGCCAGAGAGAAAGAAGAAAAGGCGCCAGCAGGCAAGAAGCCGAAGCCGCAGGATACGGACGAGGACGACGACGCCTCTCCTCCGCAGTGGAGGGTGGAGAATGCCGTGGTCAAGCGCGCGCGCGGCTCGTGGAAGTACCTGACGACCATCGGCCTCACGACGGCCGTGGTCCTGGTCCGCGACGGCACGGGCCCGCTATTCTGGCCGTATGTCCACGACTACCTCACCTGGGACGAGGTGCACGCGGCCTACCGGCGCCAGAGCAGAGGCATGGTCCCTCGGACCTTCGACGACATGGTCGTGGGCGAGATCGAGGCCATGGGGGGCAACCCGCCGGCCCTGGACTACAGCGTCAAGCACGGGCCGACGCGGGAGCCGCAGCTCGTCGACCTTCTCTGCTCCACCAGCGCGGCCATGCAGCTGATGCAGTACCTGGGCGTCCGGCAGTCGCAGATGATCCTGGGGTACCGGCTCAGCGGCGGGCCGCAGCGGACGCGCTGGGTCGAGGAGGTGGCGACGCAGAAGCTGCAGCAGCTGGTCGAGAAGATCGACCAGGTGTACAGGGCGGTCGACGGCCTGGAGGGCGTCCTGCTGTTCAACTACCGCCTCGGCGACGTCAACAAGCAGCACGACAGCAACGTCGACATCCTGGCGCAGGTGCGGCGGCTGGCGGCCGAGCAGAAGCTGGCCACCATCATCGTGCCGCAGATGGACAGCGAGGGGTACGGGGAGCTGGTAACCAAGCTGGAGGCGGACGAGGAAGAGAACGAGAACAACGAGAACGCGTACCTGCGCAAGTACTTCCACTTCGACTTCCTCGGACTCACGGTGCCGGATGCGCCCTGGATGGACAACCGCGTCAAGGCCTACTTCTGGCACCTCGTGGCCGTCTTCCTGCAGCGCGGCTCGCCGCTGCAGGTGGACGAGGATCCGCCCAGCTTCGTGACGCCCGAGCACCGATGCGTGCACGGCTTCATCGGCGGGCGCAGCGGCTCGACCGACCTGCCGGCCTTCGTCGGCCTGCGGTGCTTCTCGTGGGAGGAGCCGCTGCTGACCGCGATCGACACCAAGCTCCCCCAGAGGAGTGGCAACTGGAACAGGAAGCTGTACTCGTTCCAGGGCCCGCAGATGCTGCGCCTGTTTAATGAGCGTTCCATCATGGTGACGGGCTTCCTCGACCCCGACGGCATGATATACACAAAGAAGAAGACGGGGAGCGATCGCATCTTCAAGCGCATCCGGGAGAGGGATAATATCCTCCAGACGTGGCTGAAGGAGCCGCCGCACGACGCCGACGCCAACGCCATCGTACCAGTGCTGCCGCGCGGCGTAAGGGCAACTTTTGCGGTGAGTTTAGTTTCCTTTCTCCCTCGAAATGCAGACTATACTACATCGGCGTTCGATACGAGAGCTCTGTACTAACCGTGTTGTCGCAGGACTGGTTCTTCCGGGAATACAAGCCTAAGATCGAAAAGAAACAAGCCATCATGATCCGAGCAGTCAATCTCGCCGTCTACGAGCGGCAGATCCGCGGTTTGCGTCGAGATCAGGCCAAAGAAGATGCGGACGACGAGCAAGAGGAGGAAGGTGAGGAAGGCTAGGCTGTTAAAGGAAGATGGGGACTACGAGGCGTAGGATGGAGGGATTTCCGCGCCTCGCCGAGTAAAGGGAAAGCGGAAGGCGGAGAGGCGTGAGAACTAGAGGACAGAGAAGGGTCGAGTGTGTGTCCTGGGGCGGATTGGGATCCCCCCAGTAAAGCATTAAATCCATGCTATAAACGGGCTTCCTTAGCATGAGATGTGAACATTTATCTTGACAGCGTCTTGTTACACGATCTCCGCTCCAAGTCCCATATCCTGGAACTGAATTACCAGTTCATGAACTTGCCGCATATCCGAATTGTCGTACCTTTCGAGAAAGCCCTTCCTGAACGGCCCGCCCGCTATCTTGTTCCAATCGGCCCTCAAAGTCTGCATAGATTCCGTTCGCTTGTACACGATGCACCCAAGATACCAGTACTCCGCTGCAAAGCGCATGAAGCCAATCCTTCTCCACGCGTCGTCTGGCACCGCACGATCCGGCTCTCGGAGTCCACAAAGCTGCTCCCGTTGCAGCCAGGCTTGTCTCCAGTTCCGGAGACCGTGGAGAATTGGAGTCGCCTGGTTCCAGGATGTTGGCTGGCAGTGGTGGTGGAATATCAGACCGTGGAGAGCTGCAGCAGCGTGAGTTGAGCAGTTGTCCTACTAGGATGGATCAAAGTGTGTGCGGGGACTGGACTTACCGGATGCAAGAGTGAAGAAATTGAGGGAACTCATTTGCCTCAACATTTTCCAGTCCCCCGGCGACACTTCATCCTTCATCAATACCTCCATCATACTCGACACCGAGGGCTGCCCCTGTCCTAAACTGGTCTCCGACCACGCCTTAACACTGAACAACCACGACTCCAGATCCCCAGCTTGGAAGCACGTCTCCGGGCAAGTAAGCCCGACATCGAGCTCGAAAGTAACCATCCGCGGCGGCGTATTGTTGAAAATGACATATCCCATATCCAGCAGAAACACATACGTGACAGTCCGAATGAGCTCCTCCTTCAGAACAAATCTCTGCCAATTCCCCTGTGCACTCCCGATTCGCAGATAGGCGCCCAGATCCCCATGCGTCGTCAGCCCCGAAACCTGCAGACTCCGCGCCACGGAAATAACTTGCGAATACCTAGTCCTCCGGGCGCGACGCTTCTGGCTCTCCTTCCCCTCCCACGAACACACCAGGATGATGCAGTACGCCGCGCGCAGGGCGTCCAGCCTGTCCCTGACGGCCGCCATGTCGGGCTCGTCTGCTGCTGCGTCCAGAGAGTCGTCGTCGCTGAAGGCCGGGTCGGTGAAGACCCATTCCTCGACAGCGCCGAGCCAGTGCATGGCGGCGTCGCGGTCGGCATCTTCGGGGGTGAGGCAGGCGCCAATGATGGCAATCGTGGCGAGGAGGCGGGCGGGCGTCCGGGTCGGGTCGAAGCTGGGCTTATGGAAGACGGGCCAGTTGGGGTACCAGAAGGACCAGAAGGCTATGAGATATCGATCGAGGTTTGCGGGAGAGAAGAACTGGTGGCAGAGAGATTCGTTTAGGGCCAGACTGTCTTGCCAATTTATGCCGTCAGATGTGTTGGCGTGGTGGTGTTGGCTCATCCCGAGGACTATCTCGTGCGTCTTGGCGGCCAGGGGGTGGACGAGCAGCAGTTGTTGGAACATCAAGGCCCTTCCAGCGTCAGAGGTCGATAAGCGCTCCGACCTCCCAGCTGTGTTGGTAAGAATTAGGATGACCCGTCTTCGTTCCTCGGGATTCCCACAGTCGAACGAATTTGCCATCCCTTTGGTTGACGTTGAGGTGAACTTGGCCAGGAAGTTGAGTCTCACGGGCCGTGCTGATGGCCTGGGAGGAGCGAAACTCGGAGCATAAGCGGCCATATCGTAGACGTTCCAGGTTAACTGAGACATCCAAGGTATTATTGGGCCACTTTCCCCGTGATTGCGAGTCACTGGGGGACCCCAAGGCTGCGCAAAGTTGGGAGACGACACCCCTTTAGCTGCATAGTCCGGGTATAGAAAGGGAATCAAGCTGTCAGCGTCGGGTATGAGCGGGCCGGAAGCCATGCTCTCTTCCTCAACAATAGCCCATGGAACACCGAGCCCAGCATCGGAACCAGAAGACGGACTTTGCCATTGGTTATTGTCCGGGACTAAGGTTGGTAGTTGTGCTGCGGTGGACAGGTTATCGGCGTCCAGCAGGAACCGAAGGTAGGTGCATTCTTGCTTCCCATCCATGCACTTGTCGCATGGAAAAGTCCGGCTACATCGCCTTTTCGATTGAGAACATCGGTCACAGGAGTGCTGTTTTCTTCCCCTCTTCCGATGCGACAGTTTCGGGGTGGTGTGTCCGGAGTTTATGCGAGCTTCGCAGGTCTTCCAGTGTCGTGTCAACGCATCGCTGCAGAACATAGTGTTAGATGGGAAGCAGAATTGTGGAATATAGCTAGCCGGTCACAAATCACTCGCTGTCGCCCGGCTGACATACCTCCGGTTGAAGGTTAGTGTGCAGAAAGTGCATCCATACGGCCGACTATCAGTATCTTCGGAAAGTGAAAGTCAGCTCCTTGTAGTGCCAACTGCAAGGAAAGAGTCAACGCACGAGCTAGTAGGTGTCTTTGAAGGTGTTCAAGTCGGGTGAAGGAGTTGGAGCAAATGGCACACTGGAATGGGGAGGTGGACTGCATTCCGGGATTAATTACTACTGCTCGATAGTGGAGTAATTATTTCAAGCAGCAATAGAGATGCCTCTTCTGGATAATTTCGATGAGCAAGGGTGGTTTGAACAGAGTACGGTTGATTGAGATGGTTGGTTGTGGGTGAGGCAGAAGTGGGATGGAAACTACCTTGATGGAACTACCTTGGAACTGGCCCGTTGTGGTGAACCTCGGCTAGAGCATTCTATAGTCGCTGTTTGATTGGTTGGAATGAGCGACTAGCTGGATTTCCCCGCACCGTCCATTCTGGGGAATGGCAACATCACTCAACCACTCCACCAGGGTGAGAAACGTTGGCTCGAAAGATGAACCCACCCAAGAGAGGCAGAATCTATTAGACATGCCTGTGGAAAGAACAAAATAGCAAATTATTCGCAACTTCATTGGCCGTGAGTACCCTCTGTATCGAAAGTTCTGGGTTCGGTTAGGGGTCTCCAGCTAGCGTTTAGTTACTGTTGCCCCGGGTGGAGGTCTGTACACTAACCCCACCTGCCAAACCTGGTTGCCGGGAAAACCCCCACCCCCGACTTTCTTCCCCGCACGAGGGATTTCTCGCTAATCGGAGCTAATCTGCGGGTCAGATATCTGGATTTGAAGCTCCGTCCTCCCAGCCACGGCACAACGGGGATAGAGGAGGATAGTGGGGTCTTCGGCTAACTTGGCTGTGGTGTTGATGACTGATATTGCCCTCCCCTTCGTTGTGATGGAGTTGCGATTGATCAGCAACGGGAGGACCGGACGCTTGTACGATGTAACTGGGAGCAATTCAGATCATTCGGCACTTGGACATACACTAGATGCCTTGGCATGCATGTCGCCGGCCAAATCCCCACCCCCGCCCTCAGCCCCGGAGCACACTAGAGCACTCTAGGGAGTTCACATAAATGCATTCCCGTATCAAGTTGGACTCGGCAACGAGGGAAACGACTAATGCACTTGATGGCCTGGTTTGTCTGGGGTGTGCAAGTCATGCAAACGTCTTCTTAATAAGTCACCGTCGAGCCTCCTCTTCTCGTGGTCCTGGAGAACTGTCTTTCATCAGCACCTTACGCCTTCCTTGACACCTCTTCAAGATGACCAACTTCGTGAAGCCCGGCAGCGAGGCTGACGGCAGCAGACGTGACCCCAAGCTCGCCATACGCAGGCCTAACCCGGAAGCAAGCCAAGTCCCAGGCGATCCCCTCGTTCTCCCTCCCGGTATCGACGGCTCCACCTTCAAGAAGTTCACCGCCGCCGTCGCCGATATCACTGGTTCCGACAACGTAACCGTCATCTCCAGTGCCGAGCAGCTGCACAAGCAGGACTACCTCGACCCAAGCAAGGCACATGACATGTACCACATTCTCGGAAAGGGCTACTTCGTCTCCTCGGCAGTGGTGGCCCCGCGCGACGTCTCCGAAGTCCAGGCCATTGTCCGGCTATGCAACGAGTTCGAGATTCCGCTCTGGCCCTTTTCCGTCGGACGCAATGTTGGATATGGAGGAGCTGCACCTCGAGTGCCCGGGTCTATTGGTCTCGACATGGGCAGGCATATGAATAAAATTCTGAAGGTGGATGTGGAGGGTGCCTATGCGCTGGTCGAACCCGGCGTGACTTTTTCGGATCTTCACCAGTACTTGGTCGACAACAACCTCCGGGACAAGCTCTGGGTCGACGTTCCTGACCTTGGAGGGGGTTCCGTCCTTGGGAATACTATCGAACGAGGAGTGGGCTATACGCCATATGGTTTGTCAAGCGCCGTCCGTCTTCTCACGCCTGTATGCTAACAACTTGTCAGGGGACCACTTCATGATGCACTGTGGCATGGAAGGTAATTAAAAAGTTTTTTTCCTTCTCTGGTCAGGGAAACTTCCACAGTTACTCATGCCAGTTCTCCAGTTATCCTACCAGACGGCACTCTGGTTCGCACCGGGATGGGTGCACTCCCCAACCCTGATGCGGACCCAAACGCACCACCGCACGAGCAAGAACCAAACTCGACCTGGCAGCTGTTCAACTACGGATTTGGGCCGTACAATGACGGCATCTTTAGCCAGTCGTCTCTCGGCATTGTCGTAAAGATGGGCGTGTGGCTCATGGTCAACCCAGGTGGCTATCAATCCTACCTGATCACCATCCCGAAGGACGAGGACCTTCACCAGGCTGTCGAGATCATCAGGCCGCTCCGGACATCAATGGTCCTGCAGAATGTGCCGACGCTGAGGCATATCCTGCTGGATGCAGCTGTCATGGTGAGTGACTAGCTGAAACACCCCGAACATTACGCGAATTTGTTATCACTGACTCTCAATTTGCAAGGGTGATCGCGCATCATACACGTCCTCCAAGAAACCTCTCAACGACGAAGAGCTCGACGAGATTGCAAAGAAGTTGAACCTGGGCCGCTGGAACTTTTACGGGGCGCTGTACGGGCCCGAACCCATCCGGCAGGTTATGTGGGAGGTAGTGAAGAAGTCATTCTCTGCCATCCCCGGCGCCAAGTTCTACTTCCCCGAAGACATGCCCGACAACGTGGTGCTGCAGACCCGCGACCTCACACTGCAGGGAATCCCAACCACAACCGAGCTGAAATGGGTGTAAGTTAATTAATGACCACTCATTTCCAATCAACCATGAACTGACCCAGCCCAGCAACTGGCTCCCCAACGGTGCCCACCTCTTCTTCTCCCCGATCGCCAAAGTCACCGGCCCGGACGCCACGGCCCAATACGAGGTAACGCGTCGGCGGTGCGAGGAGGCCGGCTTCGACTTCATCGGCACCTTTGTGGTCGGCATGCGCGAGATGCACCACATCGTCTGCCTCGTGTTCGACCGCTCCGACCCGGCGTCCTGCCGCCGCGCCCACTGGCTGATCAGCACGCTGATCGACGATGCCGCGAAGAAGGGGTGGGGGGAGTACCGCACGCATTTGGCGCTCATGGATCAGATTGCGGGGACGTATAATTTCAATGGGAATGCCCAGATGAGGCTGAATGAGGCCATCAAGGATGCCTTGGACCCGAAGGGTATATTGGCCCCAGGGAAGAACGGAATTTGGCCGCGGCGGTATGATAAAGAGGCTTTTACGGTACCGCCGAGTGAGCTGTGATGCGTCACTCTCCTTGGCGAAGATGCAAAGGTATCCAACATTTGACAGGGTAGCTTGAAATCCACCTGAACTTCATATCTCTATTACTCGTGCCAGCTCGAGTAATAGGATATAACAGTCTTGTTGGACGATATGATATTTTAAAGTAATTAAACCCGAGTCCATCATTTTGACACAAACAATGCTTTGCTTATATAGGTGCTGGAAATTTATTGAGCTTGTATCAAAGGAGGCAACACCTCACGGGACAGCAGGAACACCGGCCTACCCACGAAGATGGAAATAGTTGACGGCAAGATCTGGGCAGCATTTTAATCCGGAACGACGACCGAGAAAGCATAACGACCATGGATTAACAACCCACTAGTGAGTGCTCACCTCGCGATAGACGTCCTATTTACCTCCTAACATGAGCTTTGTATTGGTGAATGACCTGCGGCTTGCAGCCCTCCCTAGCCTCACTTGCCACCAGCAGCACTCTCCTTGTAGCCGACAAGGTGGGCTTGGGGCGTTCCAGCTTCGATGCGTTGCGCCAATGCCCGCACGTGGTCAAGATCGTTAGACTAGACGGCGCCTCCTCGGTCGGTTGGCGTGTCGTTGACTCGACGGATGACATCGTCTTCGTTAGTCCATTTCATCACTGGTACAATGGGACCTGTAGAAGGACTAATTTAGTGAACGTAAATCTCTTTTTGTGTGCAGATGGGAAGAACCAACCAATAGCTTCTCCTATGACAACCAGGGGTTGCTGATAATGGCCGGTTGAACAAGGAACTCAGTGGCGCCATCTTCGGCCATCGGGCCCCCGTCGCAAACTGACACCCATTCTGAGCAGCATCCTCGAAGAACCGACGCACAACCTTATGCTGCATCTCAATTCTGCATTAGCCCAAGCATGATCCCCTCCTCCAGATCCGACGTTACCCCAACCGTCCACCCCTCCACAGTCCGCACCATCTCCCTCAGAAAGTCCTCATGACGTCCTCATGCACATACACCCGCTTACTCGCCAGACAGAACTGTGGCTAGTGTGATGCTGCATTTAGTGCGCAAGAAGGCCAACCATAGGCTGGAACTGAAGGAGCAGGAGACAGATGGTGCCCATCGGCCGAATGGTATGAGAACAAAGTTTAATTATTTGAAGCTCGGAACGAACTGGCCAAGAAAGTCATAATCCAAATTTACCAAATCTCCCCATCCACCACCACGCTCTTCAACCCATCTCCCTTCCACACGCCTCCTCTCAGTTATAACATGGAAAGGAGTCATTCCATTATTGTCAGGTATATTTTCGTCGGCGCCGTGCTGAAGAAACAGTTGATGTCCTTCAGAAACCCTGTCCAGGCCCCACCTCCATGCGATCACGCCTAGACATGTCTCCCCATCCTGATTCTGCGAGTTAATGCAGGCGCCATGTTCAAGAAGAAGCTCAACCATTGCGGTGGACAGGAAGTCCTGCCCTATCAGAGCATGCAGGCAGGTTTGGCCCTTGTCATTCCTGTCATTAGGATCGGCGCCATTCTGGAGCAGAAGTCTGGCCATCTGAAATCCCCCATCCTCTTGCGTTGCACAGACAAGGTGAAGCGGTGAATTGCCGACGTTCGTCCTCTCGTTGACATTTGCCCCTTGGTCTATGAGACCTTGTACTTCCTCGGCCAGGAGAAGTAACGCGGCCCAAGTGGATAGCTTTCACTCCTTCCTTGGACCGAGTATCTGGTGCCACTGCTGTGCGCACAACCATGTGCGCAACGTCCAATCTCCCATCCTCTATGGTATGTCGAATGGCGGGCGAATACTCTATTGCCTCATCCAGGTCGAGAATGATGCCGTATTGCAATAAAACTTCGGTGACTTTGACATGTCCTGAGATGAAGGTATCCGTCAGTGTTCCAGCGTCATGAGGGTCCACACCTTTTTGGCAAAGAATCCGGACAATCTCATGATTGCCGTGCGCCGCAGCTATACCGATCGCAGCGCTCAAGTGTAGCATGGCCTTTGCCAAGGAGCTTGCTTCGTATGTGCCGGCAGGATCGACTTTCAAGTTATGAAGCACAAAGATTCGAACCAAGGTGGTGTGGCCTCCTAACACCGCAAGGTGAAGCGATGTGGAAAGACCTGAGATGGGCTTATTTATATCGACACCGCTCCCTAGAAGGAATGCTGCAAGGTCTTTGCAGTTGTGCTGAGAAGCGTACGCCAAAAGTCTTTCTTTGTCGCCTATTGTGATTCGGTGGTGACTTGTAGAGTTGCAATTGTCTCGTTGTCCTTGCGGTCTGTGTATATTCCATCGATTGTAGGGGTGGAGGTTGCAATGGTCTTGAAGACACCTTCCGTTCAAATCATGGCCAGCTTGTACCGCTCGTGAAATCTCGAACTCCACAATTGTCATGGTAGGAGAACGAAGGGTAGCAAGTGCAAGCTTATCCTCGGGATCCAATTCCATGTTGAGGTTTGACGCATCAATGTTCTGACAAACTTGTACCTCTGGGTACGTCGGTCCGAGGTTAAACAACCAGGACATAAAATCTTCATGTGCAGGTGGTCCAGAACGGTTCGTGAAGGGCACTTCATAGGCCGACAGGGTCATCCGGCCCCTAGACAGCAAGTTGTGATCTGATGATAGCCTCTGGTCACGGCTTATTATATCAGACCCTGGAGTGTAATATGCGATACACTCTGGTGTAGACCCTGTATTGATCTAGTTAATTATCCATTACTCTTGGGGGGAAAAGCAGGACAACGTGATGCATTCAAGTTGGACAAACTTACACGCAGGACTGTCTGCTGTCACCTTTGGCTGCGTCCTCTTTGCAAACCTCTTGATGTTGTTATCAGGGACTGGTCGGTTCCGCACAGTAAATTGAGTCTCTTTGCCTTCTAGCAGTCTTCGTTCTTGTATCTGCATGATTTTTCGCATCTCGTCAGATTTGACATTTTTCTCGATCCCCCAACGCGCAAACTGTCGCTTGTACTGTTTCCCCCTATGATATGTTAGTCCAGAGTATCATTTTAATATAAACATAATCAGTAACTCACGTTCCGTCAAATCCATGATCGTGCTTCATAATCCTCATAACCACCGGAAGCGTCTTATTTTCAGTCCAGTACAAGGTCTCGATAATTAGTCGGCGATCATCCCATTCTTTGTCTGAACGGGGCTGTATCGTCTGGTGAAGCGGAGCAGTTGTGCTGTTGTCGAGATTGCCTTCGGCGGTATCAAGGCTTGGCGTCACGTACTCTGTGGCAGCTGGATCTTCATCCACTGGGATTTCAATATCGTCAAAGAATAAGTCGGGCTCAAATAATGGCTCCCAGGACGGTTCAACCGGTGCTCCATCGCCTGGAGAATAATCATTGTTGAAAGAAAAGCCATTGGTCATGTCAGTGTCCATTGTGGCCTTACTGCTCGAGTTGCGTTTGAAGTCGGGGAGGCCCAGGTGATTCGAAATATTTGTACTTCGTTTGTTTGCTTGCTATCCCCATGGTGGTCCGAGCGTCTTGCAAACACCTCCAGCATAACAAAAAGGCGTCAGGCGTCCTGCAAAAGTCTCCCACGTAGTCCGTACTCTGTAACAAAAGGCAATTATGCCCACAAAGTCGTCACACCGATGAGCAGCGTGCAGGGATGGCTGCCAGGTATCTAACTATCAAGCAGCCACACAACCCCCTCCACGACCCCCCAAACCCCACCCCAAATAATAATAATAATAACAACCCATATGCCACATTCGAGGTTGATGATTCACAAAATCAAAAGGACTTCGTGGATTCTAAATATTTAAAACCACTTGATCACCCTGGTTGGGTCAATTCGACTCTAAATACCAAGCATGCAGAGTGATAGGCGCAGCTCTACCTATCTATGAGTAATATGCACTGTGCAATTTCCATTGTTAGTGCGGTACTAATGCTCTGCTAGTGTGTTAACCTGCCCTGCCCCGCGGCCCCCCCTCGTACATAAAATAAACGCAAAAAGCAAAGAAAAATGTGACCTGTTTTGTTTGGGCGAAGCGAAGGTAAAATCAATTGGTGTGTCGATTGGGGCTGGGTTGAACCTAGGCTGTACAAAATTTTCCTTTTACCATAGTAGAGCATTTGTACAGGGCAGAGCAAGGCAACGGAGTACCTCGAGTGTACATAGTGGATCGGCGTTCATGCCGCTATCTGCCGCCAGCCCGTTTGCCTCTTCACCGGGCACAAGAGCGGTCATGTTTCCAAGAGGCTCAGAATGCCAGAATTGGAGCTTGGAGAATTTGTGCTAGGTCAAAATAAGAATGCCTCTTGGCAGTTGGAGGGGGTCACGGTGATCCAGAATTGCGGGCGTCCCTGAAACTGGGTGCGGAGTAGGACTAGAATACTGGACGGTCCCACGAGCATCAGCACACAAAGTGGGCCCGCTGGTGACAGCACAAGCAGGAATTGCGCAAGCCATACCAATCCTCCGCTTTCTTGATCAACTTCCGCCCCCTATTTTAACCTCCAAATCCTCCCCAAAACAAATAAATAAAATAAAATTCGTCGAATTATTGAATCTAAACTCTAGTGAGCTATGTAAGCTACTGCTTTTATACAGCAGAATTCTAGGAACTACCACCTACATTTGCAAAGGAATTCCAGGTCCCACAGCCCCGCCTCCGTTGCCAGATGCAGGGCGCACCATCCACTGGCTCAGAAAAAAACCCCACCGGGATTGGCACCTATGCCGAATTGAGCCAAAGGTCGTAGACCCACTTCGGAAATAAGTGCGTCCAGCATCCCGACAAATCTCTGGAAAAGGGGCCCGCGCGCCACCGTCGCTTGAGGGCAAGTTGAAGTTCACACCTACCTACCAATAGACCTACTGTTCAGTCGCTGTATTCTTTCCCTGTATAGGCCATAGCCAACCCACCCTCTTACATTTGAAGACTGCCACTGTAGCTTTAAGTTTGCTGTCATTTTCCTCTTTTATTTTAGAGAAACCCTTGTATAAATACAGTACAAGAAAGGTAATCTGAACTTCTGACTATTAAGAAGACCATCGAGAACCATCCCTTTACTCCCAAGTCTATTATTATAGGTCAAGTTTTTACATTTACAGAGAATTTGCAAGAGGATTATCAGACGAGTACCCATGATTAAGTCACAGAGAAAATCCCGCACGAAGAAGCTCGCAAGTTCATCACCGTCATCTTACCCCTATCTTTCTAAACCCAAAGAAAGTTACTTATAAGAAACGAAGACTGATACTGGCTCCGTACTACCGATAACGGGCTTGTCCCTTGATCTTCAGCACGGGACCCCTGGGAAAATCCAATCTAGGCAGACCGGCCTGTCAACGGCGATGTGAACCGGGTTCCGGACGCGTTACACGCTTAAGGGTTTGCCCCCTTCCTTTGTGAGTAAAACTGCCATCTCTGCCTTGTGCGCAAGCAGGACTTGTCGTTCCGCAAGTATGAGCCGGCCTCTTTCGACCCACAACGTCCCTGACCATAACGTGATTGCCTTTCGAGCCGCTGAGATGACATCTTCGAGGTAGGTGCTTGGACACGCGTGATGGATGAGAAAGAGTTACCGTTAATGAAGGTCAAACCTCACCCCCAAGCCGCCCTTTCCTCCACATGCCAACCGCCTGGCCCTCCATAAGACCGCGGAGCAAGCATTCGCCAACCAGAGTGTAATGTCCGTCTACAGCGGGGTCGTCTGTCCTGTAGCAATTTGAGAAGTCGATGGTATGCACGATGGTACCGACAATCACGTCGTTAAGCCTAACAACAGGTGGCTGCCAGTCTGCTGCTGCTTGTTCTCGTAGCCCTCCCGGAAGAGATACCCCGAACGGTTGGCTTTCACCACACCGACGGCAATCTTGTTCGCCTAGGTCATGCCCTCATTCTGGCCGCCGCTACTGTACCATGCCGTGGTAAAGGCCTGGGAAGAGTCGGACTCGGTCAGCTAGGTGGGCAGTTTGGTGCTGATCGGAGAGGGTTGGGTCGCTGCTATAGCTGTGCGAGATGATTATGCCGAGGTACCGTAGCCCGCACTAGCCTCATTACCACTTGTCTTGTATCATTGACAGGGGTAGTCTGAAATCCCTTGTTTACATGGAGCGGTGCTGGTATGAGGTATCTGGTGATCAAGTGATTGAAGAAATAATTAATGCATGTTTCAAATGCCACCGCCAATAGCCTTGCCAGCATTATGTAGGAGCCTGTCCTGCATCGACAATTGGATCGCTATTTCAGCCAACCACGGTGGGTCACGTGGGGGTTTTCAGGCCGCAATATATCTCAGGCCTAGGTTGGTTGCGCAAAAACGTTGCTTCTCATCATCCGTCATCTTCTGCGACCACGATTGTTGTTCCATCGCTGCCCGCCGTCACCGCAGTATTCAATCGATCGATGAATACGTTCTTGTCCTCAGCCCAACACTTTATACCATCAGTCTAGCATGGATCCTGTCACAGCCTTCTCCCTCGCCGTCAATATCCTTACAGTCCTCGATGTAGCCATCAAGTCCGGCAAGACTGTCAAGGAGCTTTACGACTCCACCAACGGCTTTACCAAAGAGACCCAGGCCTTGGAAGATGCCACTAGAGACCTGAATAAGACGGTGGAGGTACTGGATGACGCGAAGGTGCGCCTCGATGCGGCAGCCAAAACTGCGGATGAACAAGTGTCACTCATCGGGGGAAAATGCGGCATCGTCTCTAACCAAATTCAAGCTTTTCTCAACGTGTGCAAGGTCACCAAGCAAAAGTCGACCTCAGCAGCCATCAAGGGTTTTTTGAAGGGGCGAAAGCATCAGGGCGAACTTGCGAGGCTTGAAAAGGAACTTAAGGAGAGAGCAGGGCAACTGGAGACGGCAATCGCGGTTGCCACTCGGTATGTCATGCCGCATTTCAGGTCTTAGATTGCTCTGGGGTCGCTGGCTTATATGCACCACAGAATCAATGTGCAGCGCATACAGGATCAGCTTGAGAGGGCCGATAAGCGACAGGCCGAACTCTTCGATCAGCTACAGGAGATTAGCAAAACGATCCTCTCCCAAGGCAGCAATCCGGTCTTGCTCCAAAACCTCGAGACCCTGGTACAGGTGTCTAGCGAAGCCCGTGCCGCTGCTATTCAAGACTGGATCTTGCGAGGCCTTCAGCGCACAGCCGTCAATCCCCGGCTAAATAGCATCAGTGATGCAGAGGAGACGACGTTTGAGTGGTTCCTTGATCCTGCCGACGAAGAGCAAGAGGGCTCAGGCGGCACATCGGATTCAGAAGACCTAGGAATAGAGAAGTCATACCTCAAACGGCGAGTAAAGCAAAACAGGGAGATTGCGGCAATGTTTCAGGACTGGTTGGAGTCCGGGTCGAGAGTCTTCCATCTCGTTGGGAAGCCTGGCTCGGGCAAGTCGACCCTGATGAAGTTCGTGACAGATCATCCAAAGACTCACATGCTCCTTGAAAAATGGGCCGTCTCCATGAAAAAGGATTTGCTCGTCGCCAGGTTCTTTCTCTACAAGCTCGGCAACGATGACGAAAAAACACTTCGAGGACTGTGGCATGGCCTGCTTTACGACATCTGCTGCGGCAGAACCGACTTCCGCAACGACTCTCGCAAGAAGAAGAGCTCGTCGGACATCACCCGGATGCTATTTCCTGGACTGTGGAAGGAGGGTGAACACATGCATCTTGAGGATGTGGCCTCTCTTCGCGGTGGGCGAGAAGCGAACGTACCGGATGCGGCCATCAAGACAGCATTCGACCGACTCGTCAATTTGCCCGAGATCTCGGAGCGTTTCTGCATCTGCTTGTTTATCGACGGACTGGACGAGTTCGACGATAAGGCCATTTCCCACGCGAAGCTAGGGCGGACTCTCAGCAGCTGGGTCGACTTGGCCAGCTGTAGAGGAGAAGGGGTGGGTGCATCTGGTGGGAGTAGCATCAAGCTATGCGTTTCCAGTCGCGAATACGAGTCGATCAAGCAAGGGCTTCCTCCGAAAGCCAGGCGCCTGATCATGCAAGAAGTCACGGAGCTCGACATCCGGACTCTGGTGTTGAAGGGTCTCGGCGAGAACAGGAACTTCCGCACCCTACAACAACAGCACAAGAAACGCTGCCAGAACTTGATTCAGTCTATCATCCGACATTCCCAAGGGGTTATACTATGGGTCGTGCTCGTCCTCAAGCTACTGGATGATGAATTATCCGAGGATCCAACCATTCAGAGCCTAGAAAGAATCGTCAGGGAGTCGCCTGCTGGACTGGACGGACTCTTTCAGAGCATTGTGGACTCGATTCCGAAGCACCATTTGTTCCCATCTCGCCTTATCCTCGCAATGGCGACGAAGATGTTGGGTTGGCGCCTGTCGACTGGACTCTTATACACTGATGTACCCCTTTCGGCTGGACTCTTAGGCACTGATGTACCCCTTTCGACTCTGTCACCGATATTTCGCTGGGATCCGCCAACTAGCGGATATCTGTCCATTGGCGGATTGTCCAAAATAATGCACATTTTGGACCAGTGGGGAGAAGAGAACTTTGATCCGCAGAGGAGACTGCACAATTTCGTGCTGTCTAACTCACAAATTCGCAAGGGGGTCGAAGTGGGATCATCCTCCAGATTGGATAGAACCTGTAGTTGTGTTCGAGCATGGACGAGGGGTCTCTTGGACGTCAAAACCATTCAACAATTCAAGAATTCACAAATCTTTCAAGTCGTTGAGTTCATGCACCGCTCCATACCGGAATTCCTTCTCCGCCATATCCGCACGTGGACCTCAGGCCCTCCGCTCAACGACGACACTGTTGCCGAGGCGATTTTGACCACAATGCTCGGTGAAGTTGAGCTCCAGTTGTATCGGACTGTCGACTTTAAGGCGAGGCTTGATATTTCCCTGGCTAGGATGAAGCAAGATATCGACAGCTTTGGTCTGACCAGTCCAATCTTTTGCATCCTCCAAGAGGTTGACAAAAAGGCCATTCTCGGGTCAAAGCCTTCAAAATACCCCGACTGGAGGAAAGCAATCACTTCCCTAATGAGCAACGAGCAGCAAGTCGCATACGAATTCACAGCGTTAGATGGGAGCTATTACAGTCTAGACCTCTCTTCTGTCACAGCCGCAGGGTCGGCAAGTTCAAGCCCTTTCATGGCCTGGAAATTGGCTAATGACCCAGCCTTTTCTGGCGACAAGGCTGCACAATATGCGGCCCTCTGGGCCATTACGAATGGGATATACCGGACCCGCACTTGGACCTCCGGTCGAACGACGGCGACGGCCTTCTCGGAATCAAGCGCCAAGACGCTTAGGGCGCTTTTCATGGCAAACACCTTGTTCGATATCGCTCTCCGTCCCGGAACCTATGACTTTCTATCGCTCGTCACATCCAACCGTTTGATGGAGAGTACGCTTGAGATCATGCGACACTACGACGACGATGGGGCTTTCATTGAATGCAACAGGGCCCAACACATGCACCTCAGTCCCTGGATTGCGTGCGTTATCAGCTATCTGTATAAGACTCTCGTAGACAGGAGCCATAACGGTGCATATGGTGGACACCAACCAGCCGACTTCTGGAGCATGCTTGAGGTGTGGCTCGAATTCGGGGCGCAGAGCCCGTATGGCATCCGATCGCGGTATTATGGCCGCGCGTGGGAGGTCACCTTTGCCATTCTCTCAAACCGCACAGGGAAACCGCTGTTTCTCGGCTTTAGAATGGTTTTTCATGGGATGTTCCAGGAACAGGTGGGAGAGGATGTGAAGGAGATGAAAGAGGGCAAGCGTTTCATCCTTCCCATCTGGGAGCCCAACTGCACGGCGTCGTTGGACGACGTGATCAGGTATTGGAAACCCGAGAATGAGAAACGTCTACTTGAGTATTCCGAGAGAAACAGGCGGCGGGCCGAGAAGCTCAGATACGGAGACACGGTCGATTCTGGAGCGGCAGCTTAGGTAGTCTTCGATGTTGCCTTTCAATCGTCTAATTATGCGGCGCATTCTCATGCGAAAACACCGACGAAGTGAACCCTCTGCGGGATCTCCGCGGTGTGATCTCTCTGCACATTCTCCCCCATCAGATGGAAGCGGTTTACGCGCTACTATGGCGGAGCTTCGGCGGAGATGGTGACATTGTGGCGCTCGACCGGACTGGGGAAGACCATCGTCAGCGTGGCTGCGGTCGCCATTATGAGACTGGTGGACCTCAACCGCGCCGAGGTCAAACGGCAGTGGGTGATTACACCATAATGACTCCGGAGCGGTATGCAAACTCCATGAAAGAGACTCCAAGTCTATGTCACGTATCTAAATGGTGTTCCACGGCTAAAAAGGGGGTTCCTCACCTGGTGTTGCAACTCAGGCTGATAGGTAATAAGTTAGGAGGGGGTTTGGGGGCCCCAATTTGGGGGCCCCAATTTGGCTCCAACAAAACCTGTTGCCTGGCAGGCAGACATCACTACATTTGGATAGCTTTTTCAGACGTGGCTAGTTCCTTTCTCTCCTTCCACTATCAACCAGGTGCCACAACTGCTTGCTCTTATGTACCATCTGCTCAAACCTACCGACAAATAATATCCCCAGAAACACGTCATCCCTGCTTGGCTCCAAGAATGGCAGCCACCAATCCATCCGTCCGGTATTCAAATGGGGAAGTCGCTACGTCTGACGCGGCCAAGGCATTCTCTTGGGAAGCACCTGTGCCAGTGAACCAGTTCTGGGACAGCTTCGAATACTGCACGGCGCGCAACTTCCTGGGCAACTTTTCGGACCGCGAGCTCGAACAGCTTCCTATCGACCACGACAGCACCGACGACCATCATACAAAGCTCGAACTCCTCTTGCGACTGCTCCGGGAGAAGCTGGCCGAGGAAGAAGCGGCTGCCTCGCCCCCGCAATCGCTGCACGAAACGGACTACAAGCGGTGGCACAGCCTCTGGCAAGGCGTGTACGTGATGGAGGACAAGCTGGATCTCCCAGAGGCCGAGCAGACCGTCCGCATGCTGGTGGCACGGATGCCGGACCAGTCGGGCGTGGGGCCGCCACACATGCTCGCGGACCACCTCGTCAGGATCGGGAAATACAAGGAGGCCGAGGACACGGAACGGCCCGTGTGCGCGTGGATGGACGCGCTGCCGCAGCTGGGCAAGGACTCCCCGCAGGCCATCAACGCGCGCAGGATCATCGCGAGGGCCTTGTGGGGTCAGGGACCGCCGAGGCGGGCCGAGGCGGAGGCTTTGCTGGCTGAGATCAACGAGATTGTCGATGGCATGGGTGGCGGCAGGTTCTGTGTATACCAGGAGGTGGAGGGGAGGTTGAACCGGGAGATGATGGCTGAACTGGAGAAAGGAAGGTGATTTTCTCTTCGTGTATGTTTCCTGATGCGAGCCGACTCATAGCCTATAGATACATACCTACCCTATCCCCCGAGGCTGGCCGACTACGGGCGAGGGGGAGCCGGCGGTGAAAAATGCCACCGTGGGCCGACGAGGATGGTGGTAGCGAGGACGAGAGGGTTAAGTGACGCGGCAATATTGACTTCCCAGGGGTGTCAAATTTAGGTACCTAATTGGAGGTCTCTCCCAAACGAAGTAGATGCGCTCTCAACGCCACCCGTTTCGAATCAGGATTGGTGGATCGTGGCGTGCAACCGCCGAGCGAGCGCTTAGGGAGATGTCATTCTTGGACAACTTAGCCCCTTGATTGGCTCAGTTTGTCGACCTGAGTGCTGAAAATTCTGCGCTTCGCGAGCTGAAAGCTGAAGAGAGGGGAACCAAGGGGCCCGCCGCAATCGACTTGTTCAATTTCCATGTTTCCCAAGCATCCCATCGTACAAAAATCCTCAAGGGAAGAACCCAGTATTGCCTCGCATGGGCTTCTTTACCTGGATTTCTAGCCTTCGGACTCGGTTGACCGGGCCCGTCGTCCGCTCCCACAGGTTCTCCAGCGATGCGTTTGTCGCACCCGGAATCCCCAATCCCATTCCTTTCCCTGACTCTTCCGTCATCACATTCAAAAGATGGAGGATATTTAGCCTGGCTATTGCAACATTCAACGCCTGTCTGGCAGGTCTATTTCCTGCGGCGTTGGTTGTCGTGTTCACTACCCCACTCTCTCACATGCCCTACACACTTTTGATTTATTTTGCTATTAGTGTGCCGATTATCTTTTTTTTTGTAACCGGCGAAAACGACAGTGGCGACATGTTCTTCTTTCTGGCAAGTACTTTTACCCCGTACCTTATCAGCGATTTAACTAGCATCTGGAAATGATAGATGATGGGACAAATCTAACGAACTACAGAAATTCTTTGCTTTACGCTTCGTTACGTGGCTTGGTGGATCTAACCTCGAGAGACCATGGGCTTGGAAGCTGTTCTGGAGGATATACTCCATAGCGGGCTTTTGGGCTCATCATTTCGCCCACAACTACCTGGAGTCCTGGAGACTCAAGCACCCAGATCATTCCATTACCATGTTTGTCGATCGCGGCAATCGCCTCGAGGTCCCTTGCCCGACGCTGGATGATCCTACAGACGACAGGTTGATCATCGAGCATATATACATCTTCTACCGGTTCTCCAGAATAAAGAGGGGCTTAATCCATGCACTGCTTCCAAAGACCTTGGTAAGAGTGGATATCATAGAAGTGAGTCAAAGATGGGAAATTAGAGCCAAGTCCACACTAACTGATATTCTCACTCATCCTAATTAGTTGGTAAATGGTGTGTCGCCAGGGCGGGCCACTTCGTCGCTCAACTTGGGGTACTACGGACACAGGCAAATTGGGAGCTTCCGAAATCCTTCCCCGCTGGAAGGCAGTCGAGTCATCTTGAACACATTGAGCGATGAAGGCATTATCAGGATGACAGCGACAACACCAGAGCCACCAGAGCTCACATCCAGCGGCACAAAGACAGCCTTGAACTTTGTACTAGCTTGGGATCCTCAAGCTGCCGGTGTCGTCATCCTGCTCCCTACGATCATCAGTCTAATTCTCTGCGTCACCTGGCCTATTGTAGCTGTACTCAAGTACGAAGCCGACGTTCAGACAAGCGTTCAAACTGCCACGTCACTTGCAAGCTACATAGTCACAGCAGGTAAATAAGACCCAGGACTAACTTCCCAGTATTTTTCTAAATGTGGTCACCGTACTGACCCTATGCAGGTGCCTTGTTAATCGCGTTGGGAACGTGGTTCGATTCGGCAAGAGTAGCTGAGAGCTAAAAGGGGTTGACCTAGCTATTCTATTCTTTCGCGGTAACTTATAACTATCCTACGCAATGCCAAGGGTACAACCACTGCTCTTTCACTGTGGTGGTACAGACATGGATGGCAGCTATGCAGAGAAGGGGGACGGAGACGACCAAATAGAAGGGCAAGGAAACCAGAGTCGAGATACTGAGAGCGAGCGGGAAGATTGTTCAGAGGACGACAAGATTGATAGTTAACCACGACCAGCTCGAACATTCAGGAGGCGGTCTTGCAATTGGGGGAACCGTTGCCGAAAGGAACGACATATAGTGATGCTTGCGTTGACAAGATACCAAGCTGTGTCGTCTAGTTTAAAATGGTACAAGTCGCCACCAGACTGATTCATTGCGCAATATTACATTATCTGCCTCATACTTTGAAAGCCAAGGCACATGGTCATCTTCGACAGAGTATAATACACAGTTTTTCACTTTCTCCTCACTAATTCGTGCATTCCCAAACTATCACGACCTCCCCATATCCAGCGTAAGGGGTTCCACCACTCTACCTCCCGTCGGATTGTGCCACTCCCCACCCAATCCAAGGAGTATCGCTGTCCTCCGCCCGTCATATCCCCCCCGTCCCGACTAGCAACCCCTCTGTCAAGAGCTGGCGCCGCCCATAGCGTCAACACTCCAGTAGTTACCCAGTGCGATCAGCTTCCGCCGAATACCATCAACAATGCGTGAACTGACAGCCTCATCAAGAGCCTTGATGCCGTACTTGAGGACGTCGCCCGGCTTTTCCAGCTCCACAATCGTGCCGTCCAAATTTTCCAATGCTGCCGCGCCGCTCCCATTCCAGTTGAACGTCTCCATCATGCGATCCTCAGCCATCATCTGGTCGGTTCCGACCTGGCCCGCACCGCCATCCCCCCAATTCTTCTCGGCCCGCTTCTTGGGCTCCATGCTCGCGATGCTGTCCGCCCAGAGGACGAGCGTCGCGCGGTACACCGCCACCGGCCACCAGGTTGGTCTCCGGTCAGGCGGCATCTGGCGCAGCAGCTTGAAGACCTGGCCGCAATGGAGTATGGCATCGTCCCGGCGGAAGATGCAGCGCTTATGGCGGACGGACAGCTCCCAGCGCGACCCGTCGAAGACCTCGCGACGGGCCAAGCGCTCGATTTCCCCGAAATTGGATACGGCGTTGAGGGAGATGAGGTGGTACAGGACCAGGTTGCATCGGGTCATCGGGCAGTCTGGATTGGCCTTCCAGTAGGCTCCTGCCAGCTCATACCATTTCTTCAGCAGGTTTTGGACTTCCTCTAGCCGCAGCAATGTCGTGACCTTGGTCACTGTTTGCACCGGAGCCCGCAGTGGGCCGATGCTTGAGAAACACGAGAACATCTCGCGGATGTGGAAGAGCATCGACTGCAGAGGATGTAAAAGCAACCGCAGATGCTGCGGCGATAAGTTGCTCTGCTGCCCCGAGAGGCTGTTGTGCAGAAAGGCCTGGAAAAGAACGGATAGCGAGGGACTTGCGGTTGAATTGGCTGGCAATGAGGTCGAATTATTTGGCAACTGAGGGGTGCCGTTTGTCATGACGCCGTGGATGGATCGAATGACCGAGTGCCATTTCTCGGCGTTGGGGGCCATCCACAACAGCTCGGGGCCCGGGAGTGGACATTGTAGCTCGGTTATAGACAGCATCGGTGCCATATCGTAGAAAAGGCTGAGCTCCTGGTCAAGCATCGCCCAGTTGTAGACAAGCCTATGTGGGAGTCAGTCACATAGATCAAAGTTAATCACTGGGCAGTAGTACAACGCAACCTACCTGTTCTGGGCTTCGTGGTGCAGCCAGGTGCGCCAGCGGAGTTCCAAACCTATCGAACCATCGATATCAAAGCTTATCGATGGCTGGGGTGCCATCATTCCGGCATGCTTCAGTCGCTAAGTCCTTAGGTTAGCCATCTTGCATTATACCAGACATAGGTCCTGTCACATACCATCAGATGCATGCCACGCTGAGCCACGGCAATGTCCATAAGCCACTTGTCACCGCTCCACGCCCCGAGCGCGGTAAAAGTGAGGCCACACTGCAGCACAACCGGATCTGCATACTGCCTGCTATCCTTGTCGATGAGATTGCCAAGCGAGATGCGGCAGATTTCGGTCAGCCCCGCAGCAAGATACCTTGCCTCAGGGATAGGCATTGCCGCTGCGCCCTTCGCAATCATGAGAAGAACCAGCAGAGTTGATGCCTGATCATTCCGAATCATCTCGTTGGGATCGACGCGGCCGCCAGCCACGAGGGGGTAGTATAGCGACAGATTGCGGCCGTAACTGCGAAGGAAGTACTCGAGGATCTTTGATGGCGGGAGTACAATCAGATTGGAGTCGCCAACGCCGGTATAGCCAGTCGCCAGACATTCTTTGCCACCACGGTGGATCTCAAGTGCCTTGTGAAAGAAGATCTGAGTAATCGCGAGCACCTTGTCTCGTGTCTGGGGCGTAAGTGGCATGACAGACACCAAGTCGGATGCGTCCCAGTCGACCTGCTCAAGATACTTCTCTAGCGAGCTCCACATGCCCTCCTGTTTCGAATGCTGTTCGAGGCATTCGAGATGCACAATGGCCGTCTGGGGGCAGGATCCTGACATGTATGGGTTGCATTGTGCTAGCGGCCAGGCTGATTCGGCAGCGATGACGACCTCGAAATCTGGCACGGCTTCTCTTTCGCTGGGAATTGCCGAAATGGCCGTGTGCAACCCCTTCATCTGAGGGTCGAAAGTATCCGTTGACATGGTACTTGCCCTGGAGGTATATATGGAACTGGTACTCGTCGAAAAGGTCGAAGATGTAGATCCCGAGGTGTCTGACATGCTGTTCATGTCGGTAACAGCAGGCGCCGTCACGTCGGTGCGTGATGTGAAAAGTAGAGACTCGGAATAGATGTCGAGGCCAAGCTTGTATTCCGGTAGGGCTGACATGTCTTGGTCGGTTGGGTCGGCTGCAACAAAGTCATCTCCAACTGGCATGAAGACGTCTAAGCCATCGATCCTAGGGTGGGGCAAAAGAAACTCGTCTTGACTGATGTGGGAATGCGCAGATGAATTCTTTCGTGGTGCTCTCTCTGAGAACCCCGAGTGTATCGTCACACTGTCTTCCGTGGCGACACACTGCGAATTGACAAACGAGTCCTCGCTCACACCGCCCTGATTAACTGCCAGAGATGATGGGTTGACGGTCTGCGGCTGCAGAAGCTGCTGAGGGGCGTGGCCGTTGAACGCGTCACCGGTTTGCGCGGTTCGCAGAGCAGTCTTCCGCGACTGTCGGGCAAAGCGGGGAGCACATGGGAGTCTTCTCTCAGCACAACGCGAGCAGGGCACCCTCTTGTCGCAACCCGTTTTTGCAGTGGCACAGTTCTGGCAGGCAATGGGTTGCCGTCCAGCAATTGTGGGCAGATCGTTGGGAAGCAAGTTCGTGTAATCTCTGGCTTCATGATATGTCGAGTAGTGTCTTTGGAGGAGATCCCTGTGGCGATGTGGTTAGCAGATGCTATCGTGACAGCACAACTTCCCCGGTTGGTTACTTACTTCCTGGTAAAGGACAGTTGACAGGCACTGCATCGGTGCGGCTTGACGTTGGTATCTTAGAAACGGGGTTAGCTAAAACGGATACGAGAGAGGGAATAATCAGAAGCTAATTAACTCACGGCTTGGGATATGTCTTTCCAAGTGTTCCTTGCGGCTGAAGCCCTTCCCGCAGTATGTACAGTAGACTCTCGGCATCTCTGATGTCTACTGCCGCGTGGCTAGTGATGTGGGATAGTCTGGCCGAATAGGACAAGAAGCAAAATTTGCGAATGGGAAAAACATCTAATGAGGGCCACGTAATTGGTAATGGCGAGCGACTGATCTGGGAAGACACATAGCTGTGGATGTTTGGGGAAGGTTGACTGTTTGACGGAAATTGGGGAAGGCGTTAGGTACATACGTGGGAATCCCAGATAAGGTATGGGAAGTCACTTTGCTGTTTGCGAGGGGCAAAGGGATGGGCAATGTTGATGCACACGATAAACGTCGATCCCCTGAATGCGACATGGGCGATGGTACTCTACCACGTGGCAGGCGGTCTCAGTTTTGCGTTGACGTATGGGAATGTTCGACCTGGCCGGAAACGGAAAGGGGGGCTATGGATTACGGATTACTTGGTGGGTCTTGGTGGGTTGATCATAAGACAACCAACCTTAAATACGACCTGAACCTAGGTCGCTTTCAGCTAGTCGATAAGCTAAGCCTGAAACCAGATAAACAGTATTGCGTAATTGTTAATTATGGCCGTTGTGCAGTGTCTTATCGACCGGGCAATCCCGCTTCTAAGTGTTGCCCTAATCCAATGTTGATTCAATTCTCGCACTGCGAGCAATAGACCCGGGTCCCGCCCTGCAAGCCCATTGTCATGGTCTGGACCTGTCATTGGCCAATTCCAACGTCATCTCACAAAAAGCAGGGCCAAATGTAAATGCACTGCAGGGCTTGGAGTTCAACCTTGGGGAGGAACTTGAAGTTGGCTCGCGCATATAAATACCCTACCTACTCAGACATACCCGCCGTGAATAGTTTTCTTTTTCTCTTGATGTTAAAAATCCAGTATCAAATTGACGGTATTAACCTAGTACTAGGGGCCAGTCCAGCGCCGTAGTCCCTCTCCCTTGTGCCCTATTCCAGTAGTCTTTTCACCACGCGGGACCGAGATGCAGGGGCGGCGTACAAGGACCTGTTTCGGATAACCATTAATTAATGACGAGACCATGAATAGAAGGACACAGGTTCTTGGTACTTACCCAGTGTAAACCAGGTCTGGAACCGTAATAAAGCCGGTCCGACTCGTGAAGTTGGACCTGCTACCCGCAGCGTTCCCAGCAATTGGAATATCTTGAATCTCGCAGTTGTGGATGTGATCGGCCGGGAATTTGATGTCGCGGAGCCTGTCCGGCGCCACGATGAGGGTCGCTGTCAGGCCCATCTCCACGTGCCACTCAATATGGCAGTGGAAGAGGAAGACGCCGGGGTTAGTGGCCTCGAAGCGGATAACGGCGTGTGAGTTTCCCATGACGTCGATGACGTCGCGCCTGGCAGGCTGCGCTGGGTAATCCCCGTTTTTAACCCAATCACCAGAGCCGCTGGCTGGTCGGCCCACAACTTGGAATTGGTGGCCATGGAGGTGGAAGGGGTGGATGGCCTCGTCTTTGTTGTTGATGACAATCTGGACGACCTCTCCGTACGAGATGACAAAGGGGTTGATGTCACCGTAGATGGTTGGGTCTGTATTGGACGCTCCAGTGGTTGCTACCGAATATAGCGTTGGCACCTTCTGCGAAATGTAAGGTTGCCCATTGAAACAGGCGCTAATAAACTTTGTCAGCAGGGAATACACGCAATATACGAATAGATAGATTCAAGTCTTACCGAGGAATGTCGTTCTCATCGCGGCAAAACTCAAAGTCCAACACGATAGTCCTATCCACCGGCTCGTACCTGTCGGCTTTGTCAAGAGGTATGAAGTATGAATCATCGACCGGGTGCCAAACTCCAACAGTAGTGGTACCAGTGGCCGGTTTGTTACAGTCCGTCACCACGTGGCCGGTAAAGTTAAGACTGAAGACACCTGGCTTTGTAAAGTCCTTGTTGGTGTCTAAAGCGACAAGGTATGGGTAATTCTGGTCTTCGTCAAGAGCGGAAATAAGGACGTCAACGCGTTGAGAAGGAGACACCCGCAGCTGGGTTGCCTCCGCCTCCTGGATGTAGGTCGCATCGATTGAAATGACTTGCAGAGTGTGCGAGTCAAAGTAAACGAAGGACGATGCAAAGGCAGAGTAGCTGATGATGCGGATGCGGTAAGTCTTCCCCTTGACAAAGTTGAAGTTGCTGGACTGTCCGTCGTTCACCAGGATTGATTCGGGAAATGGGGGAGAAAAATCTGTATTGGATGCCTGCAGCATATTCTGAACAAGGAAGATGGCCTGGTCATGGTACCTAAACAGACAGCTGTTAGTATGCGACATGATTATGATATTACTCGTCAGTCATAGCTCGAGTCTTACCAATCAGAGATTGTGAGGATAAGTTCCTCATCGTACTCTCCCTTGTATGGATCATTGGGATCGTGCACAATCAACGGCCCCCGGAACCCGTCCGGGTATTGGCCCATATTGTGAGAATGGTCTGTGGCGTTGCTCCTGGTCAGAAATTGCTACTTTTCCATGGCGGTGTTTGGGTGGACTAGACATACACCAATATGTGCCCGGCGAATCGGCCTGAGGGGCATTGTTAGTTGAAGACTGGTCCTCAGTTGTTAGGTCTTGAAGAGGGCATACCAAGAATTTGTAAGTGATTGAGGAGCCGGGAGGAACTGGGCACTGGGTGGCACCACTGTTGCCGTCCATGTCATTGGTATGGAGTTGCCGGATGCCGTGGAAGTGAAGCCCAGTGGTTTCGTTGCCGAGCAGGTTGTTCAACGTGACAACGACGGTATCACCAACATCGGCGTTGATAGGCGGACACGGCCATTTGCCATTGACTCCGATGACGGCCCTGGCGAAACCATCTGGGGCAGCGGTAACCCACGTGACATCCCAATTATAACTGACTGTCTTGGCACTGACTAAAGAAGTCAGAAACAGCAGCATGGACGGGAAAGCCGAGGTTATCATGATGTCGGTCGGCGATCTCGACAAAAGGCAATAAGTGTAAGACGCAGCCAAAAGGTCAGGAGAGGAATAGTGACTCAGCAATGCCAAGAACGACAGCACTGGATTACCTTGGAGATTGCCTCGAGTCTTAATAAGAGGAGGGTTTCTCAATCTCTTATAGAGAGCGTGCCGGAGGGCGCCATGGTCGAGAGGCTCAATCTTGGGATCTGCGACATGTTCAAGATCGCAGCTGAACTTTGGAACCAGGATTGGAAACCAGGAAATGGAATAATGTCTCAGTATTGGATGGTTCAAGACAAAACGCCACGCGTCAGATGCTTGCATGCCCATCGGCCAAGCGAATAATACATCGCGTTGGTTGTTGCCCAGCTGACTTGCCAGTACGGTGACTGGGCCGGACCGGGAAGTGCCAAGACCGGAAGCAGTGGACTGGCAACTCGCCGGAGGCGGTGTCTCGTTGTCCGAGACATCGGCCTGGCACTGTCTCACCTGCTTCGCCCAGATGGATAGTTACCCTAGGTACCTGGAATGTGGCTGTTTCTGCAACCATTAAGGGACGAGCCACTACCTATGTCAGCAATACTGCTGTATAGTCACGTGTGTGTCCTTTGCACAGCAACAACCCCGCCTAATCTCTTTCATCTTCTGCAGATGGCCTTTTGTAAGACACAGATCAACCCCCGCCTTGGCCCCTCCTCCCCTCGAATCAATAAATCTCTGGAACGTGCACACAAGGAGTTGGGCGCGAGTCGAAGGCCCAGATTTACACGTGTCGCATGCTCATGTACGTTAGCAAACAATGTCGTTCGGAAGAGCGTTTCACAGCACACCAAATACCCCCCTTTGGATACGAGATGTAGAAAGAATAAGGTTTTAAGCTAATGCGTAGTTAGCCGTTAGCAGGTTACGATCTGCCGTACTCGGTAACAACGCTAGGACATTTCTTATCAAGTCTAAGCTTTAATCCCGCCGCACCAATAGCAGGGGAGTGACCGTGAGACAATGCAAGCCACACTAAATTAAGCTTGATAATCCTGGTTGCGTTTAGGTGATACTGTAGCTCCTATTATAGGAAAAGAGTTGCGTCTTCTTGTCGCCAGGCGCAGCTTCTGCGACCATCCTAGATAATCCTACGGTCGCCATCAAACAGATCCCGGAATAAACCGGCACTTGAAAAATCTTTGGTATTTCTTTTCCTTTCTTTTATCTGTTTGGTGCGGCAGGCCTCGGTAAGGAATTCAGAGTGGGGATGGGGACAAACAAAATGCTAGAACATCAGTGCTTAGATTATTTAAAATCATAGAAGAATACTTCACGCTTTGACCTCGAGATAGGTATTTAGACGTCATCCCTAGAGCGGCATCCAGTCACAATAGACGACATTACTTGTAGATGTCTGAGACCCTCACCCCGTACACCGCAAGCATTCAGAACGCTCTGGCTTCCTCCTCGATCCTGCCAGCATGATTGCCGGACAGATACACGCCTAGATGTTATCATTCCACTCTAGGCGCCCCGGTTTCGGGTGACAATGGTTCCGGTGAGAATTGTGTGTTAGGGCTGACGGTGAAGGGTGGTAATGAAAAAAGTTTAATAAGACCTGACCCAAGCCACCCAACCAACGGCTCCACCACCCCTGACCAGTGCTTGATCATTCGGTGTGGGTTTCCTTGAAGGGAACCACTCGCTTCGGCACGTAGCCACCAGACAACAATAGCTACTTTAAACTCTGGCCTAAGGTTCCCATATATCCAGCGTCGAACTGACGTCAAAACGCTATTTCGTTAATGGGATCAATAAGCCTGCAGGCTCGGCAAGCTATGATGCTGTGCCCAATGAGAGCTCTCGAACGCCGAACGCCGAGTAGATCACGGAAGATCGCCTGAAGTACGCCCACTCCGGGGGGCCGGACTTCCGTGTCGACGACGTCCCCCTCCTTGAGGATCATTGGCCAACGGACTGGTGCTAACGAACAAATTCCCTCACTACCTTCCTGCTCCTCTGGCGTAAACAATATCAAGCAGCCACGTCCAACCCCGTAGGCTTGCTTCCCCAGACGGCAACGACCGGAGACCCCGCGTTTGACCTTGTCGACTTCTCGTTCCTGACTATCTCATCCCCACAAAATCGAGTCATTTATCCAAATGCCCTTTATCAGGCTTGCCTGAGTATCTGATGGATGAATTTAATCACATGAGCACGAAGTGTCAGCGAAACGACCCATCATTAGCGGGACTCCACAAGGCCTAGCATATAAAGTAGTCGTCCTTCGAGATCAGGGAGAAAATTGAAGCGATCAAGAGTAGCGAGGAGGGTGGGAAGAGATTGTAAAGTAATCATATCTGGCATGTAATTGACGAACCCCAGATAAGTCGGCATGGAGCTGCATGAAATATGCATAGCATCGGCAAAAGGGACTCACCAAGCCTCAGCCGCAATGTAACTCTCCATCGCAAGAGCAGTTTGGCTGACACACAACATCTTTGTTGATGGCCATCTTCATAAATTTTGCCAAGGCGGTCGAACTGTCCCTCGGGGAGAAGGTCCTCAACATGGAGTCCATCCTGAGGACTGAGTGTGGGTCGACCCTCGGTCTTGGTCTTGGTCCCGCGCTAGGGGCGGGAACGGTATCGGAGGAGCACACTTGGAGATCCACATGGGCCATGAAACCTCCAAGGGTGGTTGGCTAATTGCTCTGGCACGGCCAATGATGACAGCTTCTCCAAGGCTGTTGCCCACGGTCGAGCAGCCGGCTTATGCCTGCTCGATCTGATGGTAAATAAGTCGGATAAGGGCAGCCCGATATTAAATTATGGCGGTGGTATCTCCGAAAGACAGTTCGCCGAACTATTAACGGGCCTCGAAGGTGGCAGTCCTTTGCCGCAGCAGCTTGTTGTTCGGGTCTTTGGTCAGCTGGTAGACTTTCTTTCGACTTCCGCGGTCATGCCGTGGCTAGAACATCACATTGGAGATGAATCACACAACGAAGAAGTTTTCTGGGAGGTCTACCATACCTGTGTCGAAGTAGCCACTTGGTGAGAGGGAAGGTCTGACCAAAGTTGCAGTTCTGTAGGATAATAGCGGACGTCAATACAGCCGGCCGAATCTCGTCAATGTTGCCTGTCACATGAACCGTGTCTAGCAAACCTGCCAGCAAAGATGATGAATGCATAGAGATTAATTACTTTACGGGCCAGCTGACTTGGTTCTCTTGCATGTGACACACCACGCTAAAGGAACCAAAATGCAGTGTAATTGTCAGGTCTCCAATTATGCGCGGGCCAGAGTGACCTAGGTGAACCTTGCTGACACATTACTAGGATTGGATGATATCATTATCTACACCTATCTATCATGAGCAATCCTAGTTGGCGGATTCATGTGGAGCCCCATTCCAGTTTGAACAAGAGAAGAAAAGCAAATGAAACGGTGTTTCGAACCTCATGGATCCATCTGCCGTTCTGCCCCGTGCCCTCCCGGAGGCCGGGACCATAGCCTTCCTGTCGCCGTCCGAACGACTCAATGACTCATTCCCAGCCCCACTCTCCCGGAGCAAGGCGGCCCTCGAGAAACTAGGCTTCCGGGTCAAGATCTTCTGGACACCAGAGCCATCCCGTCCGGCAACCATCAGCCAATCCATCGCAAACCGTATCGCAGAACTACGCGCCGCATTCGCCGACCCAGAAGTCGACGCCATAATCTGCACCTTCGGGGGCACCACCGCAACAGAACTCTTGCCACCTCTCCTCTCCGACGCGAACCTAACCCATGTCCTGCGAGCCAACCCCAAGATCTTCGTCGGCTACAGCGACATTACGACCCTCCACTGGGCCCTAGCAGCACGGACCGGCCTGCGGACCTTCTACGGGCCGACAGCCATCCCCGAGCTCGGCACCGCCCCATCCCCGCTGCCCTTCTCCGTCCAGAATCTCTTGCGCGCCATAACCGACGCCGGAAGAACCCCGCTCGGACCCCTCCCGCGGTCTGCCACCTACGCCCCGGACCTGCCGGCCTACCTCCAGGGGGGCGACGCAGCCTCCGTCTCGCCGCAGGTGCTTGCGCCGAGCCCGGGGTGGAAGTGGCTCCGGGGCGGGAGCGGCGTGGGCCCGCTCTTCGGAGGGTGTCTGTCGGTGGTGGTCCGGCTGCAGGGCGTGCGCGGCATGGCACCAGATTGGCGCGGGAAGATCATGTTCCTGGAGACGTCGATGGCGGAGGGGGCGTCTGGCAGGGGGTTCGTGCCCCATAAGCTACGGCAGGCGATCGCGGACCTGGCAGCCAGTGGGGTTTTTGACGAGATCAACGGGTTGGTCTTCGGGCGGTTTTTCGGCTATGACAATGATGAGCGACGCGATGAGGTGGAGAGGGTTGTGCGGGAAGCGTTGGCGATCGGGGAGGACGGGATTGTGTGGGGGAAGACAAAGAAGTTTCCGGTGTTACTGCATGCGGATTTTGGGCATACAAGTCCGATGTTGACGCTGCCGATGGGGGCAATGGCAAAACTGGATGCTGAAAAGGATGAATTTGCTATTCTAGAAGCAGGTGTTGTGTGATCAGAGCAGTGTGGTCCTGGATGCTGAAGCTACCGTTGTCGCCCCAAGTCTTGCCCCATGCGTTAAGGAAGGTGAATCGCGCGGGGATCGCAGCTGACGAGCACGACGGCGTGACCTCAGGGGCCGATGCTCATTTATAGACCTCCCTAATCTAGGCTCCCGTCTTCCAGGCTCCCCGGCGGGCTCTCCAAGTGCAAGCCTAAGGCCACTACCACGCATCAAAGGCATAAGAATGCTTGCGAGAGAGACGCTAGAGCAGGGCTGGCTAAGCAGATTCTTGCATTCTGCTGTGTGCATACTTGATCAGAGGAGGGATGCCAGCGTTAGACCCTAGGATCTGGGTAACTTGGTCCCACCCGATCTTCCTATTCTCTTCTCGGTCCTCCGGAGTCAAGGCCCACCCACAATACAACTTTATGGCAGAGTACAGTTTCTCCACCTCCCACATCCCATCCCACGCGGGCACCTTTGACTTTGCGAGCCGCTCTTCTAGAAGGCCGAACCAAGACCCCTTAGGTAGCCCTTCTGCGAACCTCTTCACGGGGATCCATTCCCAGTACGGGGGAAAGTACCCGCTGACTTCCCAGTCAACGATGCCACATACTCGCTTGTCGGCGACCATGATGTTGCTCCAATCCAGATCTCCGTGGGTGAAGACAATTGGCTGCCCTTCCAGCACTGCGCTCCTCTCCCTGACGTTGGCAGCGATCTGTGGGTTCTTGCCGATCGAGGCCTGAATCTCTCACGGTTGAGGTCAACGGCACTCTTGAGCCCGGCTCGGAGGGGTTGCCGATGGAGGAGGGCGGCTTGGATAACGGGAGATTGAAGGTTCCCGAGTTCACCGAGGAAGTCGACAACCTGGTCTGCAATAGACTCCCTTTCCGCAGTCGACAGAGTTGGCCAGGCGTTCTCGAGGGTGGTTCCTGGCATCTTTTCCATGACGAGGGGCTCGAATTCGTCAGATTTATAGTGCTCGTAGGCGTGAGGCACAGGCGCGGTTGTGTTTGCCTTGACAAGATCAAGATGCTTCTTTTCAAACTCAAGTCTGAGAGTCCGATTCTCACTGGAATCCTCACCCTCTGGTCTTGCTGCGATACAATTCGCCGATTTACAATCCCTCCCATGGACAGTGGGTCGAATATCTCATGCAGGGCTTTGTCAGTCTCGTCAAGCCGTGGTTCCTTTTCAGCCACGGCTTTGGTGCGGAGATAGTGAGCTGTCGCTTCCCGCCTGGTTCGGCATTTCGGTGCATTGATGAAAACGTAAACCCCTAGTATTGGGGCATCCAAAAAGGGGGTTGCCATATTTGTCAAGTCTAGAATCCTCAGAATCTGCGTTGGAGAAAAATGAAGGGGGCCGGGGGGGGGGGGGGGGGGGGGGGGGTGGGTGTTTTTATTAAAAAAAAAATTATTTATTTCCAAAACCGGCCCGTGGTGGGCGGTTTTAATTTTAGTAAATACAAAAAAACATATCAAATATTTG